GGATTTCTTCCCTCTTTTTAATTTCCTCGTTCCATCTTGTTAAAGGAGCCGCGATGTGGATGGAATGCAACGACACAGGTTGACGACGATGTCACCGTAAGGAAATGATGACACGAGAATCGCTTCCTTAAAAATGGGTATTTACATTCATACGAAACTCCACTTAAGCCGGGTTTATGGGAGTGAAAGTAAACATTAATTGGGCAAATGGGTAGGTATATGTACGCGTAGAGGAATGAATGGGAAAAGAGAAAGCGGGCTGGACAAGCAAATAATTCGGTCCGTGACAGATATCGTGAGTGCATAAATATACAGAACAGAGCAGTGGATACAATATTGCTTTCACTCGTGTCAGTGTCAACGGTGAAATATGTACAATGTTGAAGGGACGGGTGACATGATGTGGGGAGTGATGGAAGGGTTAAGAGTTGTGTTTTTTTGGATGCAGGGATTTATTTGGGGGTGGGAACGTTCATATATTACGTCATAAAAAAGGTAGATTTTTACATCAAAATCCTACTTATGTTGAGCTCAATACGAGGAAGATAGACGACTCAAAAATCATCCACCCATCTTTTTGATGACTTTATATATGAACTTTCCCTTTGTGTGAAATTGTGAAAGTTTTTGCAAAGGGTTTTTGGATCTAAAATTTTGTAGAAATTTTCGAATTTCAAAATTTCACATGAATTAAATCACACGTTTATGTAAAAATAGGGTTTGATTTAGCTAATTCCATGAATTTTGAGACCGTCTAGATTTTTTAGGGACTTTCTCCAAGTCTAAATTCTGCCCACAAGTGTACGAACGGTTCGCGCCATCTAGTTAATTCCCCCACGGGTCATAGGGGCAAAGTGTACCAACAATTTCCTTCGCTACATTTGAAATAAAATCCCATTTTATTCACCTTCCTTCCCTATCGAACGAAACACTGCTTTACTTTCCTTTTCCTTCCTCCTCGTCCCCGTGACAGACAGGACAATGAAAAAGCATGCATGCCACCCATACATATGTATCCCGCTGGAGGGCATCAATTTAAAAATTACTCCCGCCCACTAATACATTCCTCTTTTTCCTGATCCCGCCTTCACAGAAAACCTAATCTCGTGTAACGAGCATAGTTTGCATTCAATGTCCGACAGCAGGGTACGTCGCATTATATTCTCGTCTTATAGCTGCCAATAAATGTTATCAGGTCGACGCAGACGTTTACGGTCGGGGTCATCAGAAACGTTAATATCACATCACACACATCTCCTCTCGACAACACACATATGCTTTCTCTCAAAGACTGTCTCTTCTCTTCTTCTCCATTGTTAATAATTTTTGGTAGAGATGGGTCGTAAAAAGCGGAATGAAATGGAATGATACAAAACCCTAGTGGGTTAGGCGACACTCTTAGAAATCTGGGGTAATCTGAATTCTAATATGGTCATATTATTTTTTATTAAAAGAATGACCCATATTGGCAGCAAAAATATAAATTGTGCGTCACGTCTTGTCCGTAACGATAGTTGTGCACGAAATTTGAATTTGCTGGAATCAATACTTCCACTAGAAGGTGATCTAGTTGAAAATTGTCACTTTGTGTCACGTCCATGTCTGAAACTATATATTTGTCCGTAACGATAATTGTGCACGAAATTTGAATTTACGGGAATCAATATCTCCCCAGCAAGGTTGAATTTACAGTACAATTATTATCATCTGGCGTCCGTAACAAATTTTTTCGCGGTCCAGAAACTTTGTCCCGCATTGTTTAGTGTCTCCTGTCATCTCGTCTGACACACATAATATGCATGCATACCGACGTCACTCATACATACAAACATAGTTTTGTCCTCTCCTCCCTTAATCCTATTCCCTCCGCTTGACTAGATTTCGGTCTTCGGGTGGGGAAAACATAACATTGTTTCAGACAGACATTACTCGGTTAAAAGTTTGTTGGTGCTATCGTGTGGAATAAATCTGGTGGAGCGAGACAGTTCTCCGTACACGGTGGACAGTGAGGTTTTTCGGTGCGGGTTAGGTTATGTAAAGTAAAATAATACCCGCACCCGTCCGAACATATTATTATTACCCGGTCTGTTGTTCTACATAATCCAGTTTATTATTTCGTGTTCTGTTCTGTTTCCCTTTTCCTCTCAGGATTCCATTCGAGTCGTCGACAAATCTAGAAATTCCACAATCGTTTTTTTTCTCTTTTTCACCGAGGAAATAATCCAAGGTCTCATTTTGATTTCTTTTTTTCTCATCTTCTTTTTGTCAGGGGACAAACGGGGATGGAGAAGAGAGAGGATGCATGAAAATAGAGGAAATCCGGACAAGTGGATGCTGGATTTGGTGGGTATGCAACACAACGAAAAGAGATGAAGTCTCATCCCTGAATACAAAACATGTAAAGATATGTACAGACAGTACACACACATGGAGAAAATTCATAGAGATTCATCCATCCATCCGTCCAATAATTCTCATCCTGTTTTTCGCATCTTCTCCTTTTTTCATGACGAGGACTTGTTCTTCTACCTTTCTCGGTTTATTTTCTGGTGGATGGGGAGAGGAGGAGAGGAGATGCAGTTCAGCGGAGGCAGGGAGAAAGAGAGATGGGAATGGAGAGAGAGATTTGGAGGCTTTTTATTATTTGATACGATATTTGTACATGAGAGTGAAAGTTTTTTGTGGGTGTACATACTTTCACTAGTTTTGAGCGGACGCTTAGGAATGAGGGGACCCATTTTTGTTTACAGAGGCAAAAATTACGGAAATATTATATAATTATGTTCTGAAATAAATTATTTTGTAGAGCTAGTCGAAATTTTTTTTAAATTGGGAAAATAAAATTGTATTGTTTAAAAAATGTGACGTACATATGTGTATAATTTATGAAACCATTTTTCTAGTGTCATTTTATATTAGCCACATCTAAATAAATATGTAATTTGTATATTGAGTTGGTATCCTTTGTTATTACGAACAGTAGGTCAAGAAATAAACACCCCGATGATGCATACAGTTGGAACCTTTTAAATTATCTAAATTAAATTCTAGCAATGGATTAAATTATAATTAGGTGTTTAAACTTAAATTGAAAACTACCGTTTACTTATACAATTTTCTTAAAATATTGACTGCCATAAAATGCTAAATTGTAAAAAAAAACTTTTACCAAATCAAATCTGTAAAACAAATTGCACAACAAATTGCACCAAAATAAACTCTTATGCAACCCATAGACGAATCAATAAACCTTAATCCGTCTCCAAAATTTATAAGAGTGTCCCAAAACCAGGGTCGACTTTCACCCCGCTTTCTCTCTCTCTCTCTCTCTGCGATGCGATGCTCCGTCCCAGTTTCTCCATCGCCTTGTGAAAGTACGTTGGCTTGGCTCTGGTGGTGAGGAATGTGCCGCTGAATCCCTCATGGTCTTGGACAAAGCCCCAAAAGTGAAATTCCTTCACAGCATGATAATAACTCTCTCTCTCCACTTGAGACGAAACGGGGCCCCGTTCGTAACAGGGTCGTATTGTATATTATGCGAAATACGACCACGACACTCCTACTCAGTCAGTAATGTGCGGTGAAGGGTTAGAGAGATGAGGATGAGAAGACCTCACTTTCACTTTTATGGCGGCATTATTGTCCAATTCACCTGCAGGAAGGGCACACCCTTTCGCCTACTTACGCAGCAGGAGACGACTTAATTGAGACACCAAGTTCTTTTTTGTGGAGGGGACAACGACGACGAATTACATGAAATAAAAGTGCTTCCCAGCTTTCACGGGGATGAATGGAAGAAGTTGTGAAGAAGAAAAAATATGTTTTGTATTCCGGTGTACGAAATGAAATGTAGCGTAACTAAATAATTTTATGGGGACAATTTGTAGATATGTATTTTTATGGTGATGAAAATGTATAGGGGAAACGTCGATAATTTTGTTTTTTAAATTTTTTACAACTCTGCGTCAAGTATTAAGGTTAGACGCAGAAATTTGTGATCATTTTGAGTAGGCTTTCCTAGCTTTGCTTTGTTAGCTTTGAGTAGGGATAATCCCGTCCCGTCCCGACGGGACGCGGGACGGGACAAGAATTTTCGTCCCGAAGAATCTCGGGACGGGATGGGCTTCGGGACGGGACGAGGTCATCCCGTCCCGGTCAATCCCGGTCGGGACGGGACGTCCCGGACTTAAATATTTTTCTCAAAATTCACTCCCTTTATTGGAAAAAATAACAATATCTTCTGAAAATCTTTCGCATGTGTTGACCCTGCATATTGTAATTTTGTATTTTAAGCATTATTCATATAGTTATATACATACATATACATATAGATACATATATACATATATACACATATATATTTACATATATACATATATACATATATATATATACACATACATATGTCGTATACATATGTCTGATTTTACCCTAAGCAAGTTTTCCATATCATGACCAACATTTTAAAAATTTGACGTGGTTAGTTTGCAGAGAAAAGTGGATAAGCCCCCTAAAGGAGACCTAGAAGGTTTAACTCCATAAGGCTGCGTAAGCCACGTTAACAGCCAATCACAGGAAAGGACGAGGTTTTCTGACTTTTTCACCATAACCTCTCAGTTTTTTCGGCTTCTTAAACAATCGAAAATATACATTTGTTTCGATTTTGGCGTACAAACTATACAATTTACTGCATTTTTGATAAACTCAGACTCCGAAAATTAAAAGAACATCAAATTAAAAATATTTAATTTAAAAAATTTTCTGATTGGCTGGCGACGGGAGGGAAGGGTCGAAAACCTCGTCCCCCTTGGTTATTGGTCAATTTGGCTCTCAATGTGGCTTATGCATTCTTATTACTCTACATCTTCTATATGAATGTATGTTCAATGGGTTGAATTTTGGTGCTGGTTGTCTTTATATTTCTTAACCAGTTGCCTCCCAAGCACATGAATGTCATGTGGCGCACAAACCGTCGCTAAGGGCCCAAGTACATCAAAGTCATGTGCTCCTTGAACGGTAACCATGCGCCCAAATACATCAAAGTCGTGTGCTCCGACTGCGGTAACCATGCGCCCAAGCACATCAATGTCATGTAATTCCAAAAACAAAATTTTCCGCCCGAGCACATCAAAGTCGTGTAATTCCAAAATAAATTCTGTGCAAATTTCTAAATAGCTGTAGTTTTTTTTGGAGCTTGTATATTACAATTGTATAGCTCTTCAGGCATGTCTGGTAAGTATTTATCATCGACAAGCATATATATAAATATATATCCAATTTTCTCACACTTGAAAATACGACAGACAGTGAAGACGACGAATTTTCCTTGGGTCAGTTCTCAGATTGCGACTCCGATGAGGAATTCTTGCTACATGAACACAACGACGACGATGACGAGAACATGATCAACTTTCCGGAAGATGAAGATGAAGAAGGCGCGGATGTAGATTCTGAGGACGAGTTGGGTGACCTCGATGAACACCCCGATGTACGTATATTATTTGTACATATGTATATTCCTAAATAATTTTATTTTCCCCAAATTGATTCATATTTCAGACTAATGTTATCCGCTACCGTAAAAATGTCCCATTTTCACCACAAGTTAGTGATTATGAGGATCCAGGGGAATTTCTAAAGCCGGATTTTGGGGTCACGATGGAATCTACTGCTCTAGAGATTCTACAAAAATTCTTGGACCCCGAAATTTTGGATGAAATTGTCCTTCAGACCAATGTTTATGTTCAACAACAAAGACGGGCGAATCGAAATACAATGAAGGATTGGTCTCCAGTGAATGGGGAAGAAATATGGCAATTCTTCTCTCTGGTGATGATGATGGGGCTGGTTATAAAGCCGGAGATCAAGGACTACTGGTCCACAGACTCGATGTTTTGTACCCCATTTTTCGGTCAGGTCATGTCAAGGAATAGGTATATACAACAATAAAATACAATAAATACTTATGTACACTAGTTATCATACCTATTTGCCTACTAGATTTGAGTCAATCCTTCGGGGATTCCATCTTGTGGATAATGACACCGTCCCACCCAACAATAAAGATCGGTATATAAAGTTTGGGAGTTTTATGGACAAGTTATTCCAAAATTTCCGCAAAGCAATAAATTTGGGATCATTTCTCACGGTGGATGAAACTTTGCTCTCGTTCAAAGGGAGGTTATCTTTCAAGCAGTATTTAAAAGACAAGAGAGCCAGATTTGGAATGAAGCTATATCTCCTCTGCGATTCGGCTAGCAGATTTGTCCTCAAAGCTCTTCCTTACCAAGGAAGAACTACCAAAATAGAGAATTCAAGCTGGATTCAAGAACTTGGATTTGGTGGCGCTACTGTGATGACTCTTCTTCATGGCTATTTTAACAAATTTCATAGAATCACTATCGACAATTGGTTCGTGTCTCCGATCTTGGCATTGCGATTGAAGCAACTTGGTACGTACATACTTGGCACCGTACAGAAAAGAAGAAAGCTGATGCCAAAATGGACGGACAAATTAGCAAAGGGACAAGTTGCGACTTATTCTTCTTCAGACATTTTAGTGGAACGGTACGTTTTTGTAAATTTACCAATAAAACAATACAATAAACCGGATGTCAAATTTTCAGCAGAATGACGTGAAGAATTTCATTTCATGATTTTTAGGTGGTCTGACCGGAGAGAAGTGATAATGCTGAACACATTTATGGGACACCGAATGGAAGAAATCACAACCACAAACCCCAACAACAACCGAGAGAAACCATCAACTGTTCTCGTTTATAATGCGACAATGGGCGCTGTGGATAACGTCGACAGAGTCAGCAAGCCATTCACATCTGTCCGCAAATCCTTCAAATGGTACAGGAAAGTATTCTTCTACTTCTTGGACATAGCAATTTACAATTCTCACATCATTCACTCTTCTTTCCGGCCAACGAAGGAACACTCAAGTTATAAAGATTTTGTACGAATTATAATCAAAGAAATATTAGAAAAATATCCACCACAACGTCTATCATTGGGGAGGAAGTCCAACACCCAGTCGGAACGACGAATCGGCACCCACTTTCCAGAAAAGATGTTAGAAGATAATGTCTCCGTCTTCCGGGATTGCCACCTATGCTGTTTGGAAGGCAAAAGGCGCACCACAGCTTTCAGATGTGAAACGTGTCTGAAGTTTTTCTGCATAAAGAGCACAGACTCGTGTTTCAAGAGATTTCACACGCTTTCGAAATTACCCGTCAAAAGGAAGCGATCTAACGCCAATGCATCTTCAGCATCGACGAGTCAAAGCATTATGTACCAATCAGTACCTCGGTCTGAAACTGACTCTGAAATTGGATTAGGATTCGGTGAGGCGAATGAAGTGAGATTTCAAGAAGCGGATTTTGAATCAAATGTTGTAGTAATGGAGGAGGAGGAAGAACTGTTTTCCATTTAAAATGTGAAATTACTTGTGATTGTGCGAAAATATTTAGCCGAACTATGAATAAGTTTGTGAAATTTTATAATTTATGATTTATAGTTGTTTTGCCGAGTTTTTCCGGCCTATATTCGAATTGGCTATCATGATGTTGTATGGTGTTTTATTGTGAAAAAAATTGCTTCGCGGCATAAGTAATGATAATTAAAATGATTTCCACATATGATATTATCAGTATCACCCTTGCATTAATTTGGGCTATAGCGTACTTGTCAGCATTTCATATCTTGGGTCGCATTGAAAATGCTTCTCCAAGAAAAGTGGTACAAAGATCACGAAATTCGAAGCCTTATCTTGGGGGCTTAGCAACTATTTTATGGCTTCAAATGTGGCAGGCAACTGGTTAATAATTCGTATTTACATATCACCTAAAAAATTAGTTTCTCAATAAAAAATCAACAAATTTAGATTTTAAAATTAAACAAACAATAGTTGTGATTTGTGATATGAAGGTTAGGTTAGGTTATATGTAGAACGAAATGATGACGATTTCTCAAATTTACACTATAAATAGTTAAAACTAAAATTTTGAAATTATTGAGATTTGACCGGTCGTTGGGAGTGGCAACCTGTATTGTGTAATTTATGTAGTAAGAAAATAAAGCAGCAACCTATACTTACAGCCAAGCTTGTTCAAATTGATAAAGAGCTGAGTTTCAATTTAAATAAAAAAAACTTCGGGATATCCCGTCCCATCCCGTCGGGACAAGTATCGGGACGGGACTCGGGACGGGATGGCCTCCATCCCGTCCCGTCCCGAAAGTCTCATCCCGGTCAATCTTCGGGACGGGACGGGACAGTGAAATCCCGTACCGTCCCGTCCCGTGGGAAAGCCTAATTTTGAGCATGAAGGTTAATATAATTGTCAATTGTGTAAAATGTAACAGGAAATTTATAATGTTTTACTTGGCGCTACTGAAAATTTTAGTGAAATCGGAAACATAAACTCCTCAGATAAGATAAAATGTACCGTAACTAAATAATTTTATGCGTAATGTGCACAATTTACAGGTATATTTTTATGGTGGCGAAAAAAATGTGTTAGGGAAAAGTCGATAATTTTTTTTCACTTTTATACAACATTTTTGTAAGTATTAAAGATGTAATCTTTCCATATGTCAAAATCGAATAAGATAATTGTGTAAAATGCAGAAGTAAATTTATAATGATTTACAGATACTTGGCGATACTGAAAATTTTACTGAAATAAGAAGCATAAACTCATCTGATAGATGAAATGCATCGAAACAATATAATTTTATGCGTAACAAAATTTATAAATATATTTTTATCGTGATAAAAATGTATTTGGAAACGTCGATATTTTTTTTCTCTTATGTACAACTCTGCCCCAAATATTAAAGGTGTCCAACAGGCGTATTTCTGCACGTCGAAGTTAAGATAATTGTGTGCAATGCAAAAAAAAACAAATTTATCATTTACCCTTCGTTTCAACCTTCCTTCAAATTTTACCGAAATATCGGAAACACATCCTCCTCCTCTGAAACATGATACCGAATGAAGAAACCCACCAAATAATGATAACTGAATTAACACATCTCTCCCACCATCATCACGAGTTGTTGGCTGCTGTCAAGATGATGATGATGATGATGACGCCGACGACGACGACGATGTCGCGGATGACGATGAAAGCCATTAGTACAAGAGGCAAAGGAGGCGGCGGCGGAGGTGGTGGTGCCACGCCAAAGAGGATGAAAACCATAAGCTACACTACTGTGACGACTTGTGAAGTCAAGTCAAGCCAAGAATTCAAGCCGTCTTTTGTTCCCTTGCGAACTACTGATAGGGTCGATTGGGCATGAAAGAGCTCACTCTTTCACTTTCACTCACTCATTCGCAACACACAATAATACATAGCGAAAATACATATAAGACGCTAGCCTGGCCTGGCCCGAATAACAACAACAACAACAAAACGAGAAGCCAAAGTGAAAGTGGAGAAAACTCGCCATAAAACGTTCCCCACGGACGGAAAGCTGGGTAGAAAAGGAGGAGGAGGAGGAATGAAGAGATTATTTTATTCCTTGATATGAACAGTTTTACAGAAGGAATAAGCTTCTCGTTTCGGGAGAGACAGATATTATTGACTCCCTCTAGCCAGCCAGGGTCGTGCTGTGTATTTTGTTACGGAAAAAGATTATTTTATTTCCTCCCCGGCTTAAGTGTGGATGGATTTTGTGTACCTGCGATGAGGTGAAAATCCAGGCACCCACCATTTTGCACCCCAGATTTCAATAAGTTTGTCCAGAAAGTAAGTAATGGGCAGCAGCAGCTTGGCGGACCGGAGAGGAGAAAGTGGTGTGATGTGCCATATGAGGCGAACATTAATTCCAACCTGCGCTCCGCTCCCACGTCGAGGGGAAAAAGACAACAAACAAATGGATGACGGCTGCACATCGTATAAATAAAATGCTATCCTTCAAAACATGTAATTTCTTGGCTGGGTTTTATCCGAGAGGAGAGAAAGTTGGTGGAGGGAAAGTAGTCTAGTCGTGTCTGGTATTTTCGAGTGGTCTGCTGCGACCAACTCGTCCCGCGTGACGTGCCGAGGGACCGTTAACTTGTTAATTTGAGAGACAATTGGACCGCATTCTGGTCACGGAGGAGGAGGAGGAGACGAGCTTCGAGTCGAAATAAGTAGGCGGTGGTATGAGAAGGAGGGAAAGTAAAAAGTTGGAAAGTTTTCGGGAACAAAATGACGACCGAGGAATGAAACCTGTTCAGTATGCATCATACTAATAATAATAATAATCAGGGTTGGTGGATGCATTGCTACTTGATCGTGGGTGGAGGGCACGGTAAATAATGAGGGGATAAAAGTTGAGCTGAGGGTGAATGTCCATACGCGTTTTGGTAACAATGTTCGTTTATGAAATTCAAATTTGTTACGAAAATTACGAACTTGATAAATTGGAATTTCGTGGATAAGTTTTGTTACCAACGCGGTTGTATCTTATGCTTAGGAAAGAATGTGGGGACAAAATTAGAACTGAGGGCGAATATACGATTCTACCGATTTGATAAAAATTCATGATTTGATTAATAAAATTTGTTACCAAAATTTGTCACCGGAAACTTAATTTGAATTGTGTGAACAAGTTTTGGTACCAATTTGGTCGTATTTACATGATGCGGAGTAGCTGTTCATTTTGTTTCCACCCCGTTTTTAGTGTGTGGGCTAACTTTTGTACATGAGGAATTCGGAATTCTGACCATTTTGAGCCGGTGTGGTGATGCGTAATGGAATCCAATCGGGGGAAGGAATTCGTTCAGTTGGGTCAATTAACATTAACCCGTTTCTTCCAAATGGAACCAAATTCGGGGCTCGGTCGTGCAGGGGAACAGGAATTGTGGTGGTGAGGGAAGGAAATTTATTTTATGAGGGTACATTTTCCAATGGGAATTTTACTCGTGTATATTATCCTTTTGAAAGTGAGGTACACACACAAATTTTGATGTTATCCGTTCCCCAAATACTTATTGGGGAAAGATTGCATAACGGGGAGAGACAGGGTTTCGCATAGGTGAGTGTATAGTGAATATTCTGCGTTATTCAGGTGTATGTCGTATGTCAATTAAAAATTGCAGAAAACTTTAAAAAAATTGAGACAAACCAACTCACCTTTTGGTGGTTTTTTAAGAGTTATAACTCCGATATTTTCGTCAAAGGCGTGTCATCATAGCATACAAATTTTCATTAGTTTTTTTAACGAACTGTTGATCTCCCTTACCCAAGCCCAAACATGTGCAAACTAAAATTCCAAAAAAATTGTTCTAAACAAAACACGACATCGCCAATTTGGAGAATTTGCACAGGGAGAAAGTCTCTCCATTTTCGTGCATCATCTTCCCTACCAAAACTCGGATGAGCTACGTACGTACCCCGACACCGAAAAGATATCGCCCCCTCCTCCACACAACTTTGTCATCATCATTACACACACACCAAGACAGAGAAGAAGAAGAACAACGATCAAACAAACAAAAAAAGTTGGTCTGCTACTGCCACAGAAGAAGAAAAACTAAACGGTCTTTTTGCGTATGAAACATATTCCTTCAACCAAATACCCTCTAACCGACCCGGATTTCCAATGTGACCACCACGCCATACGCCACGCAAGAAGGAAGTCAAATCTACTTTCCCGTTATACAAGCAACCATTAATTTTTTGCCCAAGAAATAAAATTCGATCTGCTCCGGAACAGAATAACGCATCGGTCTTCTGCATGGCATGGAATCCAGCAATTCAAGAGTTGGCCGAGTTAGTGCAGTGATGCAGTAATAAGTAAATAGATTCACTGTTTACTTAATCTTTCTGTCCTGACGAGCTGTGCGGGGAGGATGTCACCAATTATTTTTGGGGAGGAGAGGTCAGAGGTCAGAGGTCAAGTGGGGTCCAAAGATTGATGGGGCAAGGGCCGGGTCAAAGGTCAATTGACATCCAGACGTGCACACCCCCTTCTCTTCAGTCAGATGGGTTATTGGATTGGATTGAATTCTTTATTACGGGCGGATTTGGTTTGGGGTGGGATTTGGGTTTGAGATTTATTCGCCATAAAATAGATATTCCTTGTGAACAATGTAAATGTAAGTGTATAACACTCGTCGTATCCTCGTCACTAAAGAGTGATGAGGATTATTTTATGATTTTATTGGAAAGCTGGTATGGTGGCGGTCAAAAGTTGTTGCTGCATTTCTTGCAGGATTGAATTATTACGAGAAGATTTTGCAATGTTTTGTTTACTTTTGGGAATTTGAATTATGATTGATTATGAAAGTTGTTGCTGGGTGGGTGGGCGTGGGGGAGAAATTTATAAGTTGGGTGATTAGGTGGTGGATAAGGTAGGTAACTTTGATGATGAGAGATGAGATGATGAGACAAGATTGAGCAAAAAATCGCTCTTGCTTGATTCAGAGATTCATACATAGGAAGGAAATGGAAATGCAGAAAATTTGCAGATTTGCATGAAAAAAGAGAGAACCGGTTCTTCTTAATTCTTCTTACGCAAAGAATAGCTAATTTAAAAAATGTATTTACTCATCTTCCATAAGTTTATGTAACGGTGGGTCAAAAACAGAATGTCAGACTGCACTGCGACATAAAATCGTAAACGCACGATTATGCATTTTTTAAGGGAAAGTGGTCTAACTTTGTCACACGAGTGCACCTGCAAACCTAAAATTGGACATATTCTTTCAGACAGGAAATAAAAATATGTACTTATTATGCAAATTTGTGCGTGGCAAAAGTAAACACTTTTTAATAGCTCGTCATCCAATCGACGAATTCATCAAAGCAACAATTACGTGGTGTTGGTCGGGTAAATATGGAAATTAATGACACGCGACTCTAAAAATTGGCTCTTTCTTGAAGACGACGACGACTAGATTTAAAATTGTTATTCGCCTTACTTCTTCTTCCCATGCCTTCCCATTGTTAAGTATTTGAAAGTGTTTAGGGGTCAGTAGTGGCATATGGACGGTAGTGACCTTGCTACGAAGAGGATGAGGGAATAACTGCCCCAACGGGTTTACCATTCACCAACAAGTATTTAACCACTTGGCGACAGGGAGCCCAACTTTAGTCTCAATTTCCCTTTCTGATTGACCAATTCTTCTTATTCTTCTTCTTCACCCCTCACCATGAAGAGTGGGAAGTTATTGATAGTGCTTGTTGTGGGAGTAATTGTGGGTCCCACGTCCGGGAAGAAAGGCTGGACCGGTCACGACCACGGTCTCAAACTCCATTCGACCCAGCATCACGAGGCCAGCTCGAAATTAAGCGAGGCCTACGTGAAGTTCCACCGGTTAGGAGATGGACAAAGTAAAGGACAGCGGAGACAGGTAAGGAATAAATAATGGATAAAGTAGTTTAGCGAGGTCATTAATTTTAAAGTAACTTTAAATTTTGATGAAGGTATCTGTCAAGTTTAAATTCAATTTCGAAAAACATATCTTTCAAGGCCCTTGAATCTAATTATATTTAAATTTTAATTCCATAATTTAATTATGACCAGGGCGGACTTTTGGCCTCCCTTTTCAACAAGGACCAACAGCAACAGGGCGACCAGGGAGGAATGATGCAGATAATGGGCGGCGGTGACATGGGCGGTGGTGGCTGGGGTGGCATGGCAGCGACCCAGACGCTCATTCCCGTCCAGATGATGATGGGAGGAGGTGGGGACGGATGGGGGGGATCTTCCAATGGGGGTGGTGGTGGTGGGTCTTCCATGATGAGTGGTGGAGGAGGTGGGGACGGATGGGGCATGGAATCTCAGCCAATGATGATGATGACCAGCTCGAGCGGGTGGAGCAGTGGGGGTATGATGCCGAGTAGTGGGGGCATGATGATGGGGGTGGTTGGGGAAATAGTGGTGGGGTCATGATGGCCGCAAAACCGACGGGGTGGGCGTCCGCCGGTGGAATGGGTGGTGGTGGGACGAATGGTGCAATTGTTATGATGCAAACGCAACCTCAGACAGGTTGGGCGACCGGAAGTTTCGCCAAGTTTCGACCCGGAGCGTCAACTCAGCAGAATAATAAGGGATTCCAGTTCCAACTTCCGCACGGAAAACCAGCCATCCTGCAGTAATTGATTAATTATTTAGCAATTAATTAGTTAATTATGAGATCAAAGTTTAAATAATTAATTCTTTCATATAGCAAACTCAAGCCGATTATCGACCTTCCCAAAAAAGGTGGGTGGGGTTGGTAGAGAAGAAGACCTTGAAAAGAAAGAGCTTTCAGACTAAAGAGAATTATTTATTGCTTATTATGTTTTTTGTTTGTTAATTTATGATAAGCCGAATGTACATGATTGATAAGAAGATGTCGAAATAAAGTTGATAAAATTGTGGAAAAGGAGTTTGTTGAAGAATTGCATTTTTGTGAAAATGATGACATGTGAGAAAGTGAGAGTGGATAAAATTGCAGTAAAGTTGTCAATTTATTATTATGTTGAGAAAGTTGGGCACAGGGCCAAAAACATGATCAAGTCTCATCTCAATCACCTACCTGCTGTCTTATTTTGTCTCAACTTGCCTCCTAATGTCGTCTCATCATAGTCTCACTTTGCCTCATCTTACCCGACCAGCACGCCACCTGTGACTTCACAATTTGGCTGAGCCGGTGCTGCATGGTTTTCTTCCACATTTTCCATTCCATCTCATTCTCAGTCTTTGGGAGCTGCTTGACTTGGAATATTTCCAGTTTTATATTTTCTCGGAAATTTTAATAAAAATTCGACACCATGGACGGAGGAGGATCCGGACTCACGTTGCAACTGAGAGGAACCCTGCGAGGTCATAATGGATGGGTTACGCAAATCGCGACGAATCCAAAGGATGAGAATATCCTGATTTCTGCTTCTCGAGGTAAAAATCTAATTATTTTAACTTATCATTGAATAGGGGAGGTTTATTAATTGTTTAATTTAATGCTTGCTTAGATCGCACCCTGATCGTGTGGAAGTTGACCCGTAACGAGAGCAATTTTGGCGTGCCAATTAAACGTCTGTATGGTCATTCTCACTTCGTCTCCGACGTGGTGCTCTCGTCCGATGGCAACTTTGCCCTTTCTGGGTCATGGGATAAGACTCTGCGACTTTGGGATTTGGCCGCTGGGAAGAGTACGCGACGATTTGAAGATCACACCAAGGTCAGGATTGACGAGGAGGAGGATGACGACGACGACAACGGCTTGCTGATCTGATGGATGGAAGATTTTTTGTATATTTTTTTGTATTTTGGTCACATGTGGTCTTGCTCCTTGTGAGAGCAGCAGTAAGTGAGACTGTGACAGAACATGACTGCGGTGTGGTTATCATGTCTCCTTATTAATCGGGTAAGGTGTATGCATGACCACGGGGCCAGACTCCTCCACACGATAGCTGAATAGCGCCATAGTCTGAATCGACTCATCTTACTTTTTAACATTTTTATAATTAGTTTGAAAAGTTTTATAATGTTTCTTTTTAAATTTTGATTTGCAGGATGTGTTGAGCGTTGCATTCTCTGCGGACAATCGTCAAATCGTGTCTGGTTCTCGGGACCACACCATCAAGTTGTGGAACACTTTGGCTCAATGCAAGTTCACGATTCAAGAAGAGGGTCACTCCGACTGGGTGTCCTGTGTCAGGTTCAGCCCCAACATTGCGCAACCCATCATTGTTTCTGCTGGATGGGACAAGAGTGTCAAGGTGAGGAAATGTTAATTAACTAATTAATTAGAGCACAGACATTAGACCTCGGAGCAGTTTTTATCAGTGACGCTTTGAGGGTCGATCTTGTGCGAAAGTGAAAGCATTTTATCAATTAATCGCCTCCTTGCGAGTAATAGCGCATTAGGTTTGATGACTTGCTCACAAACATATTTACACTTAACAGTTTAATTTACACAATCTTATATATTTATTTATTTTGTCTTGTTAGGTATGGAACTTGGCCAACTGCAAGCTGAAGGCTTCCCACGATAAGCACGCCGGGTACTTGAACACGGTCACCGTTTCGCCAGACGGTTCCCTCTGCGCGTCAGGAGGAAAGGACTCTAAGGCCATGTTGTGGGATTTGCATGATGAGAAGCATCTCTACACCTTGGACCATAACGACATCATCAATGCTCTGTGCTTCTCTCCTAATCGGTACTGGCTCTGCGCCGCGACCGGACCTTCCATCAAAATCTGGGTAAGAAATTAATTGTGACATTTGACCTATGTAATAATAGATAAGATAATGTAACGTAGACTTAAACGTGATGATAACTTTTCCATGAGAGATAATGATATTACCCTTTCTTTGCGGATATGGGACTGACTTTTTTAGTTAATCTGTTGAAAAATTAAGTTTGACTTTTCTATCGTTTGTTGCTAATAATTTGTATTTTGTTTGTGATCAGGATCTCGAAACGAAGAACATGGTTGATGAGTTGAAGCCAGAGGTCGTGTCCCAAACCGCGACAAAGAACGTGCAGCCCGACTGCCTCTCCCTTGCCTGGTCGAATGATGGACAAACTTTGTATGCTGGATACTCCGATAACGCGATTCGTGCTTGGCAGGTTTCGCAAACACTGAGTCGCAGTGTGAGTTAGACAGGTCACTAAGGACTGGAACATCTAATATATCTTTTGTTATTCTTTCCGTTATGCTTTAGAAAAAATGGAATAAAGTGATGAAATTGTATTGTTGTTCCCAATTGAGATTTTATTCTGTATCAATCAATCAATGATTTATTAACTCGGCATCAAAAAACACATTTAAATAGGTTATTAAGAATATTCACACAAAAATCAAAAAATGATGAACCGAAATAAAAATGGTGGTAAAGGTAGGTAGGTTGTTAGTTAGTTGCCATCATCATCCTCAATTTTGGGTGCCAGGTAGTATCGAACGTAGCCAATGTCGTTGATCTTGAATTCCACGACGAGTGGGACTTCGGGCGACATGCTGAGCTGGACGCGTTCAGACAAACCGGATGCTTTTGCAAACAATCCAAGGTACCTGCATAGATAAATAAATAAATTGACATGATGATTATGCAAACAAATTGAGTTTTCTAATTTAGCGATTGAATAATTTTCTCACCTTGAAGCGAAAGTAAGTGTGACCGGCTCCTGGAGTTCGATTGTGGTGGCATCTTTAGAGTCGACAGAAGAAGACTGTGCTACCTTGACATTTCCAGTTCCAATGTCTCCCGTGGAAGAAAACTTGACACCAGCCTTGGAGCAGGAGAAAGTGATGCTTTCCCCAAACTGAGACAGGTCACGGATGACTCGAGCGAATTCAGCAGATGGCATTTTTACGACGCAAGCATAATCAGTTTCCTAAAGAAGAGAGATATGACCAATTACTTTCATGCATCTATCAAAATAAACAAAGATCAATTTAAATAAATAGTTACCGGAATTCCCAAATGCTCCTGATCCAAATTCATAAGTTTCATATCAAAGTCAGACACTCGTTCTTGATTACTGGCTTCGAAGACGAATGTGACAATATCCGCGGCGTCCTGCGCCTTCATGGTGACCACGTCATCAGCACTGCAGCACTTTAGAATCTTCCCCAGCGAGGTCAAATTCATGCCCATCGAGACATTGCGGTCACACCGGTACGTTTCGAAACCATCAGCTCGCAAGTTGAGTGAGACAAGGGAAACGTGAGAGTTATCCATGGCTTGAAGTTGGATGCCAGAGTCGGTGCCTATAATTAATTAATTATACCAATCATTACATAATCATCATCACTAAATTAAAATTACTACTCACAATCGAACGTAGCTTCCGTCAAGAGTTCCTTGATCGCGTCCAGAATCTTCTTCAGAGTTCCGGCCTGTTGCAATTTCGCCTCAAACATGATGATAACCTTTCACCTGACGAGATTATAAAATAGAAAATATTATTTGGCAAAGTTTTCTTCGCAAAAAACACAAAGTTTCCGGAGTCAAAATTATACTGGAGCAGCCAGGACAAAACAGCGGACAAGAGTGGCAAAGAATAAAGACAAGACTGAACAAGAGACGTTTTGCTACAAAGGATTCGATGGCGGGGCTCAAAGTACTCTCGAACTAAATTTGCGTGCCACCTAATTTGCATAAATCTCACAATTCACTGCGGACTTTTCAACTCTATGGCTCTCGCGAACCCGTCAAAAAATGGTGAGCAACTGACACGCCCATTTACTTTGAGAGTAGCACACGACCCTCATCCCGCTCGGCTGGAAAGCACGAGCCACATTCAAAACCGAGATGAGATTTGAGGTGAAGTGAAACTTTGTTTGTATTGGGGAGTGAAAGTTGACAAAATTTTGGGAAACTTTTTTTTTCTCTAATAATAATTAATTTGGTACTTTGGTTAAAATGAGTTCGTGGACATGGGTGGCGAAGACGTTGAAGAATTTGCGTCTCGCTACGCCAACATCGACGTCGACGACAACAATGAGAAAACCGGTCACAGCAGATCAACTACAATCGAGGTTACCTCCGTTCGTAAAATGAGTTTGAACTTGTCTTGTTCTCATGTTTTGGTTGCGATAATATAGTTATTAATTAGTGTTTTTTTGGAGCGTTTAATATCTTGGGGGCTTCATTTTTTTTGTGATTTAATTAGATGCGAAGTAAGTTAATGTAAATATTTATTTTGCAGACTGATGAGTGCATCTGCAGGTGTGCCAAAGCAGAAGGATGGGTTGGCCGTCCCTCCACGACCGAAGAAGCCACTCACGCCATACTTTCGGTTTTTGGCGCAAGTTAGAGAAGATGCTAAGAAGGAGAATCCTAAGTTAAAAATTACTGGTGAGTTTACTTATTTAATTAAGTACTTGAACTTCTTGGGAATCATGATTAATTTTGGGTGTTGGATGATTCAGAGTTGATGAAGAAAATCGGAACGCAATGGGATCGGCTGGACGAAGCTGGGAAGGAGAAATATTTGGCGGCGTACAAAAAAGATATGGAATCATATTCCGCGACGTTAGACAAGTATCAAGCATCCCTCACTCCGGAACAGACAGCGTTAGTAGAGCAGCTCAAAATGGAGAAAATGTCCAAGAAAGATAAGCGTGAAAAGAAACGGCGAGTTAAGGTGGTGGAACCAAAAACAAATTAATAAACCAGAAACAAATTAATAAACCATAAATATGCACTTTGTTAATAATTATCTTAAATCTATACATACAGGATTTGGGCAAGCCTAAAAAACCCATGACTGCCTTTCTGCTTTTTCTTAGAGCACAAGCAAAGCATGGAGACACTATTGAACAGTATCAACAATTGGCAAAACAAATGGGAACGAAGTGGAAAGGCATGAGCGAAGCGGAAAAGGCACCCTACCTCGCACAGTATAACGATGCAGCGTCCATATATGAGAAGGATTTGAAAAAATGGGAAGATAAGATGCTTAAGCAGGTATGCAAAACTGCAAGATTTGGAAACAGTTTTTTTGATCGTGTAGCTAAACTAATAATCTTAATTTGTTTAGGGGAATAACGACGTCGTCCGAATTAGTCATCTCACAAAGGCAATTAGGGCGAAATTGAATCGATGAACCTCACGCTTATCATCCTCGTCTTATAAATCTTTCCAAATCATAGTGCTCCCTTTTGATGAGTGTAGTGTTTGTATGCATTTAAAAATGGAATGGTTGATTATATATAAGATAAATCATCTAAAGGATTGAATGCTAATTTTATTTATACAGATGGATAAGTTAATAAATAAAATACAAAATAATATTTGATACGATAAGCTAGTTATTGATGATAACATGACATGAAGTTTGAGGTTTTGCATAGAGCAGACCCTGGCTGAGCCAGCCGGGATGGTTTGATTTGATCGGCCATTCTATTCCTCTTCTCGACCTGAAATAAATACGCTCGGGTTGATCTTTGCATTTCGAACGCCTTATTTTGTCGGTCAATCAGGTAAGAGTAAAACGGTTATCATTATTACTTGTAAGATAAGGTAAATGTCTTATCAGTGAGATAGATTGGTTTGTTGTTTTGCTTTGTATGTTACAGTGAATTGTTTAGTTTTATTTTAATCGGCTGTTTTTTTGGTTGTTGTTAATTGTTCTTGAAGTTTAATTAAAAATCTATATTACGCTTATTTATACAGGGCTCCGGCTCCAGTTCACTCTTGTTCCAGAAACTTGTTATGCCAGAAGCTCTGAAAATGGGGAAGGAGGAAGAATTACTAAAAACGGCACCTTTCGATCCACGATTTCCAAATCAAAATCAAACAAAGTAAGGCGATTATCTTTATCAGAATAAATTATTTCGAATAATGATAGTAAACTGATCAAAAATATTATATTTGGTTATTCGGGTAGGATTTGTAGTTCATATATCATCATAGTATCATAATTAGATTTCGATTAAGGCAAAAACTATGGTCAACTATTAATAATTAATTGTTTTATTTTTCAGACATTGTTACACTAGTTTTCTGGATTACAAGCGCTGCGTAAAGGCTCGTGGGGAGAAGTATGCGCCGTGCGACTACTTTAAAAAAGTGTACACTTCACTCTGCCCGTTCGCCTGGGTGGAGAAGTGGGAGGAACAGATTTCAGAGGGCAAGTTCGCTGGCAACATCTAAAATCTTGTGAATATCCACTTTAGTCAACTTATTATTATAAAACTATTAATTCTGTCGTGAAAAATACAGATTCAATTATTCGGAAAATCGTGTAAAAATAAATGTAGAAGATCGAAAATGGTTTAACTATTATTATTTTAAATTAAGTATGAAAAAACTGCCATGTTAGACTTGACTGGATTTCGGGCAAGGAAAAATTGTTAGTTTTGGACACTTATTTCTCTTTCCGTTCTAACGATTCACCCGTATTAAACTAGTAGAAATAGAATTGTCGTAAAAGTTTAGGTTAGGATTTACCTTAAAATTGGTATGATTTGCAATTGAAGACCTTATATACGAATAAAATTGCATTGATGGATGGTTAAATTTTTGCTGGATGATTTAATTATGCTGCATAGGATAAGCATGGTTCACAAAATAGTCTCAGTTTATTAATTAATTTAATTGGTCTTTTTTATGGAGTTATTAAGGATAAGTCTGTGGCGTTAGCAATTTTGCATACGATTCCTTGAGATTTTTGCCACTCTGCCCCAGACGGAAGCGCAACTCGCACTCATTTCGCTGCACGAGCAAGTGCAAAAGTGTTAATATTTTGATGCGGTCATCGTTATTTAACGTGCCCGAGGTGACCGTGTGTCCTCCATTTCCAAGTAAGTTACATCCAACTCAATTAACTAACTAAAAGCGACATAAAGTTAAATTGTCACTCATTTTACGCCTTATTTCTAGGATAATAATGTTGCCTTCTTCCCGTGTCCTCTTTTCGCGTCTGCAGACTCTTAACGTCGCCAAATTCGCCACATTCTCCTCTCCATCACCTACTCACATCTTGACCAAATCATGGCGACCCTATGACCAGTCTGGATTTAGATGCAGCCGTCGTTTCCTCTCACAACAACAGACGACAAATCCGCCCCCACCATCAAGAGAGGTAAATTCGTCGACATCTCAGGAGTTGCAAGGTCATGACGAAGATAGCAGTGTGACAAGTAGGAGCGAACAAGGAAGCGAAGCATTATTGAAAGCGTTAGGAGGTGACAGCAATTTAGCAACAACGACAGGTCCGCTGAACTCATATTAATGCTGATTAATGTTCTGAGTGATAACCATCTTATTTCTACTCATTTAGCCCCCACTGATGAGCTTGACACCCTCTACAAAACCATCGAACTCGAAGTCCTCTCTTACGAGCCCGCTGTCCTCGAAAGTTATCAATATTTCGTAATGTCATCAGCCAAATACCTCTCCATCCCCGTGGGAAAGGTGTGGTCGCCCCTAAAATCGGACAAGCTGCGATTTCCTCTCCTCAAGTCCGCATTCGTCCACAAGAAACATCAAGTCCACTATGAAATTAGGACGTATCATAAATTCATCACGCTCCATCATCTCACCTCCTCCACAGCCAACACGTTTCTAGAATATATAGAGAGGAATCTTCCGGAAGGGTGTGGCCTTAAAGTCACAAAGGTTATGGTGCAACCAATCCCAGCCTTTTTAAGAAAACAGCAACCGCAGGAACAGGAGCAGCAGCAGCAGAAATAGTCAGACTAAACTAATAATAATATTATTAAGTTTAAACCTTATTTATATATCTCTAAATACATGGATGATATAAGCGAGAAGAATACAGAATTTAGTAGATTTTTTAACAAAGTGTGCCCATTACTTATTTGCACCTGCATCTTCTTCCTTCCATTGTTGCCCTTATTTTTTCATGTATTTCCTAGTAAAAGGGATTCAAAGAAGGAAAGGGAACGAAAGGAGACCTTGAGAAGATGGGAAAAATGAGGTGGTGACGTTACATATATACAAACATGGGATTGCATTCTATGAGAAATGGCCATTGTCAAGAAGAACCCTTAATTTTGAGAAGACGCTTTTAGAGATGAGATAGTAACGGGATCCCCTCGAGTAAAAAAGGGTCCTTTTTCTACATCTTGGGATTTCCAAGATCATGGATGGAATGGAAACCTTCACCTTTACCTGGATGGAACTGGAATGATCGATCTTTTCGAGGAAATGACTAGATTCATGGCTCCAGTAAATCGTTAAACGTTGACCAAGCAGGATTTGTCATGATTCCATTTGTAATTTTTCTCGTCGTCGTTCTTGTGGGTGGAGCGGGAGCCCAACAGAACGTACATGATCCGAGATTCATAGGTGAGTAGAATTATTTAAATGACGATAAACAAGGTCACATTGAACACATTTCGAATTTCAGGTCAAGTTCCGGAGCAGTGTGGCGAGGATCCTAGTTTTTGCTACATTTATTGCAGATCCATCGACCCTGACACGACGAAGGCGAGATGCGCGAGAGACTTGGTGTCATGCATTTGCACAAATAAGCGAAACAACTCGATTGGAGGTATTTTTCTCAAAGCCGCACCCACCATATAAATTTCACGGTTGCATTTCCGCAAAAATATTTTTTTTATAAAAATGTGGAAGGTAAAATCCAAAAATAATTTTGACAATGTTTGTGGTATTTAATGTAAAACTCTAAGTTTATTGGAAAACAGAATGGGGTCAAAGATTTTATGAACAAAGAAAACTTAGATTTTAATTTTTTATAATTTCATGAAATTATGAACGAAATTCATTTAACTAAATGTCAATCACATTTAATAATTATTATTTATTTTCAGTCCGATTCGTTCAAGAACGTCTCCCCCAACCTTCCACGACCACAACAACGACGCCTCTGCCCCCGATAAATTTCGACTACGCGCCAGGCGAACCAGTCCCCGTCCTGCTCGAGTGTGACGGATCTACCGAAGCGGGTGAAATTTGCCACGAATTCTGCACGCTGGAGGTCCACGCTCTGTCTGGAAGTTGTGACCTTGCGGACAAAACATGTCGATGCGAAGGAGTCTCTCCATCCACCATGCAACCAGGTCTCGAACGCTTTACCTTATCTTTTAGATAACGTCTTAAGCTTATTTTTTTACTAACAGCCCCAATCGCTTGGATATATGCGCCCCGACCGACACTTCCTCCACCACCCACGACACCAGCGACACCACCCCCACCACTCCTCATGCAGCAAAATTACTGGAATCCAATCACGTATGGACATCCGAATTACAATTACAACCCAATTCCGATGCAACACCCGAACGGGGGCTATTACATGCCCGCCCTGGCCCCTGGGGTGGCTCAGCAGCAAATGTACCCACCCCAATTGCAAGCCTGGGATCCGTACCACACAGTCACGAATGAGCAGTGGATCAACCCATACCAACCACAACAACCACCCCTGCCACCGCCAGCATCACCTTCAGAGTCGACAAATCAACATCGACTAGAGGAAATTGAGACAACGACAATGACCCCACTTTCAGTGGAAACGTCGACTAGCGAAGTATTGACATCTACGTCGACAAGCGTCAGTATGACGGAGGGTGTAGAGGTGATGGAGGAGGAAGAAAGCGGTCAAGATGACACGGCTCCTCAGCCGGAGAGAAAGAAACGATCTGCAGCATCTTCATACGCATCCGCTTTCTCGTTTGGATCAGGAAATTCCAATAGGTTCATTTAAACCATGGATTCAATTGGATAAGCGCTTATCTAAAGATTTTTTGTGTGGGTTTATAGGGAAACTTGTTCCGTGTCCACGTGTCAAGCGTCATGTGAGGCAAGCGGTTTCGACGCGAGGAAACGATGCATTCCAAAATGCGTGGATACGGAGTGTTTCTGCCTTTGTAAACCAGAACGGGTAAATTCATCTTCATTTTTATCCACTCTTATTGATGGCAAGGTGGAAGAGTTGGTCGGACAAGTTTTGGCCACGCCAGGTAAACTTGATCAGAACTTTTTCATGGAAAATTGTGCAGAGAAAATAAAATAAATTCATAACTTTAATAGTAAGGGTGACTTCTCCAGGGAGTGGAAGTAACAACCCTGTGACTGGGACGACAAATTATCAACGACCTGTGCAAGGTGTTCCGCAAAATCCGTCTTCACCTCATCCCTCAACCGGTTTAGGTGGTCTGACCTACGGGGTTAATAAGACACCCCTGACACAGGACGAGTTTATGGCTCTTTTCGCTCCACCACCGACTCTCTACACATAAAATAAATGAGCCAAACTGCATAAGAGCCAGACGAGGAAGTTCAAGGTCAAATATGATTATGATCATGAAATTAATTTCAACGAGTGTTTTTTTTTAAGAATAAGCAATTTAATTGAACAATCTTCAAATCTCATCGTCAGATTATTTGGATCTCGTCGCGATCACTCTCTTTCCATTTCACACTGTACATGAATACTTGATTGGTTAATATTTCAAAACAATTAATAGGATGATATTTTGTTAATAAAATCGGGACATTCTTCCTGACGTTGAGTTATAGTTATCACAACAATAAGTTATACTATGAAAAGTTAATCGTTGTTAACAGTTTATACACCATTTCATTTCCGAAAAGTGTACATAAATATAGCACCAGCGGCGACATAGCACGATTTCAAGCATGTTTAGCGGAATTATTAATAAATATTGAATAATAAATTACTTATCAATCGTTTTTGTAGCACATTCATACATTCAGCTTGTCAGTTTTTATTTAAAAAACACCGGAAGAAGTCAGATCCAGTCCAGCGAGATTCAAAGACCTCAAATATTTTACGGGGACGACACGATTTCTTCGACATACGTTGCCGGAAATATTCCTATGGCGCCGTGCAACTCGCCCAACCACCAGCCATCCTCCTGCTTATCGTGAATATTAATCTCCTCACCGACGCGGATGGACAACTCGTCAAAGAGATTGGCTTCATAGTCGTAGATCGCTCTGCATTTCCCGATACTTGGTCCATCACCACTTCCAGGGGACGTGGGGGATCTCGTCATACTGGGCATGACCACTTGGACGGACTCGACCTCCTTCAAGTTGGATTCACCTCCTCCACAAATTTCGTCCTCTTCTTCCAAGTGGGCCGAAGTCCCGTCCGCCTTGCCGCGTTGGTGTGGAATGGAAGAAATGGATGATGACGACCAATTATTAGTTGTGGGCGAGGGGATGATGACGGGGGAGAGGGCGAGACACTCCTCCCGTGCCCATGACGGGACTTTCAGTATTGTTTGGGGCAGCCCCTGCTTGTCCCGTTGGTGACGCATGTACTGGGAAATGGGGTAGTTGCTCCGTGGTCGAGATTCGACATCGGCCATGACATTGTCCACTTTGGCGCGGGCAGCTTCAAGGTAGAGGAGCATGGAGCGGAGCTGGAGGATTAAAAATAATAATAATAGTAATCGACTTTGAAGAAGACGAAAAATTTGACGAAATTAGTAATGTGTGACAATTACATAGTAAAGCTTATCAGCAATGTCGTGATGCGCATTGTCCGGCGTGGGCGTGTCGGCGACAGCCTTGGCCAGATTTTCGACCCCGACGGCTCCCTTCTTTTCACGCTCCAAGTCTTGAGTAATGAGATATAAGCATTTCTCGAGAACCTGTGCATACAAATAGGTCAATATTTTTCATATTTATTATCACAACCTTTATAAATTGAATCATACCTCCCGTCGTCTCGCCTTATTCATTAGATTTGAGCTGTCCTCCGCATAAAAGTCGGGTAGCAGCTGTTCCGCACCCACATGGCGGCGAATATCTGCCACGCTGGCGAGATCGTCTGAAACAGAGGACGCGTTGATGGGTTCGGTCAGAGATTCGATGCTGTGAATCCAGCGGGGCGTGAATTCTGAGAGATGGTGGAGATACTTGGACGCCATTTCTTTCAAAAGGGAGAGCTTTTCTTCTTCAAGGGTGCGAAGACAGGTCGAACCGTTACGGATGGCCCCTTCCCATTCAAGTCTGGAGGTGAGAAAATCAAGGAGGACGTTAAATTAAAATCGGCAAGTTTCGAATGCAAGATAATTTGAGACTGATTAAGTTTTTATGTAAACTTATGCTTAATAAATATAAATTTTGAAAAGTGCAACGCCATCACATAAAATTTGAACGGTGGAGAGAATATTAAATATATTAGATTCGATTGTTCGATAAATTAAATTAGCAATAAGACGAAAAATGGAGTTTTTAATATTTTTCATATGTTTTGACATACCTTGCCCTCTCTGACCGAATGCAAAACGTATAATAGTCGACATCCCCGCGACGTACGTTCTCCTCCGCTTTGCGACGTTTCGACTCCAACTATTTAAGAGGCAGATTTATTTATAAATTAATTTATAAATTAATTTAATTCCACACTGAATTATTTCGTCTACCTTGATGGGATCCTTGTCCGTGGGAGGAACGTTGAGCAGCCTTGAGCGAGGGCGTCCTTCTGCATTTAAGCGATTATTACTACTAAGTGGTCCACCACCACCTCCACTATTTGCGACGGAGGCATCGTGCTGCTGCAGTTTTTCGAACTCTTTCGAACTCGAAAAGCAGTGTCGTTTGGACTGAAATGGTAAAAAAAAATACGTAAAAATCTTGTAAAAAACTTCATCCTTTTATTTTACACACTTTTGCTTCCGCGAGTCTCCAGTCGGCCAAATTTCGCGTCGTTTTGTCCACTAAAACCTCGACAGATTTGCGAATTTTGTGCTGCGTGTCGGTCGATGTGCGGAGTGGTTTGGCCAATTCGTCTTCCAGGGAGGAGGACCATTGTCTACAAGGCGCAAAAAGTCATTCCTTGTTTCTCATCTATTTCTCATGACATGCTAATTAATTAGTCGTGGGAGTTTCTGGCCTATGTTTCCCATAAGGGGCCGTCCATAAATTACGTAACGCAAGAGGGGGGAGGGGGGGTCTAAGGCTCCAATGATATCGTGCCTATGTTACACATGTTAAAGGGGGGAGGGGGGGTCTAGAAAATCGCGATTTTTGCGTTACGTAATTTATGGACGGTCCCTAATCATCAAAATGGAAACACGGACTCACAAACAAATAGCGAATATAACGGGACAAGGTAAAAATTGGATGGTATCACATTTTTCTCTCAAAAAGTGAAGGAACTGTCACTGACAGATAGTGAACCCGGAATATAATAAAATTTTCTTGTATTATGTACATTTTTACATAAGTGGCATTTCATTTCATGAGCCAAAAAAATCCTCATGTTGTGTCCACTTTTGGCACAGACTACCATTAAATGTAGACACCCACGCCCAAAAATAGCCAGAAATGGAGATTGGCGAAAAAAAACAACTGATTTATTGAAGCTAATTCTTCTCGCATGCAAAGTGACGAGACGACGTGTCACTATTGTCTTTCTTATGAAGGAAGGGTTTTTGACCAATAAATGAGAATGCAGATTAATTTAATTGGCTTAATACCTGTGAAGTTCGGCTTGTGTGTCGATTTGGACGGCGACGGCTTGCCAAGCGTGGGCAACCGAGCCCTTGGCCTCTTTCGATGCCTTTAACAATTTCGCCGACAGTTTAGACAGACCTTTCGCATAGGTGGACTCCAACTCGGACCTATCGACAGGAAATAAATAAAAATCATGTCACTTATCTGCTCAGATAAGAATTTACATGGTGTGACGATATACAGTAATAAATAACGAAACTTGACTAGAAAAAATAACGGATATTGCACAACAAGTTGAGATAACGTAAAAATGTAGTAATTTTGACATGCCGTGTCATGATGACACACGTAACGTGAAAGATTTTTCGCTCTGATGATCTCAAAAAATGTGCAAGTGAAAAAAAATTGGCTCACCTTTCGTGCAATACGACGGCGAGATCTTTGCAAAAATCGCCCCCAGATTTTACCAGGCGTCGGAGGTCTTCAAATTCACTCCCGCCCTGGAACAAAGGAAGGTCATTTGTGCATAATTTATATAATTTGGATAAATATTTAATTATGACTCTGACCAGACGACCAAATTATGCTGTTTGTCAGTACCTGTGTCGCCCTAATTCTCCGCAAAGTCATTTTCTTCTGTCTTGGCGACATTATTGTTTATATTTTCTTCCCAAAAAGGGTCACACCAAATATGGCACAAAAAAGGTCACCCTTATTTAATCCTACCCTCAACTAAACCAAGTTCAACTACAAATTATTATGTCACAAACAAGTCTCAACCCCACATTTATTGCGTGTCAGGCAATCAATTAAGCGAATCCCGTCAGAAATGACCACTGAATTGACCACAATAATTGATTATGATTTACAGATCACAACTAACAGTAAAAAAAAGAACTTGGTCCGACCGGATATCCCTTTTTTACGCGATTAACGTTAACTCTGCACCACAATTACGCGGATGTCCACTCTCTGTGTCCGAGAGTCTATTTTTTTCCTAGCATGCACAGTTATTTGATTGACATAAAATAATAATATGCGTATCACTTGCTACTGGTGGTGGTGGGGATAGGACACAGATTGATAATAGGGGTCAAATACATCTCTCACTTTGTTGTATTTGGAAATCGAGTCTCTATTTGTTTGAAGTCATCGGTTGCAGTAAAACAACTGCCTACTAAACTGGGTGACACACATTAGCCTCAGAGATTCTTCATACAATCGAATCCAACGAACAAACTCTTCTCAAACTCGACTGAATCTGAATAATATAAGAATGAAACTGAAAGACAGACCAAACCACGAAATGAAATGAAATGAAATTGCAATGTGTATGAGATGTGATGTGATGTGATGATTTCTTGGCGATGAGGAAAAAGAAACTAGATAGGAGACGTATGTATGCACAGTTCTATTACATTACCTGCTCACCTGTGCACACCTGTTATGCTTTTTTTCTGTACTTAGGAGAAGGATGGATGGATAGAAGGATAGCAGAGAGATTTAGCATTATTTTGTGTGTATCTAGATACTAGGGGACCTGTGGTGTGGTGTGGTTGGTATTCTTTATTGGTGGTATTGTAGTGGCGTTGGTTGGTGGATTGGATGCATGTAAATGAATAGAGGAGACCAGAAACTGTGAGGTGGTGGTTGGTGGTATCAAAGTCAAAACCACATAATATAATGATCGTTGTTAAAAACTTTTCATTTTAGGATACAAAAGTTAAGAAGGGTAAAAAACTGGCGTGTAGTTAGTTTGCTATCTTAGCAGTTAAAGTAAAGTAGCTTTGTGGAGACGATTAAGAGATAATGAGCATGGATTTGTGCACGCAGGCAGGGGACTGATTTGCATGTCGTCTCAATAATATCCGCATGCATAAATAATAATATTTATTTTTTGTCGTGACACTGACTAATGATTAAGTAACTTGACGGACTGACCTGGTGTGTGTCATCCTTGCTGCTCTTTTTGCTACTAGGGGCGTGATCTGGATCGTCCGAGTCGAGGTTGGGAACTTCGAAGGATGATTTCTTTCCGATACGCCACCTCCGAACGCGGGGAGGAATCAGGGTCACACCGACGCCGGGTTGGTCCAAGGTTTTCAACTCTTTTTGCAGGAGACGACTCATTCTAGCGGAGCGACCGTGGGTTTCGTCTTCGACGGAGGAGCGGCGTCGCCGTTCACGGACGGCTTCCATAACCCGAGGGGGCACGTTGTGTAGGACGCGGTGGATTTCTGCGAAAAACATGACATTGAAATGTAGTATTTATAAGTTTAGATTGTACAAAAATTTATAAACCGGAAGTTGGAATGTGTATGCGTAAGGTGGTTAGAAATTGTTACCTTGTGTCGGCAGGGTGACAACGTTTTGGTAGTGATGTTCCTCTCCAGGACCGGTTTCAGGTCGTTCTTCCCCCCACGACGGGGGGAGGGGGAGAGCATCACTGTGACTTAAGTCGTCCTGTTCGTCTTCAGATTCTAGGAGGAGGAGGACGTCTTTTTCTGTAGCGTCGTTATCGTCAGCGTCGACTTCTTGCTCGTTTTTAGCGATTTCGCCGTCACTCTCCAGTTTGGGTTCTTCGATATCTTGTGCAACTTCCGGTTTTGCTACGGACTCGTCAACTTGATGATGAATTGCTTTGTCCTCTTCCGGTACTGGTTTCATTTCTTCTGGTTTCTGTACCTCTTCTTCATCTCCGTCGATCGGTATGAGAACGGGAGGAAGGACGCGTCTCCCCCACACGAATCTCTTACTAGGCGACGGTAATGACACCTTTTTCTTAATGATTTCCAATTCTTCCGGATTAGAAGCGCACGATGCGAAAGAGTCGGAAGAAGACGACGAATCTGCCGAGGAGGAAGATGACGATGGAAAGCAAGGGACGTCCGGTGACATGGGTGGCTGTGCTGGTGGTGGGGGTGGACTCGTCGCTTCGGATTGATCTGGGCTGAAAATATCTTCATCAATTTCGGGATGATGGGGAAGATAGTTGTGGTGATCTTCGGCTGAGGAGGGAGCGCTGAGGGTCCATTTTGACGAATCGTCGTCCTCATAGTCTTCCTCGGTCGTCCAGGGGGACGCGTTTGTCGTGAAGGTCGTCGTCCTTGGAGGAGTCGGTGTGGGTCCGCCGTATTCAATTCGCTCGTACGAATCATCATCATCGTCCAGATCGGAAGGCGGTTCACCAACGGATGACGCGGACGATGTGGACGAAGTTGCTGGAAGAAGTACATAATTATGCAAATTAGTAAAGAAAATTAAGCATAATGTTTTTAGACTTACATGACACATGGAAAGCCAACTCTTCCAGCAAATCGTGCTTATTTTCTTCCGTCGGACTCTGTAAATCTCTAATGTCCTTGTTCTTGTTTTTATTTTTGGAACGCGAGAGGCCTTTGGAGAGTGAGTTTTTCGCCTTTGTGTAGCATTTTAAGGCAAGAATGCGTCCCCGAGAGGGTGGCGTGGGTGGAACGGGAGGAGGAGGGGGTGGTTCTGCGGGATGGTGGACAATGGTGGACGTCGACGACGACGACATGGTCCCATGTGGCTAGTTGAGTCCCCACCTGATGAACTCGGAATGCGGGTAGTAGGATTTCTGATGGGTATTTCGGTATATACACATAGGTCGCTGATCTGATTTTCGGTTCGGCAACTCCCGGATGATGCTCTAGCTTTCGTTTGTCTACTCTAGAAGAAAAAAGTTTAAGTTCACTTTCCATTTCAGCAGACATGCCCCACACCAGACCACGTTTTGTCTGGTTTGTGTTTGGAAAATGTTATGTAATGATAAAAATATCAAATATGGAAGTGAAATGAGACCGGAACCGGAAATCGGTTAGAGGATCTCTGTCTCAAGTAGGAAAGTTTGTCTCACTTTGTTTATAAAATGCCAAATCCAGAACTAACAACCAAAATGACACGCAGTTGGGTCAAAGGTTATGGGTGGAAATGTACTCATCATCATTTGCATAAATTAATTATGTAAACATTTATGACAGTAGTTTATGTTGAGAATCTCGAATCTCAATCTGAGATTGTTTGAGACAAGTAAATTTCAGCGATAAGAAAGTTGAGACGACAAATTGAGACGAAATCACATCACCACCGGCAAACAGCAACTAAACTCACTCCTCTCACGAAAAACGTATAATTTTTAGTGTATCCGTCTCTTTAGTTGACGTTAAATTAATTGACACCATATTTTTCATCACATAATTAATTTTGTACACCCATCACACGATGGCTTCCCCTCCGGAATTTCCCCCACTGGAACGACGCTTCATCGAAGTGAAGGTGAATGGAGGAGGAGGGATGATTTCAAAAAATAAATATAATGCTCTGGTAAGAAATTTGATTTACAATTTCATAAAAATTTCAGCCCAATTGAAATTTAATTTTTGAAAATCTTTTAGAATAAGAGATGGGCGCCCAACCCCCAGACCAAGAAATGGGTCGAGTTCTACCTCCCCCATCCACGGGCGGATGCAACCCAGCTGGAAAAATGGTCCGAGGCAATGGTCCTGTACACGAAAGATCTCCGGAAGTTGTTGTCCCTGTCACATTACGCCTTCTGGTCCTCGATGGTCTACTGTGAAGCGATTAAGGACCAAGTTTTAGCATCTTTCCTGCGCTCGGCGCCGCGACAGTATGACCCCACTTATGCAGACTATGTGGCACATCCGGTCCTTTGGCCAGTCTATGAGAAACTTTATTTGCTCGTGTTTCGAGTTTATTTAAGATTGTCGACTTTCAAGGAGTCAAAGGTATTGTAAATGATGCAAATAATTATCAAATGTTTGACTTTTACTGTAATGAGCTTGATGTGTATTATGCGTAGGAGGACCACATCTTGCCGGGATATTGGTCTCTCATGATCCGCGACAATGGCCTCATGTCGGTCGAAGTGTTACAAAACTTGTGCACCTTGTATTACTCGGAGGGCAATGTGATTTTCCAAAAAATGTTGGAAAACGTGATAAAACATGACGCTCGGATTTTGCAAGATGTAAGGGCACAAGTTCCCAAGTTGAGGGATAAGTTTAGCGCATTCACCCACCAGGTATGCAATATAATATAATAATTGGTTAGACTAAATAAAAGGGTTGACATTGATATAATATATTAACCTCAATGTTGACCTGTCGTTCAGACTGAAGAGCTAATGAGTGCTGATCAACAAGACTGGGATGAAATCAAGCTGGGTGATATCCTCTGGTTTACACTCGACTCGATGTATTCGCTCCTCAAATTCTGCCAAGCATATCCTCCCGTGGCCGATGTGTTTCTCCGATATCCCGACTTTCTCTCAAAGTAGGATTTAACTAATTAATTAATTAATTGACCAAGTAAATAACGAACTTTTTTAATTTGTGCAGCATGGCCATATCGTACGAGCAGAATACGCGTCGATGGGGGAGACTCATCTCACGTCTACCCTCTCTCACGAAGCAGGTCAACATTTGCCGCACCGCTATCCTCCGCCTTTATCGCTACATTCTCATCAATCCAACGCTCAACTCCGTCGTAGCCGCAAACGACAAAGGACTCGACGACTACTTTGAATTCTTTGCCAACTCAATTGACGAAAAGATCTTTATTCACGATTATGAGAAAAATTATCCGTTCCGTGCTGATATGCAAGGACTCCTCTCGAGAGGAATTTTCGTCGACGAAACCCGCATCGACTACATGGCGAACGCCATCTCAGCCTGTTTCCACTCTTGCGGGGAGGAATATTCTGTCGAAAAGATTGTCGTGGACCCCTTGTACGACCCGAATTTTGATCGGCAGCTGCTTGGAGCATGTAGTTTAGAGCTGAGTGGGGTCGAATTGGAAAGTCTTGTGACGCAGGTGAAGGACTTGCTGCCAGAGTTGCCTAGCTCGTATCTTGAGGTGAGTTCTGCGCACAATTTTACTTAGATTTAATTAATACAGTTAACTAAATAATTATTGTAATTAATTTTATAGGCCGTCCTGAAACATTACGGGTACAAGACGGAGGATACGATCAATGCTCTCTTGGAAGGAAGTGTGCCAGCTCGGTTGGAAAAATATAAGAGTGAAGAATACATCCGCTCTTCGCAGACGACTCCAACACACATGTCGAAAATGGGGAACGCATCGACCAGTGCATCTTCATCAACTGTAGTTAGTTTGCCCGGTGAAAAGTTTCTGCCAGCAAAAGGGTGAGTTTGCTAAATGTAACTAATATGAATTTTATTTAGAATGACAATTTCATCTAATTTTTCATCACAGTGCGGGAAATGATACTTTGGAAGAACAAGTTCTCGACTCCTCCACCAAATCGGCCATCCTCCGTCTCGCCGAACAAGCACAAGAGGAGGCGCGCAAAAATCGGGAAGCAACCCTCCGCCGACTTGCCGGTGATGGTGGAAACGACGGGGACTTAAGTTCAGCCTACATTGGCCAAGACCTCCTTCCCCCCAGCTTTGCTACCGATATCGACTACGAGGATGAGTACGACGACACGTATGACGACGTAGGCGCCGGCATGACTGAACCAGACAATGCACCCACCGTGTTCAAACCTTTGAATGTGAAGAAAGCAGAAATCATGGGGGCAGCTGGTCAAGCGTCGGGTAATAACAATTATGACGAAGATGACGAGGATGACGACGACGATTCTTCTGTACCAAGGCGACGAGGTGGGAAAGATTTCGAAGCCTTTTGTGAAGATCCAGCCGTCGTGAGAGAGCGGTTTGAGAGGCGACGAGAAGAAATGTACCATCGGAAACATGGTGGACCCAAACCGGGTCAAACACAATATCCATCTTTCTCAGGTCAAGGTCAAGGACCACCTGGAGGACAGAATCGTGATGTCGTGGGACGAGCGAAAGGTCAAGGTCAGGAGAAAGATGTGCTATACAATAGAAGGCAGAAGACGGCAAACAAAGGAGCTGGAGGCAACTTTAAGAAAAGGGCTGACTTTAAGAGGAAAGAGTTTTAAGAGTACTAATAATGTAATTTCAAAACCGAATCAAATATTTTTGTACCCGATGCAAATTACGGTCGATTAATATGAGACAAGACTTATTGACGTATTGCTACAAAATACTTTAAACATATTCTGCAGATTTATATTGATAAGAGAAATTAAACCGGTATTATACGAGAGGTGTTACTTGATTTGATTGGTACAGAACTAATTTTTTCTTTAACTAAACCTGGTCTATAGTTAATTACAATTAAATTATCCATAAAATAAAGTAAATTTGAACATTGTAATGATCATCTGGATACAGCCAGAATAAAATTTATTTCCCTTCCCCAGTGTATGCTTTTTTAAAGTTTGTTTAGTTTATGAGAGAATGGATGGGAACAAAGTTGTTGGTTTTGTTATTTCAAACAGAAAAATAAAAAAGGTTCCCCCGATCTACATAAATATATCGGGCAATAATAATATTGGTTTGACTTTAATGCCTCATTTGCATGACGAGTAGGAAGAGATAAGGATTTGGAAATTAGTGGATGATATGATTGTTGTCTATAATTATGCTACAACTGGACACACATACGATCACATAACTTTGTATGAAATTCACACACATACAATTCATCTTGATTTTTGGTGTATCGTCTCTCCGACAAATATTTTAGAATTTCAAAACAAAATAGAAATGTGGACACTGCAAAACGGTTGGGTGACCTTATACCTGGCTGCATTACTTATCAGCACGAAGGTGACCTGGGGCCAACGTAAGAGAGCAATGAGCAATTAAACCTCCAGTGTAGATAAGTATGTAATTATGCAAATTTGATATTTCTTTATGCGTAGAAAGGACTTGTACTGGATCGGGGGAGACCTGCGTCGTCCTCTCTTCGTGTCCCCCACTCCTCAAGCTTCTCGAGCCACCCGTTGATTTTGATAACCTTCGCAAGCTGCAAGAATCGACTTGCGACGAGGCCGGAGCAGAACCCAAGGTTTGCTGCGTTATTAAACGGGAGGAGGGAAAAAGTCAAGGAGGAGATAAGGGCTCATCGACACTGGATCGGATTCTAAATCATAAAAATTTGCACCTTCTTCCAACCTCGACATCTTGTGGAAAGTCAGACCCCGTCGAACTCACGCCGGACAGAGTGGCTGGAGGGACGGATGCAGGACTAGGTTAGGTTTAAATTAATTAATTAATTAGTTAAATACAGATTAATAACTTACTTATAATTAGGTACTTATCCATGGATGGTGCTGGTGGGGTATACGATGACATCCAGTAGTGGTACCGGATGGGAATAGTTATTTCTTACCGGTAATTAATATGGCCTTACATTTTTCATCATCCTTTACAGGTAAACCAGGCCCAATTCAGTATGGGTGTGGTGGAACGTTGATAAATTCGAATTATGTCTTGACCGCGGCCCACTGCGTGTCGGGGCTTCCTGCCGGATTTTTGCCGTGAGTTGCTTGATTAATTAATTGTGCAATTAAAAACTGACCGTAGTAATGAAAGTTATCTTTTCACACAGGACCATTATTCGCGTCGGAGAGTACAATCAAACCGCGGATGTTGATTGTGCTGAGAACGTTTGCGCCCCCAAAGCACAAAATATACCGATCGCGGAAACAATCGCGCATGAAAGCTATGATGTCACGGAGAAGAAGGAGAATGACATTGCGATCATAAGGATGAAAAAACATGTTGCATTGGGGCGTAAGTGCATGTTACGTTTAAATAAATTATTATATGCAGGGAAATACTTTGATAACGACAACCAAAATATTATGTTTTCATAGCGTTCGTTGCTCCAATTTGTCTTCCTCACGGGGAGCGATTGCAAAAAGTATCGGTCCGACCGTGGGTTGCGGGTAGGTCATTCATCGACATGCCTTGATAAGTATCAATTATGCATTTGTGCTTATCTTTGGTCATTGCAGGCTGGGGTCGCACCACTGCAGATAATCCAGGTCAGGTCAAATTATTTCATGTATTTATGTATATGATCAGACTAAAAAAAAAGTGCATTGCAGACCAAACCGCTGTGCTCCAACATGTCAGCGTCCCTTTTCAATCCATGGAGAAATGCAACGAATTGTACGGCGCTGCCCTCGGGAATGAAGTTGATGATGGCAGGGTGAGTTGATCACATTCTAATTCTAATTAAATCGTTGTCTAATTAAAAAAATATCACCAGTTTTGTGCTGGTGGGGAGAAGGGGAAGGACTCATGCAAAGGTGATTCAGGTGGACCGCTGATGCTCGCACTCAAGGCGAAAAGTGCAAATTGGGCGTTACGCGTGTTTCAATTCGGCGTGGTAAGTTTGGGCCCGAAGGACTGCGACACGTCCGCATTTCCAGCTTTGTACACCAAAGTCTCACATTTCATGCCTTGGCTGCTGGACCACCTCAAACCATAAGCACAGTTAAAATTTCTTAACAATATTTTATTTTAGAGTATATAATCCTCAGGATAAGAAGAATGCATTTTATTTTAATTGGATTTACTGTGTAATGTACAGGTTCATAATAATAAGTAATAAACAGTGAGACTTTATACACAGTTAGTGGGTCACCACCAGGTAGGTAACGGAGATCCGGGGTATTTATATCCACAAATGTAACGGGCAGATACCTACATAAATAAGTAACGGGCCCTTTAAAATTTTCCTCCCTGCCTCAAAAATAAGGGCTCTCACTCAAAGTCAGTCTCATCCTGACTTTACTCCGACAAACATCATGACGCCACTACCAATTGCTATCCTTTTTGCCATAATTTCTGTTACCCAGTCACATCCACACCCACTTTCCTCCTCCTCCTCAGAAATACCAGAATCGCAACCAGCGTCGTCGTCATGGGTGGATGCCACCGTCTTCCCTGGGTTCTCAATCACGCAAGCATTCTCATCCCCATCAGTTTCAGTACTGTCGAGATCAGAAGTGGAACCAGTCCTCCCCCTGAAGAATAAGGAAGACAGCACAGCTATCCAGATCGAAGGGCAGGCTGAACCACTAGAGAAGACACCAGAAGAAGTTGCACCACTGGAGAAAACACCACCAGAAGTTGTACCACTGGAGAAGACATCACCAGAAACCGTATCACTGGAGAGCATACCAGAAGCAGGAATGGAAACCAATCAAACTGACAAAATGAAGAATCAGTCCCCCATCTTCTCCCCCGACCCCAATTCAACCTACCTCTTCCCCTACTTGTTCCCCGGTTCTGGCGCTTATCACCCAACGCTGCCCCCACTCCCAAACTTGACGTTGCCCCTCCTCCCACCAATTATTCAACTCCCTTCACTCCCCGGGTCCGGAATATCACGACCTCTCACCCAAGAAGAAGTCCAGGCTGTCATCTCTTCTCACCTACCCTGGACGATAGGCAATAAGGACGATATGGTCAAACCCATCAGAGCACCAGCGAAAAAACCAGTATCAAAACCTGTCATTGTTAACCAGCAACAACAGCAATTACCAACCCATCAAGTTTTTGGGGGCACGAACCGTTTCAACATTTCTTCACCGGGGCAGGGTCAACTCTTGGTCAGTTTTGGAAATAAGAATTCCACGATGACGAAAGAAGAGGATGAAATGTTGAGAAAGGAATTGATCGAATATTTCGGAGATGTGTTGACCGTTTGGGATAAATTGCATGATCACGAAGGTCACAAGAAAGGTCATGTTGAAAATACGTCCATTTCAAATTCCAGTATTGCCAATAATACCAAGGATCCTGCAGAAAATGTGTCCATTATTGCACCACCAGTCTTATCCTCCTCCACGGCTTCATTACAGTCTAACGCCACCACCCCCAAGAAACCTTCAACTGTGCCAAAAGAAAAGTCCAAACCGTCCAAACAGCGTCCCACCTACGGTATCCAATCTCCCTCAAAAGACACTGCCGCCCAGTCACCACCGCGACCCATCATCGCCACCATTTTGAACCCATGGGGAACTATTCCGTCCATAAAATGGCCCTCGTTCACCTCCCTCGTTCACCGTCTCTTCGGCGACAGGAGAGGAAATAATAAGGAGAAGCCTGCCTTGCGACTGGGTCTCCCCGGTCAAGAAGCCGACATGGCTGACACCGTCAAAGCAGCCAATTGTGGTGTCGATGCACCAAACACGCAACCAATTTGTGGATCTGGGCGGAAAGAGAGGGACGCGTGCTCGAGACTTTGTGCAAGGAACGGGTTTTCAGGGGGCATTTGTCTCGAGGAGGTGGAGAAGTGTGTGTGCTACTTGGACGAAGGGGAGCGTTTTGGTGAGAGAAAAAAGCAATTGGTTAATCACTAATTAACTACTAGTAATTAATTAATTAATTAAATTTAATCTTGTAGGACTGCTCTTAAAGAGAGAAAAGGTGCCGGAAGTGGGGGCCGACTGTGATCTCGGGTGTCGTAATCTTGGTGCATATTCTGGATTCTGTGGCGATCTTCCGGGTCATTGTTACTGCGCGGTGCCATACATGACTTCTCCCAATGAGGAATTAGCATAATTTAAATAAATACATCATAATAATTTATTTCTGAACACTAATTAGGTTTAAATAAAATGATTATTATCTTATCGTCAATTCTGATTTTCATTCTTGAGAATTTCTTCAACCTGACTCGGTCGATATTTTTTCCTCCCTCCGTTGGCGAGGAGATCCTTGAGGTCAAACAGTTCCACAACGTGGGTAGCTCTTTCCGGTGAAATTGTCCTCATTTGAGCCACCAAGTCTTTAATCTGACCAATAATTGTGGGATGATAGTCCTTCTCACGCCCCAGAGCGGCAGTCTGTTCCATAAACTCAAGCCGGTCCTTAATTTCAGAGACCAGCTCGAGAAATCTGGTCTCCGAGGGTGAAGAAACCTGGTCGAAATCATCGTCATCCACATTTTGCTGTCGTAACGAGGAAACTTTCAGCTCTGACGGTGGATCTTTTCCGGTTGCCATACGATGGGCGAAACGGTCTTTTTCTTTCTCTTTGTCGATTGGAATGTAGCGTCGGTTGCATCCAACGGGTTTAGCGGTGCGTTCCGAGGCTTGGATCGTGTCCAGGGTCCGACGTCCACCAGGACCGAACTGTGAAGGTAATTAGAAATTAAATTGGTGCTAAGCAAATTATATATGTAGTCGTATATGCACATACTTTACACATGAGTTGCACATTATGTGGCAATTTCGTCCTGTCCATTTTGTTAAAGTTGGGAGGAAGAAGTGGAACTTGAAGTGACCGTGCGGCCCTCTCGGCGTGTCGGTAGCGACACAACTCTTGTCGATAAATGTCACCAGGTCGCGTGGGTAAGGCGTCACCTTTTCGGAGAATGGATTGCAAGCCGGACCGTTGCGTGAAGGTGAGACGACTCTCTGCCATGACATCTAGATATATACGTGGATAAGCGTATATATAAAGATAAGTTATTGATAAGATGACGTGAAAAAATTGCATATACCGGAAAGCAGTTTATTTGTTGCGGGTGAATACATGAACTTTGGTGCGGCCGAGAAAACGGATCGATTCGGTCCATCGATGGGAGACGCGCCGTTCGTGAGGGGCATGAAATGCTTGATCGAAAGTGAGGGCGTGACCGCTGGTGGAGAGATGCGAGGTTGAGGCTGGTACGGAAAGGCGGAGGGAAATGTCGTCATTGTGGCGTATGTAAATTGATGAGATTTTTGACCAGAGAATTGTGGTGGTGGTGGTGGTATCAAAATCAAGCGTGCCTTCTGTACAGCATTAGTAGGCAACAATGATAACCATTAGGTTAAAATTATTGGGGACGTTGCTATGTCGATCAACGCCTTGACGGTGATTATAAATGATAATGGTGAGAGATTTGTGGAGACGACTTTGGAACTTGCGAAAAAAAATCATGGCAGTTTGATCGATAATTTATCCGGACGGATTCGACTAAATTGAAAAGTGTCATGTTGACAGCCCGAGAAACTTTTGTAAGCATGCACTTATTATCTATCTCATGTTTAGATATCATAATTTTTGTAATTTTGTAAAATTTCGCCAGGAATATGAGTTGGCCGTTGTGGTGGGCGGTACCAAAATGATCATGCTCCTTCAAGCGATCACAGGCCCTCTGTTCACCTGGATGTTGTGGATCCTGGCTTTCACCGTGGTTACGATGGGGTACGTCGACCACGTCTGTGTCGGATGGGACAAAGTCATGCCGGGCGTGCAGCTGGTTAGTTTAGAAGATAACCGCATTTATAGCATAAATTATGCTAATTCGCCTCACTTTTTCTTAGCGTCGCGTTTTCTGGAATGTCCTCCTTAGCACTGGGGCTGCGGGACTGCTCTACTTGTCCGTCAAATTGCTCACCCCTGACGTTGACGTTCACAATTTGGGCTCTGTCCTCTACGCGGTGAAATATTCTCTCCGCTTGTACAACTACTGGGGTCCTCTTATCTACTTTGAGTTCTTTTGTCTCTCGTACATCTCAATCTTGTCCTTCTTCCGCTTTGTAATGAACGCTGTCCTGGTTTTCTATGGGATTTCGAGACATATCGAATGGAATCCACCTATGGCGCCCTCACGCTCACCTTCCACGATGCCTCCCCCACCACCACCCCCACCATCTTCACCGCCACCACCACCACCACCCTCAGGGGAAGCAGGAACATCAAAACCATAAGAGAACTAGAAAAAAAATCGACCAAAATGATGAATGATTTTTTGACAAGTATTGTTAAACGTATAAATAATCTGGAGATGATGTTAGCTCTGTGACATCGTTTAATTAAATATAAAGAAGGATCAAATACAATTAAAAACTCGTGTACCACTTTTTCTTAAAGTATTATAAGAATATTGTCGATTCGTCATTGAGTCTGGACTTAAGATTAAGATCATTTAATTGGTTTTTCATCGCTGCTGCTGCTGCACAAAAACTTGGATGAACTGCTGCTCATTGTTGTCCTTGTCGAGCGTCACCGTTCCCAATTGGAGGACTTGGACCACATGCTGCTGCTGCTGTCCTTGTCTGTCTGGTGAGGAATGGTGCACGACTTCTTGAAGGGAAATTTCCTCCTCTTCGTAAATAACGGATTCTTCCACCACCTCGATGTCGACTTCCATCTTGCACAGGTCAACTTCTTGTTCTACTCCCTCCTCTTCTTCAATTATGGTGGGGGGAGGTCGTCGTGGTAGAGGTCGAGTACGTTTTGCTTTCTGACGACGTGGAAGCGATGATTCTCCTTCCTCAGAATTTGCAGCAGGTCTACAATAATCAAAATTAAATGAGTCACTTTTTTAAAATATTAAAAATGTTACTATAATTTTGCTCACTTTGTACGTTTCCTATTTTTAATAAAACACTTTGGCTGCTCCTCCATTCCCAGTTCTTTAAAGTGGATTCGCTTCGTGTGGTGTGTCAAGTATACAGCGAGGGCGAAGGTTTTACCACAATATTCGCATATATGAGATCGACTCTCCTTTCCACCATGTGTGGCCTCGTGGAGGGAGCACTGCGTCTTGAGGCGGAAACCTTTGTTGCATTGCGAGCAGTGAAACGGGGTTAAATTCCGGTGTTTGAGTTTGTGACAGGCGAGAGAGTTGGGGAAGCGGAAGGACTCTGAACACTCGTCACAGGAGAAAGTTTTTTCGGACACATGTTTGAGGGAGTGGCGGTCGAGCTGGAGACGAAAAAGGAAAGCAAGTTTCTAATTTTTCCAGATTTTGGTAATTTTTAGCCCGAGTCAGGGCTTATGGAACCGTCATGTCCGTCCGTCCGTCCGTCCGTCTGTCCGGCACGATAGAGCCAAAACGGCTGAACCGATTGACTTGAAATTTTTACCATATGCATATTGGACAAAGTTAGGAAACGAGTTCGAAGATGGGCGAAATCGGTGCAGTGGTTGACCGGTGGGGGTCATCGGAGTGGGTGGGGTATTATGCACCAAAATTTCAAAATTGTCGTAGAAGGCTGAAATTTGGTACAGAGGTTGCTAATGGCTCCTAATAGATGAAAATGACTAAAAGTTGGAAAAATTTTCATCTTGAGGGACCCTATGGGATGACCCATACTGATTTTTCAAAATCGTCATAAAAAGCTGAAATTTGGTAGATAGGTTGCTAATGGGTATTAATAGAAGAATATGACATAAAATTGGTAAAATTCTTATCTGGAGCGACCCTATGGGGTAACCCATACCGATTTTTAGAAATTACTTTAAAAACATGAAATCCGGCACGGTGATACCTAATGGCTTCTCACGAAAGAGATATGAAGCTAAAACTGAGCAAATTTTAACCAGAGTGACCCTGGAGGAGTCAGGGACTCTGTCCCTGACTCGGGCTATATGGAGTCTGCACTGTAGGTTTTAGGCCTTTTAAGATGGCCTTATAGATTTACCAAGATGTCTGTCTGTCCGTCCGTCTGTGCGTCCGTCTGTGCGCACGATAACTCTCTTTAAACAAAAGCTATCGACTTGAAATTTTGCACACTTCATCTTCGGGTCAAAAGTAAGGATGAGTTCGGAGATGGGCATGATCGGCCAAGTAGTTGGCCGGTGGGGGTCATTACTATCCAAATGCGTTGCCCTTAACTACCAAGAACCTTTAGAGCAGGTTAAATTATTTAAGTGCAAGTAAAATATTTGTAGCTTGAAAAATATCTATAGTAATAATTTTCAGTAATTTTAGTATGAAGATTGCGACTGACCTCAAAGCGTTTAAATTGGAATGGAGTTTCAGAAATTTTAAACCTGGGAGACCCGATAGGGTGACCCGACGGATTTCTAAAATTTGTAGTACGTAGTTGAAATTTGGAACAAAGGTTGCTAGTGGATTGTAACAGAAAAAACTGAATTTAGGTTGGAACAATTTTAATCTTGATGGACCCTATGGGGTGACCCATACTGATTTTTCAAAATCGTCATATCGAAGTGAAATTTGGGAGAGAGGTGATCCATATCTATTTTTAGAAATTGCGTTAAAAACATGAAATCCGGCACGGTAATACTTACAATTAGTGGCTTCTCATCAAAGAACTTGAAATTAAAAGTTAGCTAACAAGGGATACTTTCGAGGTGATAATCGTGTCCAGGGTACCACTCATTGGTCTAAATGTTTTTTGATCGAGTGTTTCTCACGGGTTCGGGTTCTTACTTCGGGTTTCGGGTTCGGATCGGGTTTGGGTCCTGCTTCGGATACGAAATTTCAGAACCCGAAACTTTCGGGTTCGGGTTCGGGTCCGAGAAATGTGAGCCCAAAATTTCGGGTTCGGGTCGGGTTCGGGTTCCGACTAAGAACCCGAAACCCGAACCAACAAGAACTTTTTGCCACAACGAATACGAAAACATTAAAAAAGAAAATAAAGTGTTAACCACACTTGCTACGACGGTTATGCTGCAGTAATTCATTAAATAATTCAAATTTTTAATTGTCGTAACTTCTTTTCACAAGTGTCTTCAATTAGTGTTATGGTTTGAATATTGAAATAAAATATATTTTTTTATCAAAAATTTGCTAAATAGTTAGCTTGAGCTTACTTTAATATTGGAAACTTGAAACTGAAAATCATTTTCAGTTTTCAACTGATTTAAAAATTTCTGAATGTCACGGAAAGCCATTATCCATGGTCGATTTTTTGAGATTGCATTATTATGGTCGAGGAATTAAGATTCACATTTTAAAATGCGTTATGTACTTATGCAGAAATGTGCTTAATTATAATTCCTCGGTCATATTTACAGAAGTATTGTTTGTTTGAAACCTTTAGGCTAAAAAGCCAGTCACCCCTTAAAGTTAAAATATATTCGGTTTTTCGGGTTCGGGTTTCGGATTTGATCTGCCAGTTCGGGTTCGGATCCTTGGAAACGGGTTTCGGGTTCTTCGGGTTCGGGTTGCCCTCAAGTTTCGGATCAGTAGTATCGGGTTTGGGTTTCGGATTTGCAGGAACCCGACCCGTGAGAAACACTAATACCCATCTTCGAACTCGGTCGTTGCCCAGATGCATGTCTGTATCAAATTTGGTAAAAATCAGCCTACTCCTTCGAGAGTTATGGAAAGACAGACAGACGGACAGGTCGATTACATAAGCCCTAGTTCGGGCTAAAAATTATATGCCAATCGTTCATTAGAGTCTGGCTTTTATGTAATAATGCCGTCTTAAAAGGCCCCGCGAAGTTGCTTGGAGTAGGTTTTTAAAAATTAAATTAGTTTGACATAATTTTACCAAACTCACCCAACTCTTTTTTGCGAACCCTTTGCCACACACGTCACAATTATGGGAGAAACTTCCCTGACCGTGGACCTGGATTTTGTGACAGCGTAACGCATCCCTCCCTGAAAAAACTTTTGAACACATTTCGCAAACAGTGGATTTGTTTGTCCCCGTGGATTCTAAATGCGCTGAGGACACGTGAACGAGACGAAGTCGGGGGTTGGTGAATTTTTCATCGCAGTGGGGGCAGGGATATGGGAGCTCGGCATTGTGTGCCTGCGTTATTATTCATCTTTAAAATATTTATTTGGTCACAATTTCCAAGTGAAATATGAGGGTATTAATTACCTGCGCCTGATGCACTCTGAGAGCAGAAGGACGATGAAATCCTCGGGGACAAAGGGGACAAGAATACTTCCATTCTCCCGAGTGAATAGATTTATGCCGCTGAAGAGAGTTTCGTGTCTCGTATGCTTTCCCGCACTGGTCGCACTCGTATCGTTTCAGTAGGTCGACCCCACTGGAATGCAAAGCGGCGTGCTTTGTCCAAAGGTAGCGTTGACGGAAAGTGCGTTTACAACCGGGGTGGGTACAAGAGAAGGGTTGTTTCATACCTGGATGGGTGGAATGGAATGATGTACAACAGATGAAAGTTTAGATACAATTCAAATTAGGGAGCTAAATTACCAAGATGGACCCGTTTCGTATGAATGTCGAGATCAAAAAAGGATTTGAAGGCAGAATTGCACAGGGCGCAGCGTTCATTCTTTTTTCTAGGTTTTTTGATATCCTCTTCTTCACTGGATTCGTCATCGTCATCGCCCGATTTCTCTGACTCTTGGTCCTCATCGCTACCGGCTTCAGTATCCGTTGCGGGATTTTGATCTGAGGGAGGAGGAGAAGGTGACCTTTTTGGTGTTAGTAACTCGTTCTCCTGATTTATCACATCGCCATCATCTCCAACAGTCCAACCTGATCCGACGTCCTCGATATGGACTTCTTCTTTCACGTGCTGGGGAAGATCCTCACAATCTGACTGGATTCCAAGGATAGATTCTTGGATCGATTCTTCTATCTTAGGTTCTACATTCCCCGACCGAAATTCTTTTTTGGGCCTGATCTTGGAAACTTTTTTGCTTGATGAGGATGAGGTTGGTACTATCGTTGATTTAGTCAGTGGCGTGATTGTTTCACAGGTCTCCTTGCATTCTGACAACACTGCAGGAATAAACGAAATCATTAATTATTATTTTTTAAATGCATAAATTGTTATGCAAATCTTTTAATGGATACTTACAATCAATGATTTCCTTTCTTAAAAGATTCTGCGCCTTGTGAATACTGGTAACTGCAGCGATGTCTTTATCTTGGTGTGACAGGTAGGTCGAGTGAGCTTCCACCAAGGTGTTGATGATTTGAAGACGAAATTCTTGCACGGACCTTTGCAGCGTTTCCAACTGGAAAATATCGATAAATGTTAATTAATTTAAGCGCAGGTTTAAGATTTCTGCAAAACTCACAGCGAGGACGATGTGTTTAATTCCTTCGACACGCTTGCTGCACCCATCGCAGACAGGATTATGGAGGAGTCGATTAGAATACGTGGGGCTGGGGAGGTTCAATGCTTTGCAGAGGACTTGCGCCAAAGGGAGCGTGAGCCCAGGACCCTTTAAGGATTTTTTCTTCTTGTTCTTTTGCCTAGGCTGAGGAGCAGGCACAGCCAACTCGTTGCAAAACAGACAGCGTGGCTCGGGGGGTGTGGAAATAGTAGAAGCCATCGTTCCAATCCGTCAAGATGAAATTTCGACAAAAAATTCTGTAAAATCTGTAAAAAAAATAATGGTTTATAAAAATCTGGTAAAACTTTGCATCATTTTACTATAACTCACCAACTGCACAATCGTGAATATTTAGTAATCATTGTAATTGATTGAATTTCAGGAAAATATTCGAATTTTGAAAATGCAAAATTTTTGGAAATGTGTGTGCAAGTTTTATTTATGAAATCTGGCTGGCGCGGTTGAGATTCGCGAGATGGTTTTTGGTGACTTCATCATCTGTGAACGTGAGTCATCCTCATTTTCACAACAAAACACAGCTCAGCACAATTCGCAATCAGTCCATCGTGCAATTTCACGCAAAGAACAAGCCCAATTTTTGCAATTAAAGTTTAAACATACAATTAGACTCGAGGTCAAACCAGGTCGCAGGTCACAAGTACTACAATGTCGTCCGAATTTCTATTATCCATTCCGCTTAAAACGAGTTGTGAAGTTGTACTGCTTGAAGCATTGAAAGTACCTTTTAAAGAGGCGTCCTATTCCGTCAAGGATGCTGCACTTATCGCCTCGATGGAGGAATTCCAAAAGTTTCGGAATCAAGTAGTGAATAAAAGTCTGCCAAAAAATGCAGCCTCGTTGGAATTGTTATACAGGTGGGTTGAATCAAATTATTGATGAGATCATACGTAATTAATTGCGCTTTTAATTTTAATTGCAGATACCATGATCAATTGGTTTCACTTGGAGCTCGCCTCCCCAATATGGCACATAAACCTCCGAATATTACAATCTATTGGGATGATGCATGTGATAAAGGGGGGCTTTTTGGAGGAAAGGCAAACATTAGTAAGTAGTTAGTATTTATAGTAATTATAGTTTGTTATCAACTAATTAAATTAACGATATACTTTAATTTTGTAGCGACATCATCCTTCGAACTGGAACGACTTTGTATAATATTTAACATCGCAGCCCTTCAAACAACTTTGGCCGCAGAATCGAGAGCCGCCGATACGGACGAGGAACTTAAAAATGCAGCCAAGTTTTATCAGGTATTAATTGTGAGATAACTTATCCTTTTTCGACCCTTGTTTAATGCTAATCGTGCCCTTATTTGTTCAGAGCGCAGCCTCCATAATGAATTTTCTCTCCGAATGCAAGAATCCCGTCCTGGAAGGCGTAACTCTTACCCAAGATCTTAAACCGGAAGTCCTGTCAGCCCTCTCCGCCCTCATGTTGGCCCAAGCGCAAGAGGTTTTCATCGACAAAGCAATTAAGGACAAGATGAAGGAAACGATCATTGCAAAATTGTGCGTTCAGGCGGAAGACATGTTTTCTGATGCAGCCTCTAAATTGAGCAAAGATACGATTAAACACTTATGGGATCGGGCGTGGTTAAATAATGTGAGGTCTCCTTATTTAAATCTTTTAGTCAAAATTTAAATTAATTGATAAATCGATTTTTGTCCCCAGGTCGCTGCCAAGAAACTCGGCTACGTCGCCCTCAGTCATTATTTCCAGTCCACGGTTTGCGCGTCGAAAAAACAGTATGGCGAGCAACTTGCCCGACTCGATCTATTTTTGCGGGGGGTGAAAAAGGCACAAGAGAAAATGGGGTCCTCTACCTACCTGGCCGTCCACGTGGCGGATGCCGAACTCAAGTATAAGGACGCCAAGAAAGATAATGACTTTATTTACAATGAAGTCATCCCCAAGGAGGATGACCTTGCCCCCATTGACAAAGTGGGGAGTGCGAGACTATCCAAGTTGGGGACCGTTCCGGAAGCGTTTTCGTCACATTTTGTCGACATGTGAGACACAATTTACATAATTTGCCTGCACATACTTAATTACACAAATGTAAGAAGCTGTTACTGAAATATTTTATTTGATTGTGTAGATTTATCAACGCGGTGCAAAAGGGTGGATCTCACGGGGGTGACGGGCCAACGCTGAAATCTATAATTAATACCGCTGCCGGATCTTTGGGCCAGTATTTGGTCAATATGGCGAGCAAAGATAAAAAATGAATGAATGAATGAGTTGATTATATGATATTTAATGTTAATTGTGGCCTTCACAATCCTAAATAATTGTACCTGCTATTGAAATATTATTGCCTTCACATTTAATAAGCTACATATAAAATGTATACGTATTTACTTATGTATCGCAATATGTCCAGAAATATGTTTTGTTTGTTTTACTGAACTTTAATTATGCATGCCATAAATGATTAGAAAATGGCAAATATTTCTAAATAAATAATCAGTTCACTAGTATTTCAATGAACAACTTATCATATTTTATTTTATTTTTTCATTTCACAAAAATGGCAACACACATAACAAATTCATAACAAAAAATAATAATATATTAACCGGAGGAGGAGGAAAGACGTGAAAAAGCTACCTACAAAGCTTATCGTAAGACTCATCAGTATCAAGTTAGTTAGAAATCAAATTCTCTACAAAATGGAACACTTTATTCTGCGGCGTTTCTTCTTTCCACCTTCCGTCGCCTCTGCCCCACCTCCGTCACTCTTTCGCACCCGGATTTCACGCATGAGGTCAAAAAACACTTTGTCGACGTTGCCCCTCGTTTTCGCCGAGGTTTCCACATAGGGCACCTTCCACTGGGCGGCGCGTGCCTCGGCGTCTTCCCGATTGATTTTACGCCGCTCGTCCAAGTCACACTTGTTCCCAACGAGGAGAAAGGGCACCGTGTCGTCACCCTTGACGCGGAGAATTTGCTCCCTATAAGAAAAATGTTTTATAGTCTGATTTATTTTGTAATAACGATGAAAATTTGGTAATGCGGTGCGACCTCACCTAAAGTCTTGGCTGGCATGGAATGAGTCAGTGTCTGTGATCGAAAAGACGCAAAGAAATCCTTCCCCAGACCGAAAATAGTTGTCTCGTATGGCGGCGTAGTCTTCTTGTCCAGCAGTGTCGAGGATATCGATTTGAACTTCTTCCCTGAGAATTAATAACCTATCAGTACAGTTTTGCTCAGCCCGAACCAGGATTGATTAATAAACCCATGTTTATCAATAGTTTAAATAGTTTTCTATAAAACTATGTGATACTATTTTGCACTAATTCTTGCATTAACTATCATCAATTAGCTTTGCATGTTAATTTCTGAAAATCGGTGGGGGTCACCCGATAGGGTCCTTCCAGATGATTTTCTAATTCCAATGTATACTCTTCCATCAACACCCATAAGCAACCTCTATGCCAACTTTCAGCTTATGAAAGATATGAAAATTTTTTTAAATCAGTATAAGTGACCCCCTCGGGGCCCTTCAGACGAAAATATACACAATTTGAATTCATATTCTTCCACTAGGAGCCATTAACAAGCTTTATACCCAACTTCGGCTTTTTACTGCAATTGTGATGGTGCATAATTAATATCTACCCCACCGGTCAACCACTTGACCGATTTGGCCCATTTCGAACTCGTTTCCTAACTTTATGAGTAAGTTAAAAATTTCAAGTCAATGGGTCAACTCGTTGGAGAGTTATCGAAAGATAGAAGGACAGACTGAAGGACCGACATGACAATAAGCCCTGGTTCGGGCTAAAAAGTAAATTATTATGAATTTTATTCATTGCCCATACTGATCGAAATAATTAATAATAATTAATAAAAATGCACTCACCCATCCAACACAACCTGCATTTACAAAAACATAGCTATTTTAGAATTGACTTATTATTGGTGAAAATACAATTCGAACGAACCTTTTTCCGATAAGAATCCGCCTTCGTGGGCTCGTAGTCCTCAACGAATTCGTCATACATAAACTGAAGAGTGAGAGCAGATTTACCTGAAGATGATAACAAAGCAATGAATGAAGAATGACGCATTATCGTAATTACTAAATCATAGATTAGTAAATGAGTAAATGACTCACCAACTCCTCCCGACCCCACCATGATGACTTTATGCAACGAGGCAGGCATTTGTTTGGGTGGCATTTTACAAAATTTAGACTCTTGTCTTGACCTGCAACAAAGAAATTAATTAACATTAATTAACGACACGAATATAAACTTAGCTCCCTCAATCTACAAACTATCCGCAAAGATTCAGCACTTTCTTGTGATCATTTTAGAGAAATATGGACAAATTCGTTAAAACGTATAGGGAACAGGAGACCCAAAACCACACCCCCATCAAAACATGACCTCAACCCCACAAAAATGCGGAGGAAGAAATGAATCAATCGAGGAGTGGTCATCATCAGATCTCGAACCGCCACACCGCCACATTTTACCCAAATCTGACCAATCTTCTCTGATCAGACCTTTTACTTTGGACATCATTATCAATTATTTTACTTCCACGGTGTAGTAATTAACACCAGAAGCTATATTAATTAATTTAAAAATGTAACAACTTACGTTTGAGATTTTAATTGAGATTAAGATTAAGAAGTTTAATTTCGATGACCACTGATCCAGTCCAACTTTGATAAATACTAACTTCCAACTTTCCACTTTACAATTTCACGCATTAATTTCACTAATTTTACTAAACGGCTGTTGTCTATTTATGGCACACACTACACACGAAAACCAACCAAACCAACCAAACCAACCACACAGGAGCTGGCGGAGTGAAATGCGAGAAGTGCGAGTCGTGATGACAGATGCAGACCAGAGATTACACAATGGAAAATGAATGAATCAGCCAAAAAAAGAGGTAAATAGATGATGGAAGCAGTACTATGAATCTGCTGAATATGGGGATATATCGGAGTTGTTGGTGAGTAATAATGGAATTCGGGAGCATCCACCAACCACACCCATCGAGCACTACCCACCGAAAGACTTGTCGCGTTAGAGACGGACAGTAACAAGTTTAATTACTGGAAGGTTATATAATGACGAGGTGTGGTCTACCGTATCGGTGGGTGGACCGGGTGGCGACAACGGACATGCGGTATGAGACCGAACCGGGTAGAATAACAAAGCAATGCGGGCATTCCGGTTTGCAGGAGATTATTATCGGCCCAGAGATCTTCGTGCGAAATTGACACGAACTATTTAGGAGAAGAGGAAGCACTTTATTTTAGTCATGCATGATGATGTTCAATTGATTGCGTCAAATTGTTATTGATTGTTGTGTTATATTATCCTCCATGCAGTGTGGATATAAACGTGACTTCATCCCCGGGTTGTAGTAGGTACACTGTTTTATCGCATAACTCCCAGTCGGTGTCGTTGATAAGGACGAGGATTCCGGGTCGGACGTCGTCGTTGAGAATGAGGAGTTCTGGGCGTTCTTTGACCACTCCGTGATCACTGATCATCCACTCGAGGAGGTTCTTTATTGATGAACCAGTTGGTAGGGGGATGATTTGTTGTTTCTTTCCGCCGACGAGAAGCTCTGCGCCACCGCCGAAATTTAGGGTGACGTCCATGGTAGAAGTCACGGTGGGGGGATCAGATTTGGGAAGTACGGATGTGGATGATGACGATGATGGTTCTGCTTGATAACCACGACGTCTTTTAACTGCCTCCTCGTACGCGGGAGAGATTGGGCCTTGGACCGGCTCAAGAACGGAATACCTGTCCATGGTCAAAAAGAATATTAAATAGTTGTTTGTTAAATTATTCTTAATGAATTGTATTAAATACCCCTCTGGCAGCGGATACGAAGTGTCACCATCCCACCCTCGTAAATCTCCGCAAGTTATGAACGGAATCAGCAGCTTTTCATTGTATGTCGCATTTTCGCCTTGTTGATGTGGCGTGAAAGGTATCGCCGATAGGGAAGGGGTGTAATCTGGCGGTAGTGAAAACTGCCTTGCGACAATGAACGATTCAATCGAGGAGGCCCGACTACTTCTCGGTTTGGCGATGACAACATCCTTAAAAAATATCGAGACGCGAGAGTGAATCGCCTCCACGCCGGCTTTGGAAGAGCGAAACATTTTCGCGATAAAAGAGCCACCCGGGGCGAGGACGCATGTCGAAATATTAAGGGCGCTGAGGAGGAGTTGGGCTTGAAGATATTCGTCCAAATGGTGCAAGCCTTATTTGACACAATTAAAAATTTTGTCAAAATAAATACATCACACTAAAATTTATGAATAATAAATACCCGTGACATCTGGGGCTCCATCGCAAACGACAATGTCCGCCTTTGAATTCCCTAAAAGTTGGATGATCTGTGTCGCCGTGGCCTCCGAAGTGATGTCGCCTTGAAGAATATGCACACCCGGAATGGGAGCCATCGCTTGGAGGTCAACCGCAACTATTTGACCCTCGCCCCCAGCACCATCCTTTCCCTTCAGGGTTTGCGCCAAGACTTGACTCCAACTTCCAGGAGCAGCGCAAAGGTCCACGGCACGACTAACTTGGTTCAAAATTCCGAATTGTTCGTGAATTTGCAAAAGCTTAAATGCACTTCTAGCTCGCCACCCTTCCTCTTTTGCCAAACGGTAGAAAATGTCGCGCTTATCTTTAGAAGACCGCCCCATGGCTGATAAGGTTTTATCAAATTTTAACACTTCCGAAAAATATATTTACTACTAAAAAATTAACACGAATTACGAGCGAGCGAGCAGTCAAAATCTGAACATGTGGAGCAGATCGTTCCCGGTTCCAATGCACAATGTCCTGGGAGACCCAAAATCCTGCCAAAATTATTTTAAGGCCCAAAATCCTCCCATGGGGGTCGGAGACCATAAAAATGTGGTTCATTTTGATTTTCGAAAGTGGGTGTGGTCAGGAGGGAGGTTTTTATGGAATTTTCAAAAAGTCGCAAATCGCCCCTAAAACCACACCCACTTTGTTCAGAATTTAACGCTGATGAAAATGAGGTATCATACATGCCCCTAGCTCTTACCATTGTCTCGCAAAAAAATAAAATGTAGCGGAAGATCGGTGTTTTTGTCAAAAATCGTCAAAATGGCCTACTTTGAAGGGCTCTCAAATCCTTGATACTGAATTTGTGCAGGAAATTGTTTCTGCATTTTGAAGTACTATCATAGGACTAACTTAGGCCACCGCCTCGGTCGGATCTGAGACGGAGGTTTTTTGCAAATTGAGCTCAAAGTTGACGAAAAAAACATCGCGAAAAAGGTGGATGGGAAGGGACTTTTGAAGGGCCACTAAATCCTTAAGGATAAACCTTATCACCAACTGACCTATGCATCCTAGGCTACGGTCATAGTAATATGTAACAGCGTGACCTTTGTTCCATTATAAGCAATAGTGTTCCTATAAACGCGGGTCAAACTTGGCTTTCCTGAGGGCCGCAAAAATTCCTGAAATTGGCCTACTTTAAACGGCTCTCAAATCCTTGATACTGAATTTGTGCAGGAAATTGTTTCTGCATTTTGAAGTACTATCATAGGACTAACTTAGGCCACCGCCTCGGTCGGATCTGAGAACGAGTTTTTTTGCAGATTGAGCTCAAAGTTGACGAAAAAAACATCGCGAAAAAGGCCAATTTCAGGAATTTTTGCGGCCCTCAGGAAAGCCAAGTTTGACCCGCGTTTATAGGAATACTATTGCTTATAATGGAACAAAGGTCACGCTGTTACATATTACTATGACCGTAGCCTAGGATGCATAGGTCAGTTGGTGATAAGGTTTATCCTTAAGGATTTAGTGGCCCTTCAAAAGTCCCTTCCCATCCACCTTTTTCGCGATGTTTTTTTCGTCAACTTTGAGCTCAATCTGCAAAAAAACTCGTTCTCAGATCCGACCGAGGCGGTGGCCTAAGTTAGTCCTATGATAGTACTTCAAAATGCAGAAACAATTTCCTGCACAAATTCAGTATCAAGGATTTGAGAGCCGTTTAAAGTAGGCCAATTTCAGGAATTTTTGCGGCCCTCAGGAAAGCCAAGTTTGACCCGCGTTTATAGGAACACTATTGCTTATAATGGAACAAAGGTCACGCTGTTACATATTACTATGACCGTAGCCTAGGATGCATAGGTCAGTTGGTGATAAGGTTTATCCTTAAGGATTTAGTGGCCCTTCAAAAGTCCCTTCCCATCCACCTTTTTCGCGATGTTTTTTTCGTCAACTTTGAGCTCAATTTGCAAAAAACCTCCGTCTCAGATCCGACCGAGGCGGTGGCCTAAGTTAGTCCTATGATAGTACTTCAAAATGCAGAAACAATTTCCTGCACAAATTCAGTATCAAGGATTTGAGAGCCCTTCAAAGTAGGCCATTTTGACGATTTTTGACAAAAACACCGATCTTCCGCTACATTTTATTTTTTTGCGAGACAATGGTAAGAGCTAGGGGCATGTATGATACCTCATTTTCATCAGCGTTAAATTCTGAACAAAGTGGGTGTGGTTTTAGGGGCGATTTGCGACTTTTTGAAAATTCCATAAAAACCTCCCTCCTGACCACACCCACTTTCGAAAATCAAAATGAACCACATTTTTATGGTCTCCGACCCCCATGGGAGGATTTTGGGCCTTAAAATAATTTTGGCAGGATTTTGGGTCTCCCAGGACATTGTGCAATGCAAGCCACCCCAAAAAACCCAGCGTATGCAAATTGTTGAAACATTAATTTATTCAATTAAATTTAGTGGGATTATATAAATTACTAATTTTAACTTTATAATAATGAATGGTAATGAAGATAATGAGGGTATTCATTATTTCTTCGTATCCTTAGTATTCTTCGTATCGTAAAATAACTTACGACGCTTACGAGATTTTGTAAGCGTAGTAAGATTTTCTCATCGAAAATCACGTTACTACGCTTACGATTTTTACTAAACCTGACCCCTTGTTTTTTCTTCGTAAACTATTTTACGATACTACGGATACGAAGAAATAATGAATACCCTCAATGATATTTAGTACAACATAATTATTTATTTATTTACAAATTATAATACATTAATTGATCATGATAATAAGTTACACATTTTCATTATTAGATAGCTGATATTAAATTCAATATGTATGGTTTTGGTCAATATTTTTAGGCGTATCACAGCACGGAAATGTTAAATTGTTAGATAGTCGTTGATGTCACGGTAGATACCCCGTGAACGTAGACCATTGGACCGACATCCTCCGAGAGGGAAGTCAAATGGTGAAAGTACAACCTATACTCGCTCTTATCCATCGGGATTTCTGGGAGGAACAGGAAACTGACCGCCGTATTGGCTGCCTGTTCTTTAATCATGTCATTAACCCTGTTAAAGAAAACATTTAGCTCCTGTTTAAAAAACAATTAGTAAATTAATCACCACTTACGCTTTAATGTAGTCCGGTCGTATCGTTTTCAGAGGCCACTGTGGTGCAGAGTCAAACAGGTCGGGGTGTGGCTCTCCAGCGGCTCCAACTCCACTTGGAAGTTGCTTTCCGAGCACGCTGTCCCACGGAATGACCACCGTTCTTGCCTTAATGCGAAGAATTTGAAGCATTCTTCTCAACTCGGCTTCACGCGAGGCCGCCTCTGCCGAAGTTGTGGTCGACGTGCAGAGGAGGAAGACACGGAGGGTTAACGATTTCCAGAGTGGTGTCTAGCAAAAAATTACAACAATAATTACAAACAATAATTCAACGCTATATTTACAAAATTTAGATTATGAAATAATACCATGTTCAAAATACAAGCCAACTGCAGTAGAAAGAGTGACGAAGTGTCCATCAGGGAATTTGCGTCGCCCGAAAAGAAATTGATTGGCCATACATCAACAAAGAGATGCTTCTTTCTAGCCACCTAAGAAAATAAATTAGTGATATTTCCCGACACACTTCCTCCAAAATACAAAATATCAGTATAACCCACCTTCGCTTTATCCAGCAGAGCCATATTTCGACACAGCACGACATTCTTGTTCATCTTTATAATATCGCGAACAACTTCGACATACTCTTCCTCTCTCAATCTCTGTCCTTCGTCCCTCCGCATGGGGAATGTTGCCGGGGGGAATTTGTCCGTCCGATATGGAATAGGGGCCTCCCCACTGGAGAAGAAATCAACTGGGAGTGTATCATCATGGAAGCCCAGCACTGTAAACAGTTCGTAGTTAATTTTTTTTAACTTTGAAAAAAAGTTGTATGAACATTTTTGTAACTAACCAATCGTATTTGGACGCATAGCACCCAATCCAGAAATTCGTACGAGATGGTGCATTCCTTCTCGGAAGGTTCTCGCTACGGTGAGTTCAATGAATGCTTTGACTTTTAGATGGTCGACCAGTGAGAGCCACGAAGAATAATCTTCCGTGGCCGGGTCGACTTCCATTTCATCAAATTCGCCAGACTAGAGAGACAAATGGTCATCAATGGTTATATTCAATTCAAGTAAGTATTTTTACAAAATTTCTGGCTTACATATACGTGCCCCAAGACGTACAAGCCACTTTTCTTCAAGTCATTGACGAAATCAATTAAGGGACAGGCAGAGCGAGGATTTGCAACTAAAAGAAGCATCTGTGGTCTCCAGAATTTGACGTGATCTTTCCTCGAGTCAAGAAGGAGGAGATATTTTCGCACCTGATGGAAAATCAGAGCTTGCGATATTGACCCCCAGTTAGATGCGGAGCGTGACGTGGACAAGAGATGGAGCATGATGACAAGGACGAGGCAGGCAATGATGGAGAGAGAGGCGTAGATCGCGTTGATGACAAACATCATGGCCAGAGTCCCAACCATACCAACGAATGCCGTTTTTGCCGAAAAGTATTTGAATGCGGGTCTAAAATTGGGCGCTGATGCGAGATCAAGTCCCAAACAGGCTAAATTCATGGCGAAATAGGACAACAAAAAGAGGACCGAGTTCAATTGGGCGATGATATTTAACGATCCGATCAAGAGGAACAATTCGACAATGACGAAACACATGAGGACGGACGCGATTGGGTTGCCACCGCGGGTCGTTCCAGAGTTAAGGAAGCGGAGAACTGGTCCTAAACAAAGACAAATAAAGGTGAGAAATTGCACATTAAAACAATAATCGTGTCAAAATAAATTACCAAAAATATCATCTTTTGCGACAGCTTCTAAAACACGCGAGGCTCCAATCAAGTTAGAAAGTGAGGCTGAAAACGTCGCCTGCAAATAAATTTTGAAAATATACTTTACATGTCGCTGTAAAAATTACATACACATAAAAATATAAAATAATTCACCGTTAAGATGCCGATTGTAACGAACGGTTGCCAAAGATTGATCCCCATCATAAAAATGTAGTCGTTTTGGAGGAGGAAGTTGGAGCAGGTGGCGGCAGCGAGGAATGATAACAAAACGTAGACGAAGAACGTAAATCCCACAGCGGAAATGGTCCCCTTCGGAATAGACCTGTCAGGTATATTTAGTATTAGTATTCTGTACTAAGGGTCAGCAATTATGTCACCATTCCAACTTACTTGCCAGGATTAACAAGTTCACCGCTCATATTTGCTCCAGCCATGATTCCAGTAACTCCAGAGAACAGAACACCAAATACGATCGCAAAATTGACTGTGTCGCCACTCTCGGTCGTGTAATCTTTCCCGTAAGATTCGGGGCTCAAATTTTCTGAAAAGGTGGTTCCATTAAATCCAGTAAACCAGGCGTGGGTGATGTTATTGTGGCGCGCGAGTGTGTTTCCTTCCGGGAGATCGACAGGGAATTCGTCTTGGAAGAAAGATGCAATAACTGATAGGACGGAAACACCGACGACGGTCAGTACAGCGACGGAGGTCTAATACAAAAATATTTATCATGAAATACAGAAAATTCACAAATTGAATAAAATAACGCATGTTTATAAGCAAACCTTGGCAAACAGAGAACTGCCCACCAAACAAACAACAAGGTTGAGAAGGTTAATGAGAGAGCAGTACAAAAATCTGCTCGTTCGGTCGGTAGGAAGTCCACCCCCGCTTCCAGTCAAACTTCCACCCACACCAAAGTTATCCACGATCCCTTCCACGCACCCCACGATGTAAAGTGCGGAACTGACTATGTTGGCGAAAATGAAGAGGGCACCGATCGCACCACCTGAATTTCGAATTCACACCGTGTCATTTATTTGTAACTATATAATTTATTTAAAAAATCTATCCCACCGAATTCAGGTCCGAGTGTTCGAGAAATCATGAAATACGCTCCACCTCCCTCGACAGCTCCGTTCGTACTGATGGCGCAAATGGATAGGACGGTAAAGAGGAGGATGGCTGTGAAAATAAGAACAGATTTTATTAGAGGGTGGAAAAATTAAACTTAATCAATAGTCTATCGACTTACTATACGCTATTGCAAATTGGATCAGGGTGAAATATAGCCCTGCATTACCCACGATAAACCCCACTCGGAGAAAGAGCAGGGCAGAAAACACTAAAAAAATAAATATAAGTACATAAGTTTTTTGTAAAAATGCAAAAAAATCGTAAGAATTTTATCCCTTACTCGACAACGCCACGGGACAAAATACTCCTGAAAAAGTCCCCAACGTCCTCGGCGTCGAAGACGGTGGCGTCAACGAGGCAATAGACGAGCCAAACTCTGTATATCCCCCGCTCGACTCGGGTGACGACCCATTGAGACCGTTCGCAAGGCCGGAGAGGGAGTTGAAAAGTCTCCTTTGCGACAGTAAGGGCGCCTTCTCGGTCGTGGGTCGCCTCCTGCCGAGGAGGGAGGGGGCCGATTCGGCTGATGCGGGTGGTGGCACGAGCGAAGTGGAAGGATCGACACCCACAATGCTGACACGAGCCCCGTCCCCCGTCATCATATTTGTGTGATTAGGTGACGTAGGATTCGCAGAGGTCATCATGCGGAGTTGAATTCGCGTGCCTCCTCCCCCTACGAAAATTATAATGTATAAGACGACCTGAAATTAGTCGAAACTCAATAAATTCGTGCTTACGTTTGTTCGGGTCGTAATTTACGTTTGAGAAGGAGATGGAGGGCTCTTGGGGGGCAGAGGAGGACGAGGAAGATGATCGCAGCGTCAGGATGGCGTCAGTATCGAGACGACTAAAGAATAGTTTATTATTCCCTTCTGCTGGTGGACCTGTGGGGGTGGTTTCAAGTGCAATAATATGGTCGGATTAGTTACATTATTGACGTGACGCAGATTGCTATACGCTATTATACATTTTATTATTATTACCTATTCCACTTGTGTACGTAGTATATACGTACTTGTACTTGTACTGACTGCTGTGAGTCAATCCAAATGAAAGAGATTGATCACCAGAACAAATAATATCAAATATCCATCCACCCACACACTAAAATGCTATCCAGAAGACCAGGATTTACCACAGAACACACTTAACTCATTGTGTAAAGGTTAACTTTGACTCTGTAATAAATTGTTGTGTAGGGAAAGTGGTGCTGTTTTGTTGGGGGTAGAGGAGAAGAGGGGTAGTGGTGATAAGATAAAAGATAACAAGAGCCAGGATAAGCTTATCGTATCGTCATACCATATAATATTTGATATTACTAAAAAATGGTGGAAAATCTCTGGAATTTAAAAGAAGATCCTTTGTCAAGAATTACACAAAGGAAATAACAACCGAGCACACAACCCTCGGATAGAAATTGGATGATGGTGGTCAATTAATCACGGATAATTATATATTTAGCTGGGCAGTTAGTCTGCGCTGGTTGACACATACTGACGTATTACGTATATTAAACAGCTGAAGGAAATGCCTCTTCGTCTACTAATGATAAAAATGGTATTGGGCACTTCTTTTTAGCGCAAGATGCACGAGATTGCACGAAGAGAAAGGTTCTTGTATTCCTCCCGTGTTGAAGTTTTTGGCCAAATCCGGTCTAGATTTTTGCCAACAAGACTGACTGAGATTTGAAATTGTGCAAAAAAATTAGCGTAGGAGGAGCATCACGTTTTTTATCGTTGTTGGACAGGAACCATCATTTACCGGTGTCTGTAGTGGTGCATGGTGACGTAATTATTAGCGAGATAAATTAGCACGTAGTTAATTTTTTACTGAATCACACCACTAGAATAATTACGACTTCTTCCCATGGGGAAAGGGGGACGAGGCGAAGAGGGGTTGCAACTGGATCTTCAGAATTTAGTGGTCATCCGCCAGGTAGTCGAGGTGGATTGATGGGCTTGGCGACAAGGTTGAGCAGAGGATGGCGATCGAGGATAAAATATCTCCTCGTTGCCCTCGTGGGAGGTTGCCTTATCGTCGTAGTTATCCTATCACTTGGAATTGTAGGGGGAGGAATTCAGCCAAAAAGAGGTAGGAATATTTCAACGGAACTTGTTGGCGTTGGTTAATAACAAAATGTTCTATAAATTGTATCTATTATTCAACAGATGCAAGTTATGAGAATTATCAATCATCATCAACCGGGGACGTTCTTGCTGTGAGTTGTCATAATTAAAATAATGTATAAATTTTCGACTAACCTTTAGCTGATGAAATTTCAATTCATTTCTCAGGTAATTGTCCCGTTCCGCGACCGTTTTGAAGAACTACTCTCCTTCGCACCTCACATCCACCGCTTCCTCTCCGCCCAACGGGTCGCCCACACCATCTGGCTCGTCAACCAGGTAGGGAAATGTCGCCCAATTCGGGAGAGCTCAATGTGAAGAGATTTATATGAATCCGAGCGACAAAGTACCACATAAATTAAAAATTAACTTTAATTCAGGTGGACGAATTTCGCTTCAACCGGGCCTCCCTGATCAACATTGGCTTCATCGAGGCAACAAAGAACAATCCGACTGTGAATTATATGGCGATGCATGACGTGGACCTTCTCCCACTTAATGATAAGTTGCCATACGGTCATCCCGGTGTTGGAAATGCAGTCCATGTCGCATCGTGAGTATAGATATTAGATTCGGTAGCAGATATTCACTTGAAAAGCATAAATTAATTGAGATTTCATTATTTAAGGCTCCACCCAAAATATAATTATGCCTCCTTTATCGGCGGAATTCTGATCCTTGATGTCACCGATTTCCAACGTGTCGACGGAATGAGCAACATTTATTGGGGGTGGGGTTTAGAAGATGACGAATTTTGGTTGAGACTGAAACATAACGGGATCAAGGTGCGTACGAAAAAATACAACAAATCTCCCACCCAAACATTTTTTATCCGATGTTACTTTCGAATCTATTTATTTACAACGATTTCTTGGAAAACAGGTCAAACGAGCCAACAAAGGACTCGGGACGGGGAGGAAGGATACCTTTAGTCACATCCACTCACCAAAACTTCGTGTCCGTGACCGTGCCAAATGTTTCGACCAATGGGAAAAAACAAGGAAGCGAGACCGTGCCACAGGCCTACGCAACGTCAACTACACCCTTTTATCTCAGGTTGAGATGAGTGTCGAGGATGCCCATCTTACCGTTCTTAACGTCAGGCTGCACTGTGACCGTGAGCTTACGCCATGGTGTCAATGCCCAGATCCAGTCAACAATAACAATACGCTTTCCAATAATAATAATCAACCACCTCGTCAGCACTGACGTAAATAATAAATCCTTTTGTACCTCTGACGATAGAAATCTCCAGTTCGTCGTAATTCATGGTTTACGTCATTTATTCATTGTTATTGGCATTTCCGATAAGCAACAACTGTTTAACTTTTCCCTTCAAAAATAAATTTAAATATTTACATATGCATTCGTCACGGAAAAATAGCAAATCACCGACTCGAATAGATAGTCAGAAACCTTGTCCTTCATTTTTTTCGTGTCGTTTTTCGGGGAAAGATGATTAATTGTTTCATATCATTAATCGTAGTGTGGAGCTTATCGTGTTGATTATGTCTTTTGTTTACCAACCTCTATGATTTACATGTTCTATGTCCCCGTTCTTCTGTGGTTGACAGGAAATCTCACTTTGGTTCCGTCCTTGTCCTAAAAAGACCTTAAACTTTTGTAACTACGTTCATGACAAGGTTTCCTATTTATATTTGAAGGCCGTCAATTTCATAATCTTTTACACAAATTCTCATCCCGAGTTCGGCAGGGATTTCATTGACGCGTTGTCGTTAATAGGGAGAAGACTGCAGTGGTTCACATGTGGTATCGAATACCGTGGTCCTACTACTGACCTAGTGGAAAATCAACCTTGACTCCAACTGGTGTGGGGGAGTTTTATATTAAATAGAGCTTTAATTACGACTGCATGCATACCAACCAACCACAAAAGTGACCACAAATTAATTGGACGCCAACCGCTACAACCACCAACTATACTCGATCAGTACACTTAACCAACTACATACATAACTAACTATTAGTTAGTTATGACTTTGTGCACGAGTAAGTAAATTAGAGATTGGATTTAACCACTCATTATTATTGAATGAATCTCAGCCATCTCTCTTTACGTCTTCATGCTCTCAGTCGAAACCGGACGTCCTCCAAGAATGTTGTTGTTACCAAGCGTTCACGTCCACCACCATAAGAAGATCAGCAGCACCTCTTCCTCTTCTCCAGTATCTTAATTGCATCCCCCACTTTTTGGGGGATATGAACACACCAACGACGGAGACCTCTGCTAACGATGTCCTCCTCGGTTTCGCCACCCTCCTCCAAATTTCCGCTGTGGCGACCAACGCCCCCATTCTGGTCGTTATTTGGTCACGTCGCCTCCTTCGGAGTGCGTCGACACGATTTGTATTCTCTCTCTGTGCGGCCCACCTCCTCCTAAACTTATTTCTTGTAGGATGGGCGTGGTTCTTTGATCATGCGCCGTCCTCCCCGGTCCCCATTTTGGCTGGACTCGTCGTCCAATTAGCCTCCCTTGGGTTATTGACGCTAATTTCACTGGATCGCTACATAGCCATCGCGCGTCCCATGGAATGTAGAAATATCTTGACGCCAAAACGGGCTCTGCTTGGCATTTTGATCGTGTGGGGCGTTGCCTTGTTTGTCGTCGTCGTCCCGGGGTTAGCCCTCCTCCCGTATGAGGAGGACAGGTGGGTGTGGGGGGTGTATTTTGGTCTACTCTTGGGCGCGGCGACGATTGCGGCGATAACGTTGATGACGCTGGCGTATTCGTACATTTTTGCGGTGAGTTAATTATTTTGGTGATAATTTTGAAGATTTTTTTTGTAGGTTGAGTTCAAATTTTGTAAAATTTAGCTAGAGACTAAGGTAAATAGATTTTATTTTGACAGATCGCCCGAGAAAAGTGTCGCACCGTGCGTCTCGGTGAATTTCGCCAGGAAAGGGGCAGCATTTCGTCCGAATGGGGGACCTCGGTCGGTGGTGGGGGTGGAGTCATGCTTTCGCCGAGTAGTAAACCACTCCCCCGCGGTTCCTCGTCGCAATCTCTGCTCCACCGGCTTCTCCAGCAACGCCAGTCAGCTAGGTAAGAAGTAAGACATGTGATTTAACTCGACTTCCGGGTATTGGTGACCTCGGTAAATATAAATATCTATGACTTTGACCCTCGAGCTTGAGATGAGTTGTTAAGCTATTAAGCCACCACCACCAGCAGCATGTGACACCAAGAATTGTTAAGTCTTAGCATGCAGAACAACGCTTGCCGGCAGGGAGGTCATCTGGGTTGTGGTTAAATAGCAGCATATAGTGAGACCAGTCGACTACTGATCTTGTCTGGCCACTTGACCAATACTTTTTAGTTGTGCAATTAAGATCCCCTTTAGTTCCTTCCTTCCTTTACGCTGAGTCATTTAGGTACAAGTACAACAATGAACTTGTTTTACTATTGACGATGACAAGAAACAATCAGAGTACACAAGACGGAGGTTGTAATTTTATTAGTTGAGAAGATCTCAAGTTGAGATTACCTAGCTAGTCATGCATGTCGTCCAGATTTATCTGGTTAATTACTCTCCTCGTGGGTGAGTGGACGTATGTAAAAAGTGCTTCCATTGTTATCTTAAAATCTTACATTTGTCGAGACAAAAGGGTTGAGAATATGAATATTGTCAATATTGAGATGCGAAAGGTTGCCAATTTTTTCCACGTGTCCATTGTTCTTGAAAACTTGGCACGCAAAATTCATACTTAATTTTTTCCTTACCAGCCCACCCACTTCCATCCGCTCCGCCCCCTGTTCTCCCACCATGCAGCATAACGATGCCGGCCTACGTCGCGCCAAACGCCGCTGGCGAGCCTACCTCCGCCACAATTATAATTCGCCCAAAAAAACCGTCGCCACAATTTTATCCTTGATCGGATCCGTCGTCCTCTGTTCACTCCCTCCTGCCGTCGCGCTCCTCATATCCCCCTCACTTTTCGCCCCCATCCAAGCCCTCCTCCTCCCCCTCTCCTCCAACCTGCACCCCCTTCTTTACGGCATCCTCAACCGCGCCATTCGCCACCACCTCGTCCACGGGAAGAGAGCCTCGCTCCCAAAATCGTTGCGACGAAGGCTCAAAAACAAAGAAAAACCGAGAAAGATAAGCACCCTGGGAGAACTGAGGTCTGTTTATGTCCCTCCGTCACGAAGAGTGAGACCAACTCCATACATCCATCCGGGAAGTCGGAGAGGGTCAACGACCTCGGAGGAAGAGAGAGAAACACCACTTTTACAACCCATGGCCAGACCACGATTAGAAACGGGGTACATTGGTCAGTGGGGGAATAATAATAGGACCCCGGTCGTCGTCGTGGTCGAAGATGATGGCGACGAGGAGGAGGAAGAAGAGGAGGAGGTGGCAGCTCCACCACGAAAAAGCAGTACCGATTCTGGCGCAGATATGCATTTCAGTGAAGGCGAGGAAGACGTGGATAACGAATTGGAATCGAATCGCCTCACCGCCCTGTGTAATTATCTGTCCACGTCAAAGTCGGAGTCTGACCTGTGTTCTTATTTAGTGAGAAGTCGTGATAAGAATCACATTATGCCGGCGGATTTTACGACGAAATTGTCCATTTCGGCGGATGGGGATCTCAACCGTGGCGTGGGAAGGATAAGTATAGCTCCTTTGTTGAAAGGGTGATTAATTGATAAGAGACTCGATAAGAGCAATTAGAGGCTTGATAAGCATTTATATATATACAAGTATTTACATATTTATAAATATAGAAATTTTTTGGGTAGAGAGAATGCCAAATTAGTGTTAATCTTATTTTGATAAAGTTTGACGCCATTTAAAAAGAATCGATGTTTATAAAATACATAATCTCTTATTTCCAGATTGTGTCGTGATCAACGTCATATTTACAATTCATAAATTATTCTTTTATAAGTTTAGCAAATAAAAATCCAAAATTTGCCTCTCCACTTTTTAGCCCGAGTCAGGGCTTATGGAACCATCATGTCCGTCCGTCCGTCCGTCCGGCCGTCCGTCTGTCCGTCTTACGATAACTCTCGTTAAACTCATCCTATCGACTTGAAATTTGGTACACATGTAGTATGGGGCAAATGAGGAGTTAAGTTCGAAGATGGGCGAAATCGGTCAAGTGGTTGACCAGTGGGGGTCATATAGGTGGATGGGGTATTATGCATCAAAATTTCAAAATTGTCATAGAAGGCAGAAATTTGGCACTGAGGTTGCTAATGGTGTCTAATGAAAGAGTATGAATTTAAGTTGTTGGAAAAAATTTTATTTTGAAAGACCCTAGGGGGTGACCCATACTGATTTGTCAAAATCGTCATATCGAGTTGAAATTTGGTAGATAGGTTGCGTATGGGGTTTAAGGAAGAACATTAAATGAAATTGGTCAAATTTTTTATCTGGAGGGACCCGAGGGGGTGACCCATATCGATTTTTGATAATCATTTAATTGAGCTGAAATTTACCATTGACGTTTCTAATAGCTCCTAATGAAATAATATGAAGTTAAATTAGTAAAATTTTTATGTGGAGCGATCCTAGGGGGTGGCCCATACCGATTTTTATAAATTGTCTTAAAAAGATGAAATTCGGTATGGTGATACTTAATGGTCTCGTATGGAAGTATATCAAGTTAAAAGCGAACAAAGTGGAACCAGAGTAGCCTAGGGGGTGACCCATACCGTTTCTAAAAGTAGCTATTTTAAAAATTGGTAACTGATATTCGAGAAATTGGTCATACTTGAATTGGCGAGATGAGAAGAAATAACATTAAAGTGAAAGCTATTCATTGCGTTTTCTATACAGTTCAAAAAGCCACGCAAAAAGCCAAATAGGCAAATAGGAACAAATAGCAAAAAGGCTGACTTTTTGCACACACTGGTCACCCCCACTGGTTTGGAAAACGGGCGTAGACGACTAAAAGTTGGCGTGGTCCTGCAGGGTTAGATTAGCTTAATAAATGTAAAGTAAACTTTAAGATTTTTTTTGCCACGAGGACCCAGTGGGGTTTTTGGAATTGGTTAAAGAAGCTGCAATTTTGCAGCGACGATTGCGAATAATTCGCAATCGACAAAAATTTTCCCTTAATGACCGGTACCAACTACTATTAGTAGTTGGTTTGTACCGGTCACTTGACAAACATTTGGAAGAGGACTCTGTCCCCTGACTCGGGCTATATAAACACTGCACACTGTAGGTTTTTCACTCCTTATTAGTCCTTATTGAGAAGATTTGCTAAAATGTCGACAAATCTGGCCACATCGGAGAACGAATTATACAACGGATTCGGTGCCACCCGGAGTCGATCTGGTTCTCGAAAATCGCAAATCACACCGTGACCTTTTAAATCCTCAAGAACCTTTTTTGCCGGAGCAGTTGTAAATTCGAGGGTCAATTGGCAACCGCGCCGCTGTCCAGTGATCACTTTCACGGCACGAGGCAACCTTTGGCGGAGGAGCAGCTCCAATAAACCTGTCATAATTACTTAGAATAATGAGCTTATCGGGAAATGTTATGATAAGCACTTACCCGTGAGCAGGGCACTCTTTGCTCGAAACGATGTCATTCCCTTATCAAGTCGGGCATAGATGTTGAGCGAGGCTCGCAACGTGGCGAGGCAGAGAATGGGTGGGTTTGAGAGTTGATAACCCATGGCGCCCCCTTCCCATGGTTGGGTGGGGTCCATCCTGAATCGGGTACTCTTTTGACTCCCCCACCATCCACTTAGACGTGGCAGTGGGGTAGTCAAGTGGCGTTGATGGATAAAACATCCTCCGATTCCTGACAAAAAATGAGGCAAGTTGAGACCGTAAAGTTTTTAGACATTTTTAAAGGAAAGGTTTTAAAATTAGGGTATTTTATGAAATTTTATCGTTAGTCGATTTGAATTAGCGAATAAAGTATCAATTGTGTGCAAAATTTGGTTCGAAATTGTCGAAATATAAAAAAATCTCATTTTCCCCACTTTGCATAATTTTTGCCAAACTTACCTCCTGGTCCTGAATTGAGATATTTGTAGCTACACCAAACCGCAAAGTCGACATTCCATCCATGCAGATCGAGTTGCACGTTACCCGCTGCATGCGCCAAGTCAACGCCGAAAATGACGCCATGATTCCTCGCCTCCTCAGCTAGTAAGGCGACATCGAGAAATTGTCCCGTCAAATAGTGTACCCCTTCCACCCAGACGACTGCGATGGAATCTGCATTTTTCTCCAAAGTGGAAATCAAGTCCTCTTCTCGCAAAAGTTCTTCGCCTGGACGAGGTCCAATTATTATGAGACATTCGTCCGGGTCGTAGCCACGGAGGCGGATGTGACTTCGGAGAGCCATCTGCGTATAAAATTTCTTTTAAATTTCTGGAGACAAAATTTCCCTAAAAACTTATTTCATACCGTATCCGACGGAAATGCACTCGAATGCGTCAGAATCTTATTCTTATTCGGCGTCGGATTATAAAATGTGGCCAGCATCAGTTGAATATTGACCGTGAGTGAGTTCATGAGAACAACTTCGTCTACTTCGGCCCCCACGAGGTTCGCCATGTCCGCGATGCATACCTCATCCCACGCCGCCCAAGGAACCTGACCCTCCTCACCGCACAGCTGCGCTTCGACCCCCTCTTCCGACCATCGTTTCAATTCTAAAATTTATTTTTTTTAATTGTCAATTTTCACAATTTTTTCCAAAATTTTAAAATTCCCGAAATCCACCTTTCTCCAACAGCACAATCGCCTCCTTAGGTTGCAATCCGAGCGAGTTTCCACACAAATAAATCGCTTCCCCACCATCTTTTCCTTCTTTTCCTGCCGTGACCACTTCAACTTTTGGGATGTGAAACTCCCCCCGTAATTTTTTCAGGGGGTCGTTCTCATCCAATTGTCGGACAAGTTCTTCTACCCCGACCGAATCAAGCCTGGTTTTTAACCCGTTATTCATTTCCAGTTGAATTATGTAGTTCGTCTCGGCTCTCACGGTATTAAAAGACTGTGAGGCGTCATATTTTCTCTTTTTTATCGTCCTGGTGGTCATCATCATAAATATTTTGTACAGTAGAATCAATAATGTGAACAACGCTTATCAGCCACGCCACGCCTCACCTGCACTGTAAAAAAATGCGGCAGCTATTGTAAAAAGGATTATACGGTGGAAAACAACTGAACAAATATTATTAAGTCCAGGTTACACATTAAAGTGTCATTATCTCCACGTCACGTGACACTTTATTGCTCGTCTTACCACCACACACCATTAATTTAACTAACAAAATCAGTGTTACCTTAATGCTGACGGTCATAAATTTGCTACAACATCACAATGCGATCTTTCAAGTGCGATTTGCTGCCTGGAGAGAAAATCCGTCCTGCTTAATCGTTCGTTTTTATATGGTTTTGATTAACGTGGGATTTATTTATGTAAATTTTTTCGACTTAAGTATTACTGGATGACTTATGTAGATTATATTTATTACCCATTTATTACATAACTTTTAACTCAGAGATTGATTTCATAAATTGATATAAAAACTACTTTTAATTTAATTTTATAAAAATGTGTTACAATAATATTTGATGGGATTTTTGTTTATTTAGTTGTTCACAACTTTTCGACTGCGCTGAGTTCGTCGCGATCCTCCAAGTTGGGATTGTACGGTGGTGGGGGTGAGGTTGCCGATATTGTGCTTAACTTTTTCTCGGAAAGAGATCCATTAGTGGTCGGCCTTGACGTCTGGAATTTAGTAAAAATTTGTACACGAGATTAGTCTGGGTGAAATTTTGAGGTACTTGAGTACGCTGTACGTCTGAAAGTACGACTTAATTTAGCCCGATCCAGTGTCATGACTAATACCACGTGGTACCTCCGGTGAAAATATGTTTAATACTGTATTTGGTCACTATTTAATTGTGTAGATACTACAAATACAGTTGGGAACATGGGATTGTACATATGGACGAACTGACATGGCGATTCCATGAACCTTGCCTCAATCAAGAATCTTGATTTAAGATAATACCTACACATTTATTTGCAGGACGTGTGAATGCACATATGTAAATATATGCTAATTTGGCATACACGCAAATAATTGTGTACGTACATACATATGCAAGTAAGAAGGTTCGAGAAGCGTTGAGAAGCAAAAATAGTACTCCACCTTAGGTACTGGCAATAACAAGAAACATTTGATTAAATTTGGTGATTAAGAAGTCTGACTGAAACGAGTTTTGGAAATAATTTTCTACTTCTGGCGGGTTTGGTATGGAAAATCCTTAAGTGGTACAATCAATTCAATTATTGAAATTGTACTAGTTTTGTAATTAATTAAGTACGTGTATTTTTTTAGTACTTAAACTGCACTATAATTTACACATTGATATTTTTACGTATCGATATTATGACCACAGTTTTATCCTAGCAGACATGCGTCATATTGCAATACCTAATCTCATCCAATTTCACCACAACTACATCAGATTCACCGATTATTAACTCAAATTGATACACAAGCTTGAATTATCCATACAATTTCGTTCGATCGATTAAATATTTTTGCATGGATTATTTTACATGAATTCTACATCAATTGGATTTTCTCTACGTATTCAAATTGTGTCAATCATTTAAACTTTAGAATATGAAATTGGTAATTACCTTCACCGGCTCTTTGTAATCTTCCGGCTGCATCAACCTTGCCATTTCATTGGGAAAGAGTTTTGTCCAAAACCAAATGAAGCAGTCACTGATGCAATCTCGTCGTACCGGGGGATCACTATTTATCCCGATAAGTTGCGCCACGGCGGAGAAGAAGAGACCAAAGATAAGCGTCCCTAAAGCTCCGATCAGTGGGAAGAAGAGGTACGAAGTGGATACAAATTGGATATATCCTGAAAAAGCAAGGTTAAGATCTTATCATTTATCCAAGCTTCAAATTTTCCATAAAAATACCTGACGAATCTTCAAAGCCATCCTTCCAACTGTCCCAACGGGCCGGATTGGTAGAATTTTTCACGTTCGGTAACCCCACACAATTTGCAGTTGAAAGTGACATTGCTTGATCGGGAAGATTTCCTGCGGCTTGTTCCACCGCTGAACCGAGACCGATAACCGTGGCGAAAATGTACGACGCCAGCACGCCAGCTAAGGCGCCCTACAGATGAAGAAGCCATAATTTATCAACATGTATCGACACGCATGGCGAAAATGCTGTCTTCTTACCCATGAATTCGCCCACGGAAACACCATCGCCAACGTGAAAATGCCCAGGGTTGGACCGAGAAGCATACCAATTAATGAGATAGCGGCCTAAAAACGAAGTCACAAGTTAGCCGAGTCACGATATTCTGGGCGATTTAAGTCTGACTCACCGGAAAAATGTCACCCATTCCTCTCGCGATGAAGACGAATCCGAATGAGAGGACGCCCGAGATGACGCAGATGGCTCGCGACATGTTGAACAAGGTTTTTGTCGAGCAGTCGGGTTTGATTCGTTTGATGTAGTCTTCCGTAATGATGGCGGCCAAGGCGTTTAACCCGCTCGACACGGAAGAAAGACTAGCACACGTTATGCCTGCCAAATATAAACGTTTAATACGTGCAATTTATTCGCCTGTAATTTAAAATTTACCTGCCACGAAAATTCCTGGAAGGCCGGGATAATCGCCGAGAATGTCCATCACGAACAGGGGCAGAATTTGATCGGAGGCTTCCACCAACTGTAAAATATTTACTTTATGATTGATGATAAGGCAGGCTTATCTTGATGTGAGTCAACATACATTCGCCCTGATGGGGTCGCAGTCTACATACTTGGCGTAGATGATGAGCCCAGAGACAGTGCAGAGGAAAATGGTAATGGTGAGTGCGACATAGTTGATAATGAGTGCTCTGTGTTCATAAATCATAATTTAAATTTTTACAAATTTTGAAAATTCTCATAATTTGTGAAAAAAATTGTCCCTCACTTTTTCACCGTTTTCATATCCGGCATACTCGCATATCTCTGAATGTTGGCTTGCGTACCGCCGAAAAGGGTCAAATAAAGGAAGTAGCCACCAAAGAGGACCGACCACACGGAATGTCTCGTCCTATGGTCTGGATCAAATCGGAAAAATTCTACGCGACCAGAATCCTCCAATTTCGACCAGATGTTGGAAAAACCAAGGTCCGCAATCCCTTTAATGTCCACGATGGCGATGGACACGATCATAATGATGGCTTGGAGGGCGTCGGTCCAAAGAACGGCGCGAAACCTGTGGCATATACGCAACGATTTGTAAATCAGTGATTCGTATCAACTGATAAGTAACGCTTGAGTATTAAATACCCGCCAATGGACGAGTAGAAGATGCAAATCACGAAAATGATCCCCACCGAGAGGATTGTATCGAAACCGGTGACTGTTGTGGGTAGTAATAATATACAAATTAGCGTCGAATATCTACATAGATAAGAGAATAGCTTATCTATTATACAAATCACTTACCCTGGTTTAGGGCCAAGCTTGGTCCGTACACGACGAGGGACATGTAGAAAATCTGGAAAATATGACGCAAAAATTCGTCACCTTTGACCCCGTTGACTGACCACACTTTTCACTAAATGCTGATTATTACCAGATAAAGACAATTAATAATTGAGACGACCAATCGGACTGGAAAGTTGAATCGAATCTCGAGGAGCTAAAAAATTAGTACATAATCAATTAATTAATATGTAATTAATTTACAAAGTGCAATTATGTTATTCACCTCATACGCAGAAGTGAGATTCAGTCTGAAATATACAGGAACGTAGATATAGTACAAAGCGAAACTCATCGGAATAAAGGCGATGATGATGATGAGATATTGCGTCCCGTAAAGATAAGTCTCGACAGGGTTACCTTTTTAATCAATAACAAATTAATTAGCTGCCCACAATTAAACTTTCCACAACTTATTTCTACTTACCAAGCATCGTGATTGCCGACACGAAACTGCAAACTGAACAAAAAAACCTTATCAAGATTTCTACCATTTCCCTAAACTTTTCAAAATCCAACTTACCCAGTGACAGCGCCACCGGCCACGCCGACATGCGTCTCCCTCCCATAAGAAACTCCTCATTATTTTGCTCCCTTTTCGAAAAGAATCCGAAAAACACCCCAATTCCGGCTGAGATGATGAGCACAACGCCAAAAACGGCATACTCTGGCCAACCAAACTTGCCTTTCAAGACCTCCAACAGCGTCGAAGCCGTCGTGGTCTCGGGGAGCGGTGAAGATGACATCTTGCCTCGTCTGGTCTGTTCGTCATAATGCTTGAGCGAAATAAGATCGCGCACGAGGGGCGGGCGTCGGACGCTAATTTGCTGATTATTATGTATGTATGCAGTAATATTGAATAATGGGATTATTTAGGAATTCCTCAAGAGATAAAATAAAAAATTAGATAGGCGAAATTAATGTATAAGTTTAATGGGTCGGATGGCGTGGGATAATTAAATACACATTTACAGATAATTATATAAATGGGTGCATTTAAGTATGTATATCATTCTGCATCTGGATGCCAATTTGTGTAAGTAAAGTATTGTAAAGTTCGTGGAAATGAGGCGAGGAATTTGTGTAGCGGGAGGGGATCAGGTAAAACAATAGCGGGGGAGATTTACTCGATTGAGCGATCTGGTTAGATCGTGATAAGGTCGGATTAGAACTTTATTTCTACGAGGGTAATTGACGCACTTGATTCAACGCAGACTCATCAGGACGAGGATAATGATAATGCTTGATAAATGTAGTAAGTTTTATGAGACATGGACATGACCCTGAAATGTGTGTACATATGTGCGAACGGGTGTGACTCGGCATACGTAGAGAGGTAAGTGAGTAATTGTAAAGTGCAGACTTGATAAGCCCGAACCATTTTAAATATTTGCGTGTTTTTAAAACCTATGACCTCGGCTAATATTTTGCTAAAGTTTCATCTTACTCGTTATCAGCAAGTTGTTCATGTTCCAAAATTTTGCAGGTTGCAAATTTTCGAACCAATTTGTAGAACATTGTCCAGCAGTGTGGGTCACATTGTTGAGTGGTGATGGGTTCCACTGGCAAAAAACTAGGTACTACTTACGTACACCCAACCACTTTTTGTAAAAAGTTTTCAAGTCGCTAGGATAATTTTCAGACAAATTATTTCAGTACAGTCAGACGGACGCGCATATGGATTTCATAAGGCCTGACTTCACCCAAAAATAATCAGTCAGTGAATTGACATTGAAACAGGTACATATACAAACTCAATCAATCAATATATTTGATTGATCGAGTTCACTGAAATCCATTTTGAATGAGAAGGTGACGATGAGGTGTGTGTATCTGCAATAATTTGTGTATTACGTAATTTTACACACGGGTGGTGCTTAAATACATAATCCAGTAGAGAAGAATGGTAAAATTTTATTTGCGGTATTTCACCCTAAGTTAGCCGTGTTTTATAAATATCTTTACGTCACGTCACGTGGAAAATAAGTGATCATCGCTGTATCCTTGCAGTGAGAATTTATATAAATAACTACCTAAAAGTTTATGGGGCACGATTACAATTCATGACCATTGATCGTGTTAACTTATGTAATCTCATAATATTATGAGATTATTATTTAATAATACTAATAAAAATATAAATTACGAGACCACCCAGAAATCGGGGCATCTTTTTTGCTCAAATTTCCATACACTTTCTCCAGCAGGTCGTCTTCCAGAAGAAATCTGGCTTGTTACAAGTCTTACAAGAATTTAGTATGGCTTCAATACTTACGTATTTATACAGCTACAAATTTAGGATGTTTATATGCTGTAGGACAATGACACATTCCATCTCTTTACCCAGCATCATTAGCGCACATGTTTATTTATTTACTTGGAAGTATGTGTGCATGTATGTATCACGATAACCTCATCTGACCCAGAGAATCCACTCAATTCTGGACTTGCAATAAATAATTTGCCCATAATTCGACTCCTCCATGTATTTATTAACTAATTCACCCAAAGGTCACACTTCCCCAAACAGTTTGATCTTCCGTCAACTGTTACATTTTTTTCCATTCACGGCAGAAAATAAAATTAACCCGTAAAAAAAATTCAAATTCAAAATGTACCCAACCACCAACCTAACCGTCCTCTTCACCATTTACGCCCTCCTCCCCAGCCCAACTTCCTCCACGAGGGCGACATTCGGCGAATTTTGTGACAATCGAACCATCCGGTGTGACTCGGCGGCCTTTCTCACATGTCGAAACGGCACTTGCACCTGCCTCAAATCGGACGCCATGACGTTCTCTTCCTCCCAATCGAGCTGTGTCGCCTTGGCCGGCGAAAAGTGCAAATTTACCGTTGTCGAAGAATTCCGCAGTTGGTTGGAAGAGGTTGGTTGCGTCCAAAATGCGAAATGTTCCCCCTCTTCGGGAATCTGTGCTTGTGACGCGGGTTTCATGGAAATGCCCGAATCCGGGGTGTGCTCCCCGAAACGGGTGTTTGGTCAAGGGTGCAATTCCAACGGGGAGTGTCGCGATGACCTCAAATGTGTCCAAGGTCAGTGCAAGTGTGATCCGGAGCAGGCCGTGTATGATTTTGAGCAGCAGCAATGCGTCGGTCTGGCGGATGCGGCTTGTTTAAATGAACGCTGTACGGAGAACGCGATCTGTCGCGGGTATTATGGCGGACATTCGATCGACAGTTATGAAGAGTATTCGGGAGAGGATACGAAGTGTGTGTGTTCTCCAGGTAAGGATGGAGATGGGTTTGATTACATATTTATTTTGTAGGGATATGATGCAATTCGGTGATTTTTCGTTTAAAAAATCCAACATTTGCATACGGAACATATCGTTGGGTTAATTAAGAAATATATTTCGCCAATTTCCTTTTTAAATTTAAAACTAATTTTTTCACACTAATTTTCAGGTGCATAATTGTTTTGTGTATGATTTCATGCAATTTGTTGCCTTTTCGCTTAAAAATTCAACATTTACAACATATCGTCACCCAACTAAGAAATATATTTCTTCAATTTCATAATTTGAAGTTCAATTATTTTAACTAATTTTTTCCCCACCAATTTTCAGGCTACACAAAATCTCCCGAAGGCCTCTGCCAAGTCGGTCATGGCGGCGCGTGCGACCTGAACACGCAATGTCTCGACAAACTCAAATGTCAAGAGGGAACCTGCACCTGCCCCTTCCAAGGTCACCAAACCTTCCAAGAAGCCTACCAAGACTGCTACAGTCTCATCGGGGGACCCTGCACGCCAAATATTTCGCCCAAAAACGAATCCTCCTCCTCCTTCACGCACTGTGTCAAACCTGCCATTTGTCTGCCAAATGGCCACTTCCGGTTCGAATGCGCTTGTCCGGAGGGGATGGTGGAAAATGCGGAGCGTTCCTGCGATCTGACCCAGGGACGAATTTGCTCCTCGGAACGTTCCACCTCGGGAGGAGGAGGACAATTAAAATGCGACACGTTGGCCCCTCTCTTTTGCATCCAGGGGAAGTGTCAGTGCGAAGATGAGTTCAAAATTTATGACCCCCTCGCCAAAAGATGTAGAGGTTTGGTCGGGTCAAACTGTGACCGGGGCGGACAGCTAGCCGACAACAGTTTTTGCGTGGATGGAGCTTTCTGTAAACAATTTCGAGGTTCGGATACCAAAGGGAGGTGTGAATGTTCAAAGTATTTTGTCGAGTTGAGGAACAGGACGTGTTCCGTGGTAGAGGTGAATAATAATAATATGCTTTTGCGGGGATGAAGTTAAATAATTTGGAATATGTTTAAGAATTTTGTACGTTTTGTAATAAAAAAAAGTATGCAAATATTTGTGAAGTGTTGTGTTACCCGATCAACAAAAATTATTACTTTTGCGTCAAAGTAACGCATCCATGGTGAAAATTTTTAACAAACAAAAAAAGGCGTGATTATTGCATAAATTTTGTGCTAAGTTTGGTGTGCACCGTGAGACATGCTAAATTTGCATTAAAAAACTGTAACCTATGGTTGAAAAATTATTGCACCCAAACGTGCTGAGATATTGCGTAAAAATACCGCACCAATATCTCGTCAATACCCACATTACATGAGGCGTTAAAATCATGCAATTTATACGCAATGAATGGTGGGTGCGAAGAGACAGGCAACGCGCGAGAGTTTGAATCTAAGAGAAGCGTGGTATTTCCTTTTCTCTCCCACCCTCGCAGTCTCGTAAATTCCCTGTTAATTTAATTCCCTTTTAATTTATCTGTTGTCTCAATGTCGCCAAAAAATATTACATAATTGAATTCCCCCCTGATAAATACAATTCAGTGCCTGTGGAGCTTGTTCCAAGTCACTGGGTTATCCCCGCAGAGATAGTTTGTCTCTGGCCACCAAACTCTGGGCCAAGTATTAGAAATTTGATAAAAAAGGGCACTGCTATTCCTGATGTCAAGTGGGGAAGAGTTAGCTACGCCAGGATTATTGGGAATTACGGTAAATAGCTATTTAATTCAAATTATGAGAAGTCATTCCAATTATTTTACATTTACTAACAAATATCATTATCTTAGATGATTATGAAGTTGCGACAAAAAAACTTCAAGTAGCCGAGGACACTTCCAACTTGGAAAGTGAAACAGAACCAGAAAGCAGATTAAGGAGCAAGAAGATAATTCCCGATATTCAGCCCAGCAGCACACGAGGGGATGTAACGTCTTCATCCGATGAGGAGGATAGCGACGCGAACAAAAACAGTCCTCCGTCTGGCTCACTTCTGGATAATTTGGAGCTGGGTAGGCTTATAATACTGCCACAAATATTTTATACTAATCGTTATGGTGATGCTTTTTAGACCAACCATTGAGCATTCCTGAAATAATTCCCGAAACTGAAGAGCAAAGCAATCTAGAAGTAGGAAATCAAGTTGAAACTGGAGACACCTCTTTTGTTGTTGTAAATTCGCAGGAGTTAAATGATTTACGGCTGTTGATTTCAAGTGAGTACAAGCAAAATAATTTTATTAAAATTGATGTATTATGTTAACGCTTTGTAATCACGTTGCAGGGACAACGCAAAGTGTGCTACTGTGGATGAAGTTCTAACCCTGCAGACTTATTACACCGCTTTGTAGCATTAATTTCACGACGTCACCGGTCAAAAAAATTTTTTCCTCCAAACTGGTCCAAAATAAAAGTCTAGCATGGGAATAGTATAGAAAAATTATTTTTAGCGTTCTATGACCCCTGGGTCATGAATTAAGGGCCCCTGAAGGGTCAAATAGCGTTCCCTGATAACCCCATGCAAATGGGGTATCAAATTAATCCCCTGGACCAGGGGAACCAGAAAAATATTTTTATAAATTTTTATGACCCTTGAGTCGTGAACTAGGAGCCCTTGAAGGGTTAAATATCATTCCCTCACAACTAAAGGCAAGTGGGGTATCAAATTAATCCCCTGGACAAGGGGAACCCAAAAAATATTTTTCTGGATTTTTTTGACCCTCAGGTCAAGAGTTAAGGGCCCCCGAAGGGTCAAAATAGTAACCATGGTAACCCCATGCAAGTGGGGTATCAAATTAATCCCCTGGCAAAGGGCAAGCATAAAAATATTTTCCTGAATTTTTTTGACCTATCGGGCAACAGTTAAGGGTCCCTGAAGGGTCAACATAGTAACCATGGTAACTAAGGTGAATGGGGTATCAAATTAATCCCCTGGACCAGGGGAATCAGAAAAATATTTTTTGGTTTTTGTGACGTATAGGTCAAGAGTTAAGGGCCCCTGAAGGATCAAATAATAACTTATTGTATTTTACTAAACGGGACATTATTTTAAAGTTTTCAGTTTTGCAAGAATGTTAAGTAGAGAGGGGTAGGCATATTTTTGAAAATTTCGTACAAATTTAATGAATAATAATTCTTAACACTATGTACAAATCGGATTCACTATTTATAATATTTATTATGTATTGAATCCATTGAAGTTAAAATCTAGGTTGATTCTGGTGGGAAGGTTAATCTCCTCCTAGAAGTTGCACATTCTTCTTCAGGCAAGTCTTCTTCTTCCCCAGCCTGTGAGTATTCAATATCATTGTGTATTTGCATTCGGAATCTATCAACTACTTCGTCAACATCGTCAGGGTCCTCATCTTCGTCGTCAGACACATCATCTGCTGCTGTAATCTGTATATTATGTATAAGTTATGTATTTTTTTACTAATAGTTTACTGTCACCAAGAACTCACTCGAATGGGGTTGGCTGAAGCTACACGTGTTTGGAAGTCATCAAGGAAGTCATCAAAATGTCCATCATTTTTCCAATACTCGTCCTCCAATCTATTTACAATAATAATGTAGAAATTGCGAATTATTCCCATAATAGCGAATCTTGGTTTTACGAACCGGTGCACATGTTTGATGTGTTTCTGCCATTGTTCCTTTGTGTATGTTGTCATAATTCTCTCAGCCTCAGCTTGTGCAAACTCAGCGGTCCCCTGTGTGTTTGCAGCCCTAACTGCGTGCTTGATGTCTTTCCACACGTACTCAATTGGGTTCAAGTCGCTAAAAATAGTTATTACATGAATATTCTTATTACCGTTACCTATGATTACCAGTTCTTACCAGTTATATGGGGGTAATCTGGAAAATACGTAAATACAGTGTTTAAATAAATATTACAAATTATTAGTAAATTACCCATGAATAGAAAATAACTTTACCGGACAACAGTGTTTCCATATTTCAATGCCTCCTTATCCACAATGTAATATTCATTTCCGTTTTTAAGGTCTTGAACCATTTTCCATAATTCAGGTCGTCTCATTTGCTTTACAGGTTTTAGTTTCAGCTTTTCAGGGCCCTCTAAATTATCATTCAGCCAGTCGTATAGCTCTTGTTTTCGGGATGTAGATTTTGGGGCTTCCTTGGTGCTGTGATACGGAGCTGACAAATTTAAATAAATGAAATTCAAATTAAAATGGAATTTACAAATACAAATTATTGGATGATATTACCGTTATCAATAACAATTATGCATGGACCATAATTATCTTTTATCTTTTGATTAAGATCCTTCCACCAAGCCATGTAAGCGACACCGTTAACGTTTGCGTGGTAATCCATCTGGACTTTCTTCTTTGATACTGGATATACCTTCATAGCGCCAGGTACGAATCCATCCTCTCCACCTGTGAAGATAATTATTATTTTGAAATAATTTCCTATTTAATGTGGATAGTTGAACTGCACCTGCATGCATCACAATGATACGTGGTCCTCTAGAAATTTTCGGGTTTTGGAAGGAGTATAAAGCCGCTTCATGAAATGACTTTGGTGAATTAATAACCCAGCCTTTTCCAGTTCTAGCATAACTATCGACCCACGTTTCATCTGAATAAATATAATGCATTAATAATTATATTAAATTAAATTAAAACATTTTTGATATTTAATCAGCCAAACCTGTGTAGACAACACATTTTGGGTTCTCGGACTGACGATTTTTAATCATTACGGACAGATATTCATATCGCTTCTGCACGATGTCTGATCTCATGAGGATAACTGCTCGCTTATCAACAGTTTTGAATCTAAATCCTAATTGCTTAATGAGTTTTCTTAACGTCCACTTGGAACATTTGAACGCTGTAAGAGTTTCTCCTCGGGCTATCCGACCATCTTCTTCTTCCTTGACTTCCTCCATCAGTTTTGTGTATACGTTATGCATTGTTGGTGCTTGATTATTAGCATAGAATTGATGAATGATTCGTTTAACGTGCTCAGTTCGGAAGTCGTCAAACTGATCCATCACTGGCGTTGGTCTAATACGTTTCTTACCAGGTGTTTTTATACTATTCGTTTTGTAATTCTCCATTGTCTGATAAACTGTTCTCTCTCCAATTCATAGAATCTGGCTAGTTTTGGTGACAGAGTTTCCTGTTAGTATTTCACACTGTACCTGGTTACTGTCAAAGAATACTTTGGCGTTGACAATTAACTTTTGAGCTGTCGCCTGTAGTGAAACACCAAGTAGTTGGAATGGGAGTTTAGTATTTGGTTGTTTACAGTCGTTTTTCGCTTTCGGTGTTGCTTTCTCAATTTCAAAGGCTAATTGTTGCATAGGAAAACTCGTAGGACTGCACCTCGAAAGACTAAGGTAAGGTTTGGTTCCATCATTCCGTCTAGGAACATCAGATAAAGGAATTCGCATTTCACCTTCCCCCAATACCTGTTCTTTAGCTCTGAGAAGGGAATAGAAATATCCACACTCAGAATCCGGACAAGGAGGACCAACAATTAGGACATCTTGAATGAACTCGTTTATAAGGTTCATCTTTTCGTCGTTTATGGGGGTTGGGAGATAGCCTACCGTGTCACTGCCGGGTGGAACATTTTGGATTAGTGAAAAAGATTGAACTGCTTGATGAAATTGCCCTTGATTGTGTCCGAAGTGAAGTAAAATTATGCAGTACGTCAATGACTCGGCAGGTAAGATTCCTTCGAGATGGTCACTAGTAATCTGGCTGTCAGAAAACAACATATCTGGTGCAACTTGTTTCGATCCGAGGACAAAGTAGAAATTTTTTATTTTGCGTTGCGTAGTTTGTTTCTCTTGTATGATTGAGAAGATCTTGTTCTGGAAAGATGCGTACATTACTTGGTGGATAGTCATCCCGCCCACAAGGATTATTTCAACGAATCCGTTAAGTGAATTAGTTTTTGGAGGACGAGCGCAAATACGAACATGTTCAATAAACGAAATCTGGTTATCATCATTCTTGGTTGCAAATTCGTTCAAAATCATCCTACATCCCCCTTTGTAAGGGGCCGTTGGGTAAATGTCTGTTCCCACACATGTATCTTCACCTTCTGTACTCTTGGATGCATACTCTGTATTTGAAGTGTCCATTGGTGATTCACCGCCAGGAGCTGACCCTTCCCCTAACTCTTCACGTTGTCCACAGTGCCCACGTTCATCATCTCCATCACCATCCTCCTGTATTGATCAGAACAAAAACGTACATGAGCTTGTTACTACAATAACAATTTCACGATGTCCCCCACAACATCCGCGGTCGCTGCTATTTATAAATATGTTGCAATATTTCTCACAAGTGCGTCTGCATTGGTGTCCATTTCATCCACATTTGAGCATGGCATGACGAGGGAATTCATGTCAGACTGTTTTTGCTAAAAGTGATAAACTTGTATGAAATGCGTCTGTGCTCTCAGACAATAAATCGATGAATCTGAGCTAGCATTAATAGTGCAAAAATATAATCTTACATCGATATGCGGTGGATTACATTAGTTTCTGGATCCACCGTGTAGCAGCTCCCTAGCCAAATATTTTGCAGAATACTTATCCACTTTGACTCCTGAGCTTGGCCTTCCCAGATGGCACGAGCAGTTGTTAGTGTTCCTGCTGAAGTTTTATCGTACACCGTTTCATGTGCAAAATGCAAAGTTAAACTGGGATAAAATCCTGCTGGGTAGAAATATAAGAAGGATGTATAGGACCCTCCAATTTGACTTTCGAAATATTTTTTGGCACTCATTGCGGCCGCAAAAAGTGGGAACAGATCTTTTCGATGTAATTGCACAGTAGTTAGAAGTGCCTCGTCTGCCTCTGATGGTAGAACCCCTAGCAAATAATCGACGTCATGTTTGCGGCATGCTGCATCTCTGAATAATATCAACACAAAAATTATAAAATTAATTTTCACAAATTTGACTTGGTTAGTGTATGAGCATAAATTGGGCAACAATTACCAACAGCATTTATTGGGCCACCGAGATCATCCTGCTTCTCAATATCGGTGGCAGGCCCGCAATATCTTAATTAATACCAATAATAAAATTATGTTAATAAAGAATCATTTCATAAAGATTCCAATCGCAACTTTAAAAATAAAAAAACTCATCCAAAATAACCAATTACCTATATCCAGGGAGATTGAAAGGTAATCCGCTTGGCGCCTTTTTAACTTTAGCTTTCTCCAAGGAAAGTATAATACCACGTGGGCGTCGGAGAGATCCAGGATGGAAAAATGCATCTTGACGAAGATGAAAGCAAGATGGCAATTTACCTTCGTTGGTAGGAATAAACGTGTGCTTTCTGGCAAAGAAGGCTGAATGCAGGAGACTTGTGTAGTTGAACCTGATGCATGATATTTGGTTGCACAGAATTAGAACTGTGCATGCAGAAGGAAGAGGAGTAGTGCCTTGAATAGCTTTAGTTACTGCTTGCTTGGTGGTACAGTTCTTCGTTTCAGCCGCTATATTACAATAAGTGTCACTAATTTTTTCCTGAGTTAAGTCGGATAGTTTATTGGATGGAAATGTGTGGTTGGCGTTTGAAATTGTGATGTTATTTAGTAGATAACGGCTGGCATCCACGAAACTTTTAAAATAAAAAGTTACATAGCTTTCACTTCCCCATATCCGTATCTTTTTATTTTCATACTCTACTTCTTCAATTTTGATAGTGTCACTGAAGAACATAACAGTTTCATTAATTTCCATACACATCGTTTGATTACATATCAGAAATCCACTGCAATTGGATGGTAATGTCTCCTTGAACCAGATAACCAATCCACCCAGGTTATCCGTCTCATCACACACAACTTTAACCTGTTTATCTATTTCTATTTTATCGACATTCGCGCAACTTTTACCACAAACACAATGAACTATATATAACACATACAGTGTTCCATAAATTAAGTTATGCAACGTCATCTTCAATTTTAAAAATTAATAATTGAGCGGATACCAGTAAGTACAAACTCCAAAACTTAAATTTCAAAATGTCGACTGGAGAAGCCAGCAAGGATAAGGGGTCTCCCATCACCTCATATATTTATAATGCATCAGTTTTTAGGGGATATTCATCACCCCAACCATTAACCCAATCCTTCCCCAAACAAGATGGTGCATAAAGATATGTATATAAGAAAGGGACCAGTTTATACAAACATAAGTATGCTGCCTGAGACAGGATATGAAGCCTGGTTACCATGGTTACTATGTTGACCCTTCAGGGACCCTTAACTGTTGCCCGATAGGTCAAAAAAATTCAGGAAAATATTTTTATGCTTGCCCTTTGCCAGGGGATTAATTTGATACCCCACTTGCATGGGGTTACCATGGTTACTATTTTGACCCTTCGGGGGCCCTTAACTCTTGACCTGAGGGTCAAAAAAATCCAGAAAAATATTTTTTGGGTTCCCCTTGTCCAGGGGATTAATTTGATACCCCACTTGCCTTTAGTTGTGAGGGAATGATATTTAACCCTTCAAGGGCTCCTAGTTCACGACTCAAGGGTCATAAAAATTTATAAAAATATTTTTCTGGTTCCCCTGGTCCAGGGGATTAATTTGATACCCCATTTGCATGGGGTTATCAGGGAACGCTATTTGACCCTTCAGGGGCCCTTAATTCATGACCCAGGGGTCATAGAACGCTAAAAATAATTTTTCTATACTATTCCCATGCTAGACTTTTATTTTGGACCAGTTTGGAGGAAAAAATTTTTTTGACCGGTGACGTCGTGAAATTAATGCTACAAAGCGGTGTAATAAGTCTGCAGGGTTAGAACTTCATCCACAGTAACTTTGTTGGAAAAGCAGGCTGAAGACATTAAAGACATTAAGGCTTTACTGATTAATGTGAAACAAAGGCCGGATGGTAGGAAGGCTCCAAATTTCAGTGCCATTCCAAAATTACCCCTCGACAACGAGGTAGCACTGGCGGAGTTTGAATCTTGGCTCGAGGTGGATTCAAATCGCGAATTACTGGTACGATTTAATCGAGATATTTTACATGCATAATTAAACTTTAATGTTTTTTCTTATATTTGATACTAGGTTGAATATTTGGCATTTTCAACTGCGACACAGATCGAGGCGAGCACTAGAAAAATCTTGAAAAAATTATTTACGAATGAATTTGGCAGGCGAATTAATTTTACGGGTAAAGGAAACAAGACATCGATGAAAAACCTAAAACTATTGGAAGTCGTAAAAGGTGCTAAAATATATTCTAAAATGAAGAAAATTTTCTAATTGTTGGTCTCTATTTAATGTTTAATTGGATTGCAAATTTCAGAAACCGTGCGAAACGTCTTTACAGTTGAGTCCGTTCCCGATCCCAAAAATCCCAGCGGCCGTATTCTCACTGATGATATAATTCAAACTGCAGCAATGAATTGGTTTCGTTCTTCAAAAGGTAGGTGCAACGACGACGCTCCCTCGGGAATTGCATCATAATCATGGATCGAGATGGAAAATCACCGAGAAACATTAGGCGAATAATTGCAAAACGGGTTAGAGAGAATCTCACTCGTGCAAAAAACATACCTGCTATTAGTAATAATCTTGTAAATTTAGATATATGTGATTCTGTCGTTGAGGATAGCGATTCAGGTAGTAATATTAGCAATAATGATAGAAGCAGTAATGTTATCCATAATAGTGACGAGCCATTAGTTTCCGATTCACTAAGCGACAATGGTGTAGTAGAAAATAATAGGAATATTTTAGATTTAACACGGGACTTGAGGGACTGGTCGCTTCGACATAACATAACGGGAGTAGCTTTAAACGATCTTCTACGCATATTTAACTTTTATCAAGAATTTAGATTTCTTCCATTGGATAGTAGGACATTGCTTAAAAACTCAATTAAATACTCTATGAAAACTATCGGTCAGGGTCAATATGCACACTTTGATGTTATTCAAAATATAAAACGGCAAATAGATTCCAATTGTATTCTTGCTTCTGGTAGCGAAATTAAATTAAACCTTATATTTAGTTTTGATGGATTGCCCATTTCTAAGAGTAACAGTAACCAGTTTTGGCCAATTCAAGCAAAGTGTGAAGAAAGTACGTACGGCGTATTTGTCGTGGGTTTATTTTATGGCAAGACAAAACCAGAAAGTATTGACGAATACTTGATGGATTTGATAGCAGAGTTAAAAAGTTTGCGAGTTGGGATTAGTTACAATAATTTGAAAATATTTTGTAAGGTTTCAAAAATAATAGCTGATGCGCCAGCCAGGAGTTTTTTAAAGCAACGTAAAAGTCATAATGCATACAATGGATGCGAGAAATGTATAGATCCAGGTTTCTGGAAGGGACGTGTAATTTTCAGAACATTCGATAGTCCACTTAGGACAGATCAAGATTTTTATGTTCAAAAAGATAAACACCACCATGTAGGCATTTCCCCGTTTACGGAGCTTAAAATTTTGATGATTTCTTCGGTTCCTCTTGACTACATGCACCTCATTTGCTTAGGTGTGGTTAGAAAAATATTAAGAAGTTGGGTAAAAGGTCCATTGCCATTTAAATTATCTTCTCGTGATATTTCAACTTTATCAAGTAAATTAGTATTATTTTCGCATAGTTGCCCTAAAGAATTTTGTCGTAAGCCGAGGTCAGCAAAAGAGTTAGATATGTGGAAAGCGACAGAGTTTAGAACTTTTCTTCTTTATACAGGACCCGTCGCTTTAAAAGGATTATTGTCGCCGAAAAAGTATACACATTTTTTAAATCTTTGCGTAGCAGTCACGATTCTTATAACTACCAAGGCGCAAGCAAATAATTGGAACGATTATGCACGACAGCTTTTATTGAAGTTTGTTAAAAATGTTCCCAATTTATATGAAGAAGAGTTCTTATCATATAATATGCATTCCCTTATACATATTAGTGATGACGCTTTAAAGCATGGCCCGTTAAATTCTTTCAGTGCTTTCGATTTCGAAAATAATATGCAAGTAATAAAGCGCTCGCTACGAGCTCACTATAAACCTTTTGAGCAAACTGTGAATCGCACTGCTGAGAGAGAAAATCATAAGTACCAGTCCCCTGTGAATTTAAATAGACACTGTATTATAAAATCGAACGGAAAGGATCATTGTTTTATATTAAAGGATGGGAAAGTAGTTGTTATAAGTAGTATAAGTAAAGATAAAAAACATATAAATTGTAGAAAATTCAAACACTCGGACAACTTGTTCACTTGTCCGTGTGAAAGTAAAATTTTAGGGATAATTAAAGTTAGCAAATTATCAAATAGCGTAACCATAATAGGTATTAATGATATTGATAAGAAATGTTGGTTACTCCCGTCGGATAAAATAGATGAAAACATTTGCATTCCCTTGTATAATGTAACAATATAATTTTTGTTATGAAATAAATGATTTTGATAAAAATTAATAATTCGTGTTATTTGACTGCAGTAATTGCATGGAGTTTAACTGCAAGTTTTGCATCAAATTATTCGTTTCTTTTGCGCAATATTCTACGCTCTAAATTGCATTAATTTGACGGTTATTTCTACGCAATATTCTTGAGGCTAAATTGCATGAATATGACTGTCAATTCTATGCAATATTGACAGTTTATTTTACGTTAAATATCTAGTATCTTTTCACGGATTTTTGCCGGCCATCAGTTGCTGCAATTTAACTGTATGACTTTTGCGTAAAAGTGATAGCTTTTGTTGATCGGGTATGTTGAAATTTGTTTCTCTTATTAAATTTTAAATTTTAAAAGATGTACAAGTTAGACGCCAGCACTGAAAATAATTCGGGTAGGATTATACCCAGAAAATAAAGATACGCAGTCACAAATGCACTTGACCGATTTCGCCCATCTTCGAACTCGTTTCCTACCTTTGTCCAATATTCATATGGTAAAAATTTCAAGTCAATCGGTCAGCTTGTTCGAGAGTTATCGAAAGACAGGCGGACGGACATGACAATTACATAAGCCCTGGTTCGAGCTAAAATGTGTTGATTTTTATTAAGTGCCTGCATATCCTTGGATTTTGAGATGCAGGGTATTTTACATACAGCTCGATACGTGTACCATAAACTTTTTGGACTAACATCCCAAAAAAACGTGCATATTTATTTCAAGCATTATTTCGTGCATGTTTTACGAGTCATAAAATATGACTGATAAAAATTAAGAAATACAAAGTGAGTAAATTCGACATCTTTTACCAGAACTTACAAGAAGTTGTATTATTCATTGGTATCATAGGTTTCTGCTATTCACGCTAGGATATTTGCTAAGATATTTGCTAGGATATTTTCTGTTCTTCATATTCAATACAGGATTTGTACTCTTGCATTAATTGTCTAACAATAAAATGTTCAATGTATCAAAACAAAAATTTAACTTACTATTAAATAGTTCAAATATTACTACCTTGAATGCAATGCAACATAGAGCCAAAATATTAAATCATGTTCATACATACATAACTGAAATAATAAACTTGTAAACAAATTCAAATAATTAGTCTTAATCCTTAAATTACGCAAGTCTCCTTCCTTCTACCAGGAAATTTTAGAATTTACCAAAAAATGTATGTCTTGTATTTATCAATTAAAGCGAGTACCATTTCATACATTTTTTGGTAAAATTAATAAACAAAAACTGAGAAAGTTTTACATCATTTATGATAATTTGCAGAAACGTTTATATTTTTTTCATACAGGTCAGATTAAATCGTAACATTCAATTTTCAATTTTCAATAATAGGAATAAAATTGGTAGTCAAAAATCTTCAAGTCAAAAGTTTTCCTGTATTTTATTAAATAATTAAAATTTAACTTAAATGTACTACTGCTCATAACATTTAGAGCTAAAATTTTAATTAAGTTTCATATGTACATAAATACTAATCTCACTGCAATCACAAACTTATTTTACTAAAAAGTATAAAAATCACAGTCTTAATCCTCCCAAATTACGCTAGTGCCTCTCCTTCATCACGACATTAAACGGTTTGGGTACTAGTATGAATCCAATCATTGGTTCAAAATCTAACTTCGGATTCTCTGGATCCGGACCAACTTGAAATTTTTGAAAAATGCTGGCAAGAAATAGAAATATCGTGTCCCTCGCCAAGGGTTCGCCTAAACAGGCACGTTTTCCGACTTGAAAAGGGACCAAGGCCTCATGTTTCTTTGCCTTGGTTCCGTCTTCTGAGAGGAACCGTTCCGGCCGGAAGTTCTCGGGGTCACCCCAAATCTCGGGGTTATTATGGACCGACCACAAATTCCCGATGATCCACGTCCCTTTCGGGATGACGTAGCCGTGAAACTCTTTGTTTTCAATGGCCCTGTGAAATAGACCCGACGGAACGAGAGAGGACATTCGGAGGACTTCAAAAATTACGGATTCTGTGTAAGGCATGCTGAAAAAAGGGAGAAAAATTTGATAAAATTTTGAAATTTTTTAATTAAAAATTTGAAATCTTGTATATACCTTGCCCGGTCTTGTAGCGTGGGTAGCCTTGAATTTCCAACGACACGGTCAATCTCCTCCTGCATTTTTTCCTGAATTGTGGGATGACTCGTGAGATAGAGGACCGCCCAGACCAGCGTGGTCGACGTGGTCTCGGCCCCCGCTTGGAATAAGTCGCCCACAGTCGCGCTTAAATGTTTATCTGTTAAAAACAAGATTAAATTAGATTAAATTTGATGTTAATGTTTCTGAAAAAAATTTGAAAAAATTAGTCATTTTAAACTTGCTACTTACATCCCTCCTCTTGATGAAAACTTGACTTGGGGTCGGTCGTCGCCTCAATTTCTTGAATATAGTGGTCAACAAAGTCTCGGATATGGTCCCCACTAAAAGTTTCCTTATGCTCGTGGACGGTCTTCTTAAAAAATGAAGTCATTTCTCCTATCGATGCCTGCAGAGTGTTCCACCCCGTCAATCCGGGCGCTAAATGTCTCGCCCAGGGGGCGAAAAGCAGCAGCCCCGTCTCCGAGAGTGAGTTGAACGCTCTGAAAAAAATGATATCAAAATTATACACCGATTTTTAACCGCAATTTGACCATTTATGTATCCTCACCGAATCGAGCTGTCCAACATATTTGTCAGAGTGGAATCATTTTGCGGGTACCGTTTCCCACTTGTAATTGACCACAGAGCATTCAACACGGCGAGGCTGAATTTCCTATTGAGATTGACGAGACGACCTTCTTCGCCCTTCAACCAGTCGAGAATCTCCTTGACCTCGTCCTGGATCAAATTTTCCATGTAGTTCTTCCCAAACCCGAAGTCTCGCAGATGTCGGAGCGTGAAACGGCGTTGCGTCTCCCAAGTGCTGCCCTCAGAATTGATAACTCCTACAGAAATAAAAAGTGTGCAATTTTTTTTGGCAATATTGCGAAAAAATATGATACTTTTATTTTTTTCGTACCATAATTGCCCTGCGACATGCCGAGGAAGACTTCGTTCTGCGGTCTGCCAGAGAACGCTGGTTCGTTAAAGATTTCCTTCATCAATTTGTAGTCGTCCACGACCACGATTCTGTAACATGATGCAAATTTATTTTTAGAAATTTGGCCACTCTTTTAAATATGCAAGCGGTATGTATTTTCATGCATACTTTTCCAGACCGAGCTGAATGCTAAATATGCTCCCGTATTGTTTAGCCCATTCTCGCAGGACGACATGCATTCGGCATCCTACTTGTGTCAAATTTCCGAGAAGTGGAAGTCCCCGGGGACCTGGATGGATGGAAATGCGGAGAGAAAATATGTATTTTAAAAATGGTCTTTCATTTTTACATACATTCTTTAAATCTATGTGACTTGACTGCGGGAACAAAATTGTGTATATTTTCGTATACCTGGAGGGAATTTTCCCTTAGATTTCTTTCCCCCCTTAGTCAGCACCAGCCAGGCCAAGGCGAACAAAAATACTGTCAGGAGAAACGAGAGTGGAGTCATTTTCGAAAATTTTGGCAGGTTAAAAATTCGAAAAACTGGAGTCAAATACTAAAAAGTTGTTTTAAAAGATGGGAATTTATCCCAAAAATGGAAACCTTGTTTCAAAAACTGTCTTTAAAACTTCTTAACTGGTGAGACCTTCACCTCTTGAAGTGTAATAACTTCTCTCCGAGATGTTGCCCACCTTATAAAGCAACGTCCCTCACGGAATTCAATGGAAAATTCCACCAGCCACACGCCCTGTTCATCATCATCGCTAGTTTATCTTCAGGTTTAAGTTGTGCTGATAAACAACATCAGAAAAAATCTTGTCCTAGTATTATCGTCGCATGTCAGAAAAAGGAGGTGAACGGAATATTGGAACCCTGCATTTAACACAGGAATTGAGGCAGGCATTAACAAAACAACGTCAGTTTTCCTCCTCACGCCCGACCGATATCGTGGTGATGATGGTGATGACCACATCCAGTATCCAACACGGGTCGTCATTTTTTTGGGATAATTAATTGATCATAAAAAATAAGCGTGCAATCACCCAAACTGCGCGTTTAATGAGAGAGAGGTGCGACGTACTGATCTGTCAGTTCGACACGTGCAGGCAAGCAAAACAACAATTCGTGTGAATCATTGCGATTATTATTGCATGCGAAAAAGTTGCACCACCGAAAAGTTGTGCAGTTAAATATATATAATAAGAAAAATGCACTTTATCATTATCAAACATATTAATATGAAAAATGTACTGTGTCATTATTGGTTATCTCACAATTAAATACATATAATAAGAAAAATGCACCATGTGCATCATTATTATATTAATACTTATAATCTGCATACATAGCATGTCAATTGCATAGGACTGGACTGGACTGGTACAACGAGTCATGCCTGCTTGGGGGTTGTTTGCCCTGATAAGGAGTCAATTGTAGCGTTCATGTTGACCAATCTTGGCTAACTTTGTAGAAAAATTGTTGACTTTTACATAGCCCAGCCAGCCATATATTTTGTTTGATAAGTATTTTGAAAGTCACATGAATGGATTTTGACTATGTATTCATTGTTTTATTTTTATTTAACCTTTCCTGTTCAACTTAAAGGAATGGATTTGTCAGCATATTGATTATTCGAGTACACAGTCCAAAGTTTTTTTATCATGGAATTAACAACCGACACGTGGAGCGAGATGTTATGTCATGCAAGGAAAAAATTAACTCAATGTCATTACGGTTAGGTACGCAGGATCCACAGCAGCTCTGCTTTATGTACGACTACATAAAGTTTTGTTGTTTTACATGGTATGCAATATTTATTATGTATGTTTTTTCATAATTTTTTATTACCAAATTTTCTCGTGCGAAAATAGAATTTTGTGCAGAGAGAGATGGATGTGGACCTGATTTAATAAATTGTATCAGACGAAATGCAGCAATAGGGTGAAACTAGTAATTCCCTCCAAAAAATATGTGACCACACCTCCAGACTTTTTCTGAGGGGAAGTGGTCCAATTGACCCCAAAAGTTGATCGGATCCTCCTCCTGGGTCATATGCATGATGCCGCATTATCCAGATGCGTTCTCCCATTATCCTGGTGACGGACAGACAGACGGACGGACGGACAGACGGACAAACAGACAAAGTCTTCGCTTAATAGATAGGTTTGGGTAATGAAAATATGTACCTCGATCTCGTTATTCATTATTATGAAACGTCACAAAAACAAACTTTTTAAAGGCTGCAGTTCGGAAAAGCAAGCCACAAAACAACTTTCATGATCATGATCAATCACGAACGGTGGTACTGCAGTCTCTCCGCTGCAGAAAATGCAATCTGTGGTTGAGCAAAAGTAAGTTAAAGGTACACACATAAAACTTTTCTTCCCCCGAAAGCATTATTATTAAGCACTTGAAAGTTTGATTTGCGATGCAGTTCATGACTCGAGAGAAACCTTCAAAAACAACGGACCAAACCAAATCGGTATTATGTAAGAAGTGGGTCCGAAAAAGTGGGCACTGTAAATAATGTGGTGGCAAAATTGGGTGGAAATTGTACAAGGATGGTTGAATTTGCAGTTTAATTCTTGCAAAAAAATAAATTAATCAATTTTCGCCCCCTTTTTGTACAAAATCTTTACCAATGCGGTAATAATGTGGTGGCAAAATTGGGACCAACACTAGTACCAATTGTATAACTTGAACGACCAAATTTGTCACCGTTTTATTTTTGCAAGGGTAACAAAGCAAAGGTTATTATTTTTGTCACCTCTTCGTACCAAATCATTACCAATCCGGTAATGATCTCCTCGATCCCAATTTTTTTTACCCCCAGATTATTTAGAGTGCCTCTACTTACTCGAAATGAGTATCAAATCTCACCATTTTACACCCACCTCGCGTCCCCATGCTAACAAAGCGATAAGAATGCAGATCACGACGGGGTGAAAAGTGAAAGTGGGGATTTTTTGGGCACTTTTACTCCTTCTTTTTATCTACTGTACATACAGGTGGAGATCAAAGAGGTAAAAATGACACGTTCCTCTCGTAAATTGCACTTGGTGAAGTCTGAGTAAGTTTTAATTTTTGCTTTCTTATTTTTTTTTAATTTTTACATTTTTTATGTATTTAGTTGAGGTTTGAATTTCAGGGTGTAAAAAATATGTGCATAAGCCAACTATTTTCACCAAGTGGAGAAATAAATTTCATTCCATTTGGGAATTGAGTGATTTCAATTTTTGTTGTTTTTTAATATTTACATTTATTATGTACCTGAGGTTTGAATTTCAAAGTGTATAAAATATTTGTAAGTCTATTTCCCCAATGTGGAGAAACTTCGTAAATTGCACTTGGTAAACTCAGAGAAAATGTTAATTTTGGCTTTCTTTTTTGTAATTTTTTAGTTGAAGTTTGAATTCAGGGTGTATAAAATATGCAAGTCGACTATTTCCGCAATGTGGAGAAATTTCGTGGAGAAATGTAGTTCCATTTGGAAATTGAGTGAGATGCTGATGTGATGTGATGATCAGCTCGGCGTGAAATGTAAATGTATTTACACGTGTGAACCAGAGCATGAGCGGTGTGAGAGCCGAGATACATTTCCTCTAATCAAGGTGCCCTTCCGCTTCTTAATGAGCTGTATGTCCCGTTTCCACCCGCTTTCGGGGGAATATTGACAAACTGGTTAAAACGGTGGCGTCGCCGGGTATATATTTACTCAAGGCCGGCATGCATGCCCAGTAAATTTGATTCATTTGTAGATATCTCTTTAGGTAATCAGGCATAACCACAACCACGAGTTTTTGGTCCGTTTCGTTCATTTCTTTAATTAAAGTGAGAAGAGAGAGAGAGAGAAATTCGAAATGAGAAATTTTAAATTGAATTAGAAACCTATTTAATCAAGACAATTTATCAATGAGGAATGAATGGGGTTTTATGTAAGAGAGAAGAAGAATGTACATACTCTAAATAATAGGGTGTTAGAAGGTTATGGTAGTTTGGTAATGTGGTTTTACCAGTTTGGTAACATAGTTTTACCAGTTTGTAATACAGTTTTACCAGTTTGTAATACGGTTTTACCAGTTTGTAATTTGGTTTTACCAGTTTGGTACAATGGTTTTACCGGTTTGTAATTTTGTTTTACCAGCTTGTACATAATATGATTTTAAAAGTTTTGTAATAGTTTGTTACCGGTTTAGTAGTTGGTTTTTGTCGGTTTTGGTAACAGTTTTTAAGCGGTTTACCATAAAAAATATCTTCAAAAACTTAAAATTCACGACAATACCACCACTCCAGTAACACATTGTATCCTCACATTATTTAGTGTGTCACATTTATTGTGTGTTACAGAATCCAGTCGAATTTATTTAATTGATTAATAGTAAACACGCAGTTGACTCTCTTTTACATGGTTATTTTATATTTTATCGATTATTATTATCCGACCCCAATCAAATAAATTGGCCGACTACATTTTAAACTTGTCTATTATGCTTATTCCCCTTCCTCTCTACATAAAAATATTTATGCCCTCGCTTGCTCCGCAGTGGTCTCCGAAGAACCGTAAAACAGTGGAAAAAGCACTATGCAAATTATTTCGAGCACATAATTTAATCCGGGCAGCAGATACAATGTGATTGTATTAAATATGCTGGCCTGGCTCAAATAGACACACAAAATGGCACACACTGCATTGTTTTCGGTCGGACGGGTAGCAATGGGCAGGTTCATTAGTGTACATAAGCTCTTCTCATTCATTATTAGTCAGCAGATCGGACGACTTTCTCTTCTTTAACTGAGAGAAGAGATCCCGTAATTTTGTAAAGTGCAGATTGTTTTTTTTCGCATTTCATTTTCTAACTTTTGCACAGAAAAATTGCAAATTGTAGAATTTCATCGCATTCACAATGGGGGCATGATATCTAATTAAGAGAGAAAATCTACAAGTGCTGTGACGAGAGAGGAATGAAACTTGCACAATTTAATCTTGCCCAGGATCGTATTAAACTTGCATAAGTTTGACAATGGACATTGAGAAGATGTGAAGATGAGATGAGAAAAACATGGGCATGATTCGTGTTATTGCGTAATTTTAAGGTTTCATTAGTCGGGTGCATTATTTACGTAAGAAAAGATATTTATGGGTAGAATAGCTTTTGCAATGTTTGAACGAATTTGCGACCCATGATGACAATTCGTGTTCGAAGGACACGAACTTTCTTCCGTAAATAAAATTAATTGTTTTGCTAAAAACTTAAATTATGATGAAATGATGCAGTGATAAATTGCTTCAAATTATGGACTTACATATTCATTTTATTTTGCGCAGATTCTCATTTTGGCAAATTTTCAGTTTAATCAACCCGCAAGGAAAATTAGTTACAATTGTTAGTATTTAGTTTTTTAAGTAAATTGCAAATTTTAGATTTAGAGCATGTTAATTCGTCGTGGTTTTATTTACATTAATGTAAATATGTAGTTCATTCTGGCTCGAATACAAATTTACTTAACAGTTTGCACTTTAAACCAAGTCAAATTCATTTGATGTAATAGATATGCGACGAAAATGATATTTTCACGAATTAGCAAGTCTTTACTAATAACACACTCGGCTCAATTTTTATTACCAATTTAATTTAAATCTGCATCCATCTCCAACTACCCGTTATAGGCGATTGCGCCGGAAAATCCGTCTCAACTCAGTCCCAAACCTACCATACATTTCACTCGGAGAAAGTGATACTGCCCGTTGCACCAACTTTCTCCCCGTCTCATTTCATACCTGACTCTCATACGAGCAAGCCTGTGTACTCTTCTTCATCTCCTACGAGTTTTCCCATCATTTAAGACGCCATCTCATCTCATCTCATCTCCGTCTGGATAACTACTCACCAACCCATCCAGAAGGAGGAAAAGTTCTCCCTGTTATCGTCCCACAGACGGAAAAACCAGGAAATCTATTCCTGGAAACTATAGGTAAATAACCCGTCCCGAAAGAAAGTCTCGTCGTACGTAATTGTAAGTAATTGCATAAAGTAATCCCCAAACTTTTAAGTGAAACATAACAATGCTTCCCTCGAGGGAACCAATTAGTCAGAAAATGAGATCCAGAGCTCTACATACGTACGTAGAAAATCCCACCCAGAAAACTTGCCCCAGACCAGACCAACCAAGCTCAAAATTAGTAGTTATCGTTCTTCTTCCCTTCTTTTCCTCACTTCCGTCACTTTGCATAAGTTTGGTTGGTTGGTGGAAATGTCTTCAAATGCGGATCGGCATCCAATCCACCCACACGACCATAACTCGTATGACCTACAGGTTTAAAGTGGTGGTGACAAAAAGTTAGGGCATGGTCGCGACAAAACTTTCTGTCGCGTAAGTCCGTACATAGCTGCAGGTCATCAAAGTTAAGTTTTATTCGGGCCAACCAACCAAGAAATAATTTAGTTTAAGCTGGACGGACTCGTTAAAGAGGGAGATGTGGATACGAAATTGGAAAGGCAAAGTTAATCGGTCCATTATGCAGGGTGGTTGGTGGGGAAAGAACGATTTTGATGGTGGGATTCTTCACTGGGTCGTTTTTTATTCATGGGTTTTCATTCTTATTTTAGAAATTAAGTTGATTTTGAAAAAAGTTGTTTGACTTGCATGCCAGTTTGGGAATATGCAAAAAATACACATTAGTTTTAAAGAACAGTCAGATCCAAAGAATCTTTTCTTGTAGTTTACAATACAATTGTGTTCAAAAACTTACTTAATACAAATACATGAAAAAAATTTGAAAAAATAAATTTTATTTCTTTTTAGGTATTTATATCTTAGAAATTAAGTCGATTTAAAAAATGTTTAATTTGTGTGCCAGTTTAATTATCCGTAAAAAATATATATTAGTATTCAATTGTAGATGTATTTTTAAAAAATAGTCGTATTTCATCCTCAAAATTTTACCCAAAATTTTACCCAAAATTTTACTCTAAATTGTACTCTAAACTTTGCTCAAAATTCTCCTCAAAATTTTCCTCTCTAAATACGAAAAAAATTAGAAAAAAAATATTTTATTTCTTTTCAGGTGTAACCGAAAACTATTTGATTTCTTTCCACACTACGGAAACTACTACTTCCTAAATAAACACAAATCCACCACCAAAAATAACTCAAATCCAGTCCGTCTACGAGTCTCAAAAAGTCTCAACTAATTTCCCGCAGAGAAAACCAACCACCAAAAGAGAGAAAGTTAAGAGAGAAAGGTGTGTCAAATCTGTACTAACCAGAATCCCCGCAGTGCAACGTCTTACCCCCCATGAGACAAAAAGTTGTGAAGGAAAGAAAATAAATAATTTTGACTCGGAGAAAGTTGAGGAAAAGAAGTTTCGTTTTTCCCCAAAAAACGAAAACGTGCAGACGAAAAATAATTTAATATAAGTAATTTAAATGACTACTTCCCTGCCCTCCTTCTGTTCATTGAGGGTCAAGAGAAGTGACGTCAATGTGACTGGGTTAGCGTTTTCGTGGTGAAAGTGTGTACGCAAAAACGGTAACTAATTTACGTATGCACATATAAATAAATAGTGAAGAGGACTTGCTTCCGTATAAAATTTGCGGTTTTTCTCTCTCTTCAGAGTAGTAAATAGAGAAATAAATAAAGCGGAAATAGTGGGGAAAACGAGACAAATTGTTAATCAAGTAAATTTACCGTCATCATGGGAAAGTACAACACGGGAGAAAGTTTGTCCTTCTGTAACTTTCTCCCATCTCGACGAAACGCCACCTGCATCACGGCTGTCCTCTTCCTCTGCTGTTTCTGCTCCTACTCGGCGTAAGTTAATTTTCCGCATTTGCATTTGCATTTGAACGCTTATTATTTTTTATGGTTGCAAAAGTTGGAAAGTTGTTACTTTAACGAGGGTTTTGATTATGATCTGCCTTGTTATTCAAATCACTGGCAATTTGTGTTATATACGGACGGAGATGTCAACACGTTATGTCAACAGGTTTGTTTTTCAGTGTTTATTCATAAGGTTGGATGGGTTTTTTGGCCGCATTGGGTTTGATTTGGGTAGTGAATATACATACATAGATGTGAATAGGGATGGTAATCCGTATCCTAAATTAACCGATCCGTAGGATAGGATCGGATAAATACAGGATCGGATCGGATCGGATTTGCTCGCTTTAGGATCGGATCGGCTCCCGGTTCTACTCGAAATCCGATGCGATCCGATCCTAGGATCGGATCGATCGTAGGATATCCGCGGATGATATGTGTGAGACACCTTGTGTCTAACTATGGAAATACTTTACCAGCTGCTTTTCTTTATTTATTGGAACGGTTTTTGGTGAGTTCATCACATGGCGTACATTACCCGAATGAGCCGAATTATCCTATTATTTTACACCAGTTATTTTTATTTTGGCGTTCAAATTATTCAATTTAGTATGATTTCAACGCCAAAATAAAAATAACTGGTGTAGAATAATAACATAATTCGGCTCGTTCGGGTAATGTACGCCATGTGATGAACTCACCAAATGTGAAACGAGTTTACATCGGATGATCCGAGGATCCTGTGTGATGATCCTAGGATCTCATCGGTTAGGATCGGATCGGATTGTCTGATCCTCGGATCCTCTATCCGATCCGTGTGAAAATCCGATCCTATCCGAGTTTTTACGATCCTAGGATAGGATCGGTTACGGATTACCATCACTAGATGTGAAACTGATCAGGGTAGGTAAACTTTGGAGAGGGAAAAATTACGGGGTGTATACATGCATAGTTCGCATTGCCCGAATGAGGAGTCATAATTTAAAAAATATTTAACTGAAACCTGAAACAAAAAAGTAAAGGAAACCCTGAATTTTTGAAGAAATTAGCTTCATTTTCGTTAATGTGAGTTTGCACTTTCCTGCCAAATTTCAATTTTGAACTTATGAGTCTGATAATGGTCGCCAAATTGACCGTTCATGCATATTTTATTCGGACTCGATTCCTAAATCTTTTATACAATTGTGTACCAAATGAAATAGCCAAATTTTACTGCTACATATCATTACAAAAACATACAGACGGACAGACAAACTTCCCGGTCTCATAAGCCCCCCTTCGGCCACAAAAAAAATCCAAGACATACACAACATAACCCGCACCCGCGTTGCATAACCTCCCGTTGACTGAAACCACGACCGAAATAAATGATCAGTTACATACTGCATCCGTCCATCCGTCCGGTAATGTGTGGCTGCTTGTGACAGGTCGGTGGCTGGATTTGTTTGCGTAAAATAGCATTGTTTTCCCCCAACTACCATGTCCAAGGATACGACCACCAACTACCACCCACTTTTTGGAGGGGAAACTCCGCGTGGGTGGAGTAGTAGATGTCACATCATGGAAATAATGTGTTTAGCAATAAAACATGAAGACGGATAAAAGTACACACCTCTCTTCTCTTCCTTTCCCTTTTACAATTTTACCCCAGCCGGAACGGAGGAATAACAGACTGGGGCCGATTACATTTTAATGTGCAAACACACCGGAGAACGGTTGGAAATGAAAATAGGATTCTTTCCCCTCTTTTTTTCTGCAGGAAACCTTTTTTGGCACAAATTTGTGTGCAAAAAATATGAATGAAACATATTTAAAGTGGGAGGAAGTACGTAAGTAAGTAAACGATGGCCATATCTTTGTCAAGATTTGTGTGTGTGTCTTCTTGTGGTCATTGAACATGCAAGTGGTCGTGGTCTGCACTCGAATCATGTCCCGTCAGGAACATATATTATCGAAAAAATAAGATGAAAATTGTACATGTGAGTGAGCAGCCGGAGAAAAAAATGGGATAAGTTATGTCTCATCTTATTGCAAATTTTGCTGGAAAAGAGGAGAATATAAAGCACCATTGTTTTCCACACCGTCAAACTTAACTCTCTTTTCTTCCTGGATTATATTCCGTTTTAAAAAGAAGTGAAAGCTCTGAAATTCATGTTGGGCGGCCCCGTAAAATAAAAAGTAGTGTAATTTTAAGGGTTTCAAGTTGTTGTTGGGGACATTACGGGTTAAGAAAGTGGTGCAGTTTTTTATGGATCTCATACTAAGATTCACAGTTATGCATGGATTTAATGTGTAGTTTGTTCATTGTGAGACTTAAAGCGTGGTGAAAGCTGGGGATAAATCCTGTCTCAATTTTTCCCTCGATGCTTCTAAAAGCTGTGCTTAAACGAAAATGCGTATCGTTACTTGTAATGTAATGGATGGTGGGGGGACCAGCATACCCGACTTATCATAATTCTTCAGTAAATAATATGCATTTTGTGGTCGTGGCCCATTGTATTTTTAATGAAAGATAAAGCTAATACGGTTTGTTTACATGGTTGAAAAGTGGTGCGCACTTTTTGAATACACTGAAAGCTAATGATTTTGGCATGAATTTCTCCCCGGAATTCGCCGTGGGAGGTAAATTAATAGCTACTTCGCTTACATAAGACGAGTTATCTGATCCGTTCATACGTACATTGCATTGCTCACCGGTCTGGTGAACCTGCCCGATTTTCAATCACTGATTAGTATCGCTGCCGCCCTTAATGAAAAGAAGGCAGAGAAAGCACCACCACACAATTTCTTGATTTCTGTCGGGAAAAGTTTGCCAAACTGCTTAACTTTCTGGCTCCCCTTGCGGCGAAAGTACTTATAAAGGAAGCCTTACATCATCATCCCCGCCACACCACCATCATAACTTAGTTTTTGTGCAGATGTGACATTTCTATGCAGTTGAAATGTGCCAAGGTTAACCAGCCCTCATCATATTTACCACGGCCACCACGGGTAACAAAAGGGAAAAAGAGAGAGATATGCAAATTAATGATTAAAAGTGCAACCGGGGTGACAAATTATTTAAAAGGGGCGGAAAATTGGCAGCTCTTCCTGCCAAGAGTAAACTCTATTTAATCTGGTAGCCAAATTGACTGCTTTATCACCGCGTTGGTAATGATTTGATACTGAATGATAAGATTGTTTTGTCACAAAATTCAGTTTTTTACAGCGATTGGAATTTTTTTCTCTGTAGCATAAAAAACTTGGCCTTTGTACACAATTATTCTAAAATAATTCTTTATCAATCTGGTTTAGATTTTGTTGTAAAATTTATGAACATTTTTTTCAGCAGGATAAAAAAATTGACCTTTGTACACAATTGTTATACATGATTCGCTAAAATCTGGTAAAGATCCCGGTAACGATTTTATTACCACATTTTACATTGTTCCCATCCTTCGACATAGTCACGTCGCCATGTCCTCCTGAGAAGGACGTTTGTAATGCGAGGAGAGGAAAAACAATGAAATTTTAGTCAGTTTGAAGTGAGACATGGAAGGTAACGTAAGTGGATCAGTGGAGTTGACATCGGATTCCCACGAGACCGACTTTCTCTCCACTTTTATCCCCATTCCTAATGCACATTGGGAGCGGACGCGTATGTAAAAAATACCCAAATTGTCATCGATATAGGGACCAAATTGAACTTTGACTCCAAACACTGCCAGCCAGGCCAGTTAGGCAGTCGGCTATGGACGAGTTCGACTTGTCCACTTATTTCCGGATTTGGTAGAGAAAAGCTTTCCTAAAGACAAAATCTTGTCGAATCAATAAAGAAAGCGTACTCTAAATGATGCGGGAACAAAATTGACATCCGCGTTACGAACGATTTGTCCGTAACAATAACAATTGTCAAGTTTCGAATTAATTTTGAATTTCGTACGCAATTATTTTCTATAGCGAATCGTTATCAGTGTGGTAAAGCTATAAAAATAGTGATCGGTGAAAATTGGGTAACAAATTATTTCCGGAGTTTGAAGAAACACGATTCCTTTTTTTAGTCGAGGTCCAATTTGTCATACAATTTTTATTCACGGTCTTCTTGCCATTTCTTTCTTTCGGAATGGTTTAAACGGGGAAAGTGCAAAGTCATGTATGTAATGTATGTATGCAGTTGGTAGTTAAGCTGGATGGAAGAAATTGCTTATTTCCCCATAATTTTGACATTTTTACAGAGATGCAGCACGTCGTAGTAATGTAATGTGAGGGGGTGAGAAGTATGTAGAATTGCAATTCCGTTCTATTGTTTTAATGTCGTAATGTCAGGAGGCAATTGTATTCGGGAACTTTGGTGTTTCGTAAAGTGCATGAAATGTAGACCTGAGTTACATGAATTTTTGCAGAGTTTTTAATATTTTTTGAAAGTTTCTTAATTTTGATATTTGCAGAATTTACTAACAATTTGTAGAATTCAAGTTTTAGTAGAATTTTAGTTTTTCAAAAAATAATTCTGATTTCAAAACTTTTATGTATCTGTACTTGTAAAACCATTCCATCTATAAAAGTAGCTTATTTGTAAACCATAATTGTCGACATTTTTATGAACGGCGTATAATACCATCAAAATATTTCTTTATTACGAAACGCAAAATTTAATAAAAATGTCGAAACACGGTTTTCCAAATCCATCCGAAAAAATCCATTCAATGCTTTCACCCAATTTCGTGTCTCCAATGGTGAAATCTGACCTCGTACTTTCTCCCATTTTTGTGAAACCCTGCCTTTTTTTACATTTTACACGTACCAGAAAGAAAGCAATGTGACGAGACCACAATATGGACCCGGCTACGACATCGTTCCGCGAGGAAATGGGCAGTTATGTAAGCGTATAACATGCGATTGCGACAATGTTCCATCCATGTGCGGGATGACCTTCTTCCTTCCGGAATCCACGGATAAGACCAGACAGCAAAGATCAATTTCACCAGTCCATTCCAGTCCATTTCCAGTCA